GGCTGGAGTTTGCCCACCTCTGCATTATTAGCAACAAGCAGTACATAAGAGCCTCCTCCTGGATCCATCTATTTATCCATCTCTCTCTCCTTTCCTCCCTCCCATTGAGAGGAGTTTTATTACTCATTCCATATATTATAATAGAATGCATCAGTCTATGCCAAGTGTCAGGTATTTTCAAATTACCTCTCTAACTAATCCTGAAAGGTCTTCGCTCCCTCCAACACCCGTGCACCCCATTTCAGATCAACTAGGTTGAACGCTGGGCTATATTCAGAGTATATGCAGTATATTTTTTTCAGGAACAAAGTATAAAGATTTCTTGCAAAGTGCAGCTTGGGATCAATCTGTTTGGCCAGCTGTTTCTAGCTTCCACCTTGGTTATGGTTTTGAAGAAAGGAATTTTTGTTTCAATGGGAAAACCACTGAACAGATTCCTCATCCCACCACCCTTCTCTCTACAGTGCATGCACTCCTGGGACACAATATTTAGCACACACTAAGGAGGAAAATGTTTGCAGGTACCACTTGCTAAAATTGTCACTGATATACCTCCCCAGCCCTAATCTCGCTTCTTGAAACAGAGATCACGCTCACACGCTGAGCTAGGTATAATTTCCAGCAATTCCACTCGGCCGTATATTCTAAAGAAATTAACTAGTTTTTATGTAAAAGACATCAGTGTGTGATCGGCATATTCACAGATTCTGAGGCCACAAGAGACCACTATGATCATCTGGTCTGACACGTGTTTCCTAGAAAAAATGGATAGGTCAGTTCCTCACGGTGGCTGGTTTGTTTTCTTGGCCTCTCCACTGCATTGGGAAATAGCTTTCCTCTGAGCTGGTCAACACAGACGAAACTTTTGGAAACTGTGAAACCCTATCTGATTGCTCGGTCTGCACCAAGGTGCTCCATTGTCTTCCAGCTGGCTGTGTCCCAGTCTGGCTGCTCACCCCTTCTGGGTTGGTGAAATGTCAGTGAACATGTGTGCCTCCATACTCACACTTTTAGCCTTTACACACCCCTGAGCTTTCCGTTCAGGATTCATTTAAGGTGCTCGGTTTCTCTGTAGGTTACTAGCAAAGGATGCATCTGAGTGACTCTCTGTAGTGTGACTGGTGGTGCAGTTATTGTTAATGTTAGAGCAGTGTCTTCATTGTTTTCATTCTGAAGGAGTTCAAGGGTCACAAGTCAGGAGGTGAAGGCTTTGGCAGCGATCCAACATTTGGACCACGAGTCCACGCATCCTTACTCCATCCGTTCACAGTTTGGCACCAGTGATGTTACACCGCAGTGTGTTCCAAAGATGCTGCAGCTGTCTCATCAGCTGGTGGACACAAACTTTCCTAGGAAACTGCTTTTTGGTGCAAATGGGGTTTTTTTGCAAAAAGCATCTGGTCAAACCTTGCATGATGATGCATAATGGGGAGGTTGCTACAGTTGTCCATATTAGAATTTAAAAAATCTTTTTCCTTTAAAAAAAATCTAGTAAAGTACATAAAAATGACGTTAAAAGAATATTATTTGGGTTGCCAAGTCAAGCACTTAAAAGCTAGGACACACCAGACATACAGTTGCCCATGCAACATTAATTTGGCACCCTTGTGCATGCACATTATAATATTTAACAACTTAATCGCATAGTTTCTTTTCCACAGGACATTTGCCTCATTTATTGCACAAGTTTGATGCCCAAGGGGGAGTGAATGAAAATTGTACAGACATCTGTAAATCTGGCACTTCTTAATTTTCAAGTGCTTGACTTTGCAACCTAAATAACATTTTTTAAAATATATTTTTGTATGTAATTATCTGTATACTTCTGCAATTCAGATAGCAGAGGATGGGAGAAAATGGGCCATCCTTAACCACTGCCCTTGGAACAGAAGTATAGCAAAGGTATCAAGTTAGTAACATGGGAGTGATTATGCAGATGAGCTGACATCATGTATATGGGCATGTTATAAATTCCTAGATATATAGTATGGGAGCACTATGTGAATGCCCATCGTAAGGCTTGGAGCATGCCCACTGTGAATGAGATTTTTCCAGAAGCCTGTGCAGACTTAGACTGAGCAGAGTGCTTCTACAGTTAATAAAATGTTCTGGACCTTTTTTCCTGACAAGACTGATTTCTGAGTATTTATTATATGTTATAAGGACACCAATGCTGCACTGGGACAGAGAAGTCTTGGAGTCAGCATCTAGTTATGATAAAACAGTATCACGCAGGGTCCCGAGTCAGCATTTAAAAAATAAGCTCAGGAAGAGATAGGATTTTGAAGCAGGCCACCATAAACTCACAGAGCCATGCAAAAATCTGTCTATACTCCTTTGACACCTATTTTATCTGTAGGGCAGATGTTCAGAAAATTGTGCATGCAATTATGAATGCAAATATGCACATGCATTTGCACTCTGATTTTGTACATGTGCTCACTGCAACTGCATAAATAATTGCTACAGTTGTGTCCACAAATTAGGTTTGCAAAGTTTGTACATTTTTGCATTTGCGGTCACATGTACACTTTTCTGAAATTCTGGCCCATGTGGTACACACCACTCCCCTAGATAGACGGCTTTGATTAGAAGAGGACTAAATGAGACATTTGACAAAGAACTAGTGATAGATACTTTGTCCCAGGAAAATCAGTGTCCGACTGCAGTAGAAAAATGGTTAGAGGTTGTCAGTGCAGCTCAGGATGAAAACATCTCCAAAGTTTGTAATGTTTGGACCTATTTTTCATGGCTCACTATAGAGATTAGCCCTAGCAAGCTGAAACACTAGACTGGACAACACCAGGATTACTTAGATTGTAAGCTTTTGGGGGGCACTGAGAGGAGGGGGGGGTTGCCTGTGTGCCCCAGGCCAGCGGTACTGCAATGGTGATACTCCAGGGCATAACACCTAATGGCAAGAGTTCAAGGGTCGATTTCACTGGCAGTTTCAGTTTGGGATAACATCACCCAATCACAAGAGCTAAAAGGCTGCTTTGCCTAGTGGCAATAGCTCAGGGTAGCATCGCCCACTGGCAAGAGTCCAATGGTCACTTTGCCTAGCAGCTGTTGTTCCAGGGTAGTGTCGCCCACTGGTGAGATGGGGGAACCCACGCCCACCCTACTCCACTGGGTTCCAACCCATGGCCCTTCAAAACAGTGGCCCTTGGACAGGGTTCAGGGCTTGGTACCCTTAAGCACATGTAACGCCGACAGACCCCAGTGGTTGTTGGCTGGGATCAAACCTGGGATCTCTGGAGCTTAATGCATGAACCAAAAGACACATCTTTTAGCCAAGGTTGTAGCAGGCTCATCAATTTCTAGCTCTTGTAGCTGTCACTAGAGGGGAACAGAGTGCCACACCAAGTAGGCATGGTTTACACAAGCTCCCTGGGTCACTTTCTACCCTTGTTCCAGACCCTCCAATGTCATCCTGGGTTGGACTTAGGGTGCCCTCTGATCCGTCTCTGGAGTCTCTTCCACTGGCAACAGCAAGTCATCGCCCTCAGCTCCTACAGTCAATGGATTTCTAGCTGCTCAGCAATGGGGCTTAGTCCTTATTTATTTATTTGGCATATGCAGGGATTGGCCCTGGCAACGCTGAGTCCTGGAGGCTTCCCAGCAGGAGGCTGCTGCACCCAATTGGTCTCCTCCTTGGTCAGCCCAGACTGAGCTGTCACTTCCTTAAAAAGAAAAGGAGTACTTGTGGCACCTTAGAGACTAACCAATTTATTTGAGCATGAGCTTTCGTGAGCTACAGCTGTCACTTCCTTGTAATTGCTCCCTCCACTGGTAGCATGCCCAGCAGAGGTGAGGGGATGTGGCCTCTTGGGCCCAGAGCAGTCCTTTAATCCTCACCCAATCAGTGTGGGGCTGGTACACCCTGTTAAAGGCAAGGACTGTCTTTGTTCTGTGTTTGTACAGCATCAAGTACAATGGTTCCAGGCTGGAGCTCCTAGGAGCTACTGCAATACAAATAATTAATAATAATAAATGGGACAGGGTATTGGGGAGTCATGTAACCAAAAATGGGTGGATGGATGGTTTATGTTTCCCCTCACCCTTGTTGAATCTTGCTAGGGGAGAAAATGCTGTAATATTCTTTCAGCAGAAAGCATTTTCTATTACATTTGAGGAGCTTTCGGCTTTCTTTTCCATGTTTAAAAACAGTTCAACACACATTTTAAATGGCTGTGGGGCCATGAAAAAGGAAACACAAAAGAAAAAGGGGAAACAGAACAAAACTCTGAAAGCCCAACCCGGGTCTGTTCCAGAGCTGTGAGAATGGGGTTTAGCACTTTTGCTTTAACTGTTTCCCCCTGGGGACCTGAACCTGCTCTTCCTGAGGTCAGTGGGAGTTTTGCCATTGACTTCATCAGAAGTAGAATTGAGCCCTGGGTCCCCTCCATGCAGATTGCCTTTTCTGTCTTGCATTTCATAATGTCACCAAAGGCCATTGTAGCAAGAGATGTGGCAGCAGGGCAGCAGACAAGATGGTGGTTAAAGTATGCCTAAACAAACATTGTATTTTTATTGCAATTCACTGAAAAGCTGCTTTTGACTTGGAACCTATAAACTTAATCTGCTGAGAAGCTTTCAAACTAGCAAATACATCTTTGGTCTCATCATGCTCAGTAATTACGTTGTGTGAGAAGTCAACAGAAATAGACGTTTAGCTTGGCTTTCCTTTCTTGACCTCTTGACCTCCTTTGGTTGCCTTTGTTTGAAATAAAGTTACCAGTATGTTCTATAAGAAGTAAATAAATCAATATATTGCTCTGTATGTTCGTAAGTTCAAAAATAGAATAAAGCACAAAAACATGATAGAAAAAGTTTCCTTGTTTGCTTTTATTACTTTTGTAGCAGGGGAAATGGAATATAAACAATCTTACTTGGATATTAACATTCCTTTTGGACAGCTGCTTAAATGAAATTGGACGTCTGTGTAGAACAAAACTTGAAGCTATCATTGCTATGATTTTTTTTAACTTCTTTTTCAGAAAGGGGCTGTTTGCTGGCATAAAGCTGAAGAAGAAGAAAAAAGGCGAGAAGGGGTTAACTATTGAAAACAGAGGTGCAGTGGGTAAGGCCTAGTAAATCAATATTACACCTGGTTAGAAAAGAGAACAAGGGTGAGATTATTTTATCCCTAACTTCCCCTGTAAAATCATGTGAATTGAGCCTTACAACTATTGGTTTAAGAAATGATAAAATGGACAGTAAATTCCTTATCAATCCTAACTAAATATAAACACAGCCTACTCCTACAGGGTTAGCTGTTTGGTCAAAGGCACTCAGAGATCATCTGAGTGCAGATTATAGCATCTGAAATTAGTCTAATGTTATAGAAGTAAATGGTCAAAACCATTTTTCCTTTAGGGAAGCACTGAGTATTGCACAATTCAATATGTTCTAGATACATATTGATTAAGTTACAGGAAATTTTGAATTCCATCCAGGTCACTGTGATTCCATCCAGAAGTTGTAAATCACAAGAGAAAAAACATAGTGGTTTGTGTGATTGTCGGAAGCCGGAGTTAGAATTATAGTCCAGTCATTTTAAATATTTTTTAAAATTTTATCTAATACATGGATCTTGCATCCATAATTTACACAGGTTCCTATTTCTCCTTTTCCTACTGCACTTCTCTCTTCCAAACCCACATGAAATTCTCCTAGGTGTCTTCCCCCACTACTTTATCCTCCTATTCCTATAGCTCTCCCTTTCACCTCCACCACATCAGCTATCTCATACAGAAGGGGTTAGTTGAGTCTCATAAATCCTAGGTGTGAGGTCATGCCTTGAATTCTGTGGGGTCTTTTAAAATGTGGATTTTAGTGTGTTTACTGCACTCTATGAATTATTATACAGTAAAAAACTGGCTGGTACATATATATATACCATGACCTTCTATTGTACAGAAACAGAAGTACTTAACTGTGACTCATAGACACTATATTGCTAACAGCTGCTACACCAAAGGCGATTCTCCTTTCACTCACATGGCAAGGGCTTGCGCTAGTGGAGCAGGAAGATCTGACTTCTGTCCACACTACTGCCATGTAGTTCTGAAGGAGCATGGTGTGCAGCATAGCAATAACCACTAAGTTCCTAGGTGGTCCTGTTTTTTTACAATATGTTACACTGCGGTCAGTGAAATCTGCTGCACTTTTCCATGCAAACACTCATATTGCAGCAACTGCTTAATACAGCCGATTCTGCCATTAGACATCTACATCACTGTTTTGCATCTTCATACGCATCATTAGTGCCTTTGATTACTAAACTACGGGAGAAATCTTTTAACATGACAGCAGGTTCCTTCTTGGTTCTGACTGAGGATAAGAGAAACTGAAGATTTCCTGGAGAGACGTCAGGATATGCTTCTACAGGCACAATGTTCTGAAGATTCAGAGCAGGCTGCACAGCAGGGACAGGAGGACGGTGAAGAAATTTGGCAGCATGTGACCTCCAGAAGAAGAAAGGGGAGCATCCATGTACCAGCAACGCAGAGACAGGTAAGTACCGTTTTCATGTTCTCTCCACAGGTACTAATGCGGAGAGTGGACTAGATGATGCATCTGAGGGAAGGGAACAGAAGGAGACTCCGCCGATTGGAAGGCATGAGATGCACTGTCCTAGGGTTGGGGGTTCCACGACCACCGCTCCCAAGAGAAGGAGATGGGTGGTGGTGGTCGGGGACTCTCTCCTCAGGGGGACTGAGTCATCTATCTGCTGCCCCGACCGGGAAAACCGAGAAGTCTGCTGCTTGCCAGGAGCTAGGATTCACGATGTGATGGAGAGACTGCCGAGACTCATCAAGCCCTCGGACCGCTACCCCTTCCTGCTTCTCCATGTGGGCACCAATGATACTGCCAAGAATGACCTTGAGCGGATCACTGCAGACTACGTGGCTCTGGGAAGAAGGATAAAGGAGTTTGAGGCACAAGTGGTCTTCTCGTCCATCCTCCCCTTGGAAGGAAAAGGCCGGGGTAGGGATCGTCGAATCATGGAAGTCAATGAATGGCTATGCAGGTGGTGTCGGAGAGAAGGCTTTGGATTCTTTGACCCTGGGATGGTGTTCCAAGAATGAGGAGAGCTAGGCAGAGACGGGCTCCACCTAACGAAGAGAGGGAAGAGCATCTTCGCAAGCAGGCTGGCTAACCTAGTGAGGAGGGCTTTAAACTAGGTTCACCGGGGGAAGGAGACCAAAGCCCTGAGGTAAGTGGGGAAGTGGGATACCGGGAGGAAGCATGAGCAGAAGCACGTGAGAGGGCAGGGCTCCTGCCTCATACTGAGAAAGAGGGACGATCAGCGAGTTACCAAATGCAAGAAGTCTGGAAAACAAGCAGGGAGAACTGGAAGTCCTGGCACAGTCAAGGAATTATGATGCGATTGGAATAACAGGGACTTGGTGGGATAACTCCCATGACTGGAGTACTGTCATGGATGGATATAAACTGTTCAGGAAGGACAGGCAAGGCAGAAAAGGTGGGGGAGTTGCACTGTATGTGAGGGAGCAGTATGACTGCTCAGAGCTCAAGTATGAAACTGCAGAAAAACCTGAGAGTCTCTGGATTAAGTTTAGAAGTGTGAGCAACAAGGGTGATGTCGTGGTGGGAGTCTGCTATAGACCACTGGACCAGGGGGATGAGGTGGACAAGGCTTTTTCCCGGCAACTCACAGAAGTTACTAGATTGCAGGCCCTGGTTCTTATGGGAGACTTCAATCACCCTAATATCTGCTGGGAGAGCAATACAGCGGTGCACAAACAATCCAGGAAGTTTTTGGAAAGTGTAGGGGACAATTTCCTGGTGCAAGTGCTGGAGGAACCAACTAGGGGCAGAGCTCTTCTTCACCTGCTGCTCACAAACCGGGAAGAATTAGTAGGGGAAGCAAAAGTGGATGGGAACTTGGGAGGCAGTGACCATGAGATGGTCGAGTTCAGGATCCTGACACAAGGAAGAAAGGAGAGCAGCAGCATACGGACCCTGGACTTCAGAAAAGCAGACTTTGACAACCTCAGGGAACTGATGGGCAGGATCCCCTGGGAGAAGAACATGAGGGGGAAAGGAGTCCAGGAGAGCTGGCTGTATTTTAAAGAATCCTTATTGAGGTTACAGGGACAAACCATCCCGATATGTAGAAAGAATAGTAAATATGGCAGACGACCAGCTTGGCTTAACAGTGAAATCCTTGCTGATCCTGAACACAAAAAAGAAGCTTACAAGAAGTGGAAGATTGGACAAATGACCAGGGAAGAGTATAAAAATATTGCTCGGGCATGCAGGAGTGAAATCAGGAAGGCCAAATCACACTTGGAGTTGCAGCTAGCAAGAGATGTTAAGAGTAATAAGAAGGGTTTCTTCAGGTATGTTAGCAACAAGAAGAAAGTCAAGGAAAGTGTGGGCCCCTTACTGAATGAGGGAGGCAACCTAGTGACAGAGGATGTGGAAAAAGCTAATGTACTCAATGCTTTTTTTGCCTCTGTCTTCACGAACAAGGTCAGCTCCCAGACTTCTGCACTGGGCAGCACAGCATGGGGAGGAGGTGACCAGCCCTCTGTGGAGAAAGAAGTGGTTCAGGACTATTTAGAAAAGCTGGACGAGCACAAGTCCATGGGGCCGGATGCGCTGCATCCGAGAGTGCTAAAGGAGTTGGCAGATGTGATTGCAGAGCCATTGGCCATTATCTTTGAAAACTCATGGCGATCGGGGAAGTCCCGGATGACTGGAAAAAGGCTAATGTAGTGCCCATCTTTAAAAAAGGGAAGAAGGAGGATCCTGGGAACTACAGGCCAGCCAGCCTCACCTCAGTCCCTGGAAAAATCATGGAGCAGGTCCTCAAGGAATCAATTCTGAAGCACTTAGAGGAGAGGAAAGTGATCAGGAACAGTCAGCATGGATTCACCAAGGGCAAGTCATGACTGACTAATCTAATTGCCTTCTATGATGAGATAACTGGCTCTGTGGATGAGGGGAAAGCGGTGGACGTGTTGTTCCTTGACTTTGGCAAAGCTTTTGACATGGTCTCCCACAGTATTCTTGCCAGCAAGTTAAAGAAGTATGGGCTGGATGAATGGACTATAAGGTGGATAGAAAGCTGGCTAGAGTGTCAGGCTCAACGGGTAGTGATCAATGGCTCCGTGTCTAGTTGGCAGCCGGTATCAAGTGGAGTGCCCCAAGGGTTGGTCCTCGGCCCAGTTTTGTTCAATATCTTCATTAATGATCTGGAGGATGGTGTGGATTGCACCCCTCAGCAAGTTTGCAGATTACACTAAACTGGGAGAAGAGGTAGATACGCTGGAGGGTAGGGATAGGATACAGAGGGCCCTAGACAAATTAGAGGATTGGGCCAAAAGTAATCTGATGAGGTTCAACAAGGACAAGTGGAGAGTCCTGCACTTAGGATGGAAGAATCCCATGTACCGCTACAGACGAGGGACCGAATGGCTAGGCAGCAGTTCTGCAGAAAAGGACCTAGGGGTTACAGTGGACAAATAGCTGGATATGAGTCATCAGTGTGCCCTTGTTGCCAAGAAGGCCAATGGCATTTTGGGCTGTATAAGTAGGGGCATTGCCAGTAGATCGAGGGACGTGATCATTCCCCTCTATTTGACATTGGTGAGGCCTCATCTGGAGTACTGTGTCCAGTTTTGGGCCCCACACTAGAAGAAGGATGTGGAAAAATTGGAAAGAGTCCAGCGTAGGGCAACAAAAATGATTAGGGGACTGGAACACATGACTTATGAGGAGAGGCTGAGGGAACTGGGATTGTTTAGTCTGTGGAAGAGAAAAATGAGGGGGGATTTGATAGCTGCTTTCAACTACCTGAAAGGGGGTTCCAAAGAGGAAGGATCTAGACTGTTCTCAGTGGTAGCTGATGACAGGACAAGGAGTAATGGTCTCAAGTTGCAGTGGGAGAGGTTTAGGTTGGATATTAGGAAAAACTTTTTCACTAGGAGGGTGGTGAAACACTGGAATGCATTACCTAGGGAAGTGGTGGAATCTCCTTCCCTGGAAGTTTTTAAGGTCAGGCTTGACAAAGTCCTGGCTGGGATGATTTAGTTGGGGATTGGTCCTGCTTTGAGCAGGGGGGTTGGACTAGATGACCTCCTGAGGTCCCTTCCAACCCTGATATTCTATGATTCTATGATTTTGTCTCCTGCTGGGGCTCACAAGATGTATCAAAGAAAGAGTACACCGAGGGATTATGTTCCACTGGCTGAATCATTTTCATTTTCTATCAGTGAATTCACACAAGGCAATATTTGTGGCTGAGTAGTAATGGAAAGGAGTTCTCAGTTATTGCAGGAACTGGGTAGAAGTATCAAAAACATCTGCTCAGATATCAAGATGACAGATAGCATAAGGAAATTTTAAAGGAAAACCATTACAAAATTATTTTAAGTTTCAGAGTAACAGCCGTGTTAGTCTGTATTCGCAAAAAGAAAAGGAGTACTTGTGGCACCTTAGAGACTAACCAATTTATTTGAGCATAAGCTTTCGTGAGCTACAGCTCACTTAAATTGAAACTGAAAAGATTTTTCTTGACAGAATATAATTCTGGCACATGGCCCTTCCCAGCTGGAAGAGAATTCTGAGTGTTTCAGCCTGCAAAGTAAACAAAGTAAAGCAATAAAGTGCAGTAATCAAACACCACATGCTAGAGTAAATAGGATAGGGGCAATTGATCATGAGACTGCAGCAATGCAGAAGCAAAACAAAAGAAAAAATGTACAGAGGGACCCTTAGGGCTAAATCAGTGCAGTTGGTCCTAATGGGAGCAATACCAATTTATGTCAGTTGAGGTTAAAGCCCTTGGATTCAGTCAGAACCACACCAATGTTTATGCAGATGCCTCCATGTCCTCTGCTTTTGGGTGCATCAGTTTTACTCTTAAAGTGTTTCCAGTTGGACAGCCAACTTCAGTGGCCTTAATGTTTTGGATACTTGCCGTAACTGTTGCTGAACTGCAACATTTACCATGTTTGCATAAAAATCCTTCAAAGTCACCCCAGATTAAAACTATCCCCACAACTCACTCACCCCTTCTTAACTCCCCCCCCCCGCTGGGGGCAGCCTGCACAAACCGAAAAGCTTTGTGACGTGCCACAAAGAATAGCAGATTTGGGTTGTGTCAGGCCACGCATGCAGAGGCAGGGAGTGAGTTTCAGAGCTGATGTCTCTTCACGGTAAATGACTCACTTCCCACCTCTTCCCATTTATATCTGGGAGTTGTTAGCCTGAGTTCTCTGGCTGATCTTAACGGCAGGATACAGCAGAGATGTAGTCTCTAAGCTAGCCTGCATTGATTTAGAGCTTGAATTGGAAGTCAGTGCAGGCTATAGAGCACAGGTCGGATATACTCCCTGCTGGAAACACTGCCTTGTTCATTATTATCTTTAATGGAAGAAGGAGTCCGGCATCTTCAAGAAAGGGATCAAGGAAAATGTAGGTCCACCACTTAGCTGGGAAGGAGAGCTAATAACGGATGACACCAAGAAGGCTTAGGTGTTTAACTCCTATTTTGCTTCAGCCTTCACTAAAAAAAGTTAATTGTGACCAGATGCTAAACACAATTAATATTAACAACAAGGGTGAAGAAACAAAAGCCAGAATAGGGAAAGAGCAGGTTAAAGAATATTTAGATAAATTAGATGTATTCAAGTCAGCAGGGCCTGATGAAGTTCACCCTAAGGTACTTAAGGAACTAGCTGAAGCAATCTTGGAACTGTTAACGATTATCTTTGAGAAGTCATGGAAGATGGGTAAGGTCTCAGAGGACTGGAGAAGGGTAAGCATAGTACTTATCTTTAAAAAGGAGAACAAAGAGGACCTGGGGATTTATAGACCAGTCAGCCTGACTTTGATACTTAGAAAGATACTGGAATGAATTATTACACAATCAATTTGTAATCCCTAGAGGACAACAGGGTGATAACTAATAGCCAACATGGATTTGTTAAGAACAAACTAACCTAATTTCCTTCTTTTGATAAAATTACTGGCTTAGTGAATAGGGGGGAAGCAGTAGATGAAGTATACCTTAATTTTAGTAAAGCTTTGACAGAGTCCCACTTGACATTCTCATAAACAGACTAATGAAATGTGGTCTAGATGAGATTACTATTAGATGGGTGCACAGCTGATTGAGCAACCACGCTCAAGGAGTAGTTATCAATAGTTCACTGTCAAATTAAGAGGACATATCTAGTGGGGTCCTGCAGGGACCAGACCTGGGTCCAGTACTATTCAATATTTTCATTAATGACTCAGTTAAAGGAGTGAGGGCCTGTTTATAAACTTTGCAGCTGACACCAAGCTGGGAAGAGTTGCAAGCAATGTGGGAGACAGGATTAGAATTCTTGATAAATTGGAGAATTGTTTTGAAATCAACAAGATGAAATTCAGTAAAGACAAGTGCAAAGTACTGCTCTTAGGAAGGAAAAATCTAATGCACAACTAGAAAATGGAGAATAACTGGCTAGGTAATAGTACTGTTGAAAAGGATCTAGGAGTTATAATGAGCCAAAAACGTGATGCAGTTGACAACCCCTACCCTCCCCACACAAAAACTAATATAATTCTGGGGTGTATTAACAGGTGTGTTGTAATTAAGACACAGGAAGTAATTGTTCCACTCTATTTGGCACTGGTGAGGCCTCAGCAGAGTACTGTGTCCAACATTGGGCACCAAACTTGAAAAAGATGATCATGTGGACAAACTGGAGAGTCCAGAGAAGAGCAACATTAATGATAAAAGATTAAGAAAACCTGACCTGTGAGGAAGGTTAAAAAACCTGTGTATGTTTAATCTTGAGAAAAGACTGCAAGGGAACCTGGTAACAGTCTTCAAATAGATTAAGGGCTGTTAGAAAGGGGATGGTGATCAGTTGATCTTCATGTCCATTTAAGATAGGACAAGATGTAATTGGCTTAATCTGAAACAAGGGAGATTTAGGTTAGATATGAGGAAAAATTTGTAACTATAAGGATAGTTAAGCACTGGAATTGATTACCAAACGGGGTTGTGGAATCCCCTTCATTGGAGGAGTTAAAGAACAGTTTAAACACCTGTCAGAGATGGTCTAGTTATACTTGGTACTACATCAGTGTAGAAGAATGGATGAGAGGACCTCTCAGGATCCCTTCCAGCCCTACCTTTCTATGATTCTGTGATAGAAGGGGATACATTTTCTTTATTTTTTTGTTAATCAGGTGAGCACGATGAAAGTGAGAGTCTTCACCATGAGATGTCTGGAGGACAAGAAGGGGGAGATGGTGATTTCATGTATGATGACACTGCATCTTACAGTGGCTTTGCACCCGCAGGGCCGCAGAGGAAAAGGTACTTGGCTAAATCACTAATATTTCCAGTTATTCCCCATCCTGTTCTTCTTGGTGACAGCACTGCCATTGGCAGCACTTCCCATGGCTAGAATATCAACTTGCTGAAAGTACTGATCTCTCACCAGCTGTACTTCTACATGGTATATGGTGATTGTCACCAAATGCAGGGCACTGCAGAGTGTGAGTAAAGGAAGGAGAACCAGGATTAAGCTGCTAATGAAAGTGAGTTAGAGAAAGAAGACAGAAATCTTCAGAGTTGTCGTGGTTGATAATCTGGGGAAAAATGTGAGTCTGATCCAAGTCCCACTGTAGTCAGCAGGAATTCTTTCATTTACTTTGGTGAGCATTGTATCAGACCCTGTATTTATATCTGCTATATATCTATAGCTATATAATATTCTGCATGTGCAGAGTTACTTCATATATATGTAACCCCTACTTGCTCACAGTGGCATCGTGTCCCCCTCTAGTGCTGTTTAGGTCCCCTAGAGATTGATGAGCCTGCTACAACCTTGGCTAAGAGACATGCGTCTGTTACGAAATGCTGACCCACATGGGGCGTCGGCAGTGGGGATCAAACCTGCGATCTCTGGAACTTAATGCATAAGCCTCTACTGCCTGAGCTAAAAGACATCTTTCTATTAGCCGAGCCTGTAGAAGGCTTATTAATCTCCCCTGGGCCTAGACACCACTAGAGGGGGACAGAGTGCCACTCCAAGCAAGCAGGGGTTACATATATCAGTGTGTAGAGAGAGATGTCTGATGAACTTAGAAATATAATGTCCTGTGCTATGCAGGAGATCAGGCTAAATGATCATAATGGTCCCTTCCAATCTTAAAATCTACGAATCTATGAACTGGATAAGAATCAGACAGAGACCTTCAGTTCCTGGCATTAATTCCCTCTTTGCATTTTCATACTAAGCATTAAGATAAAATGTGAAGACACACAAAGCTGTTTTTGGGAGATATGAAAATACATGGTATCATTATCCCGAAGAAAGATCCTAGGGCTCACATATGAAGTGACTGCCGGTGATATAAAACCAAGTAGCCTATCTCAAAACGAGCCACTAAAAATAGTTGTTTCAAGGAAAATGGTATTAAACACATCTCTTGAGCATGTGTCAAAGAACTAAGAATGTAATGTTTTTGATGGGTGATGCATAATATTCTGTTCCATAATTTAAACAGAGCAAAACTGGAGACCAAAATTCATGCTGGTGATATAAAATCCCAGAATTATCAGGTGAGTAGACTGCAGTGCACACATTTATAATAACACTACTTATGTTTATTAAAATAACTGATGAGATTGAATCTGAGACTGCTTTCGTGCATGTGTCGTATTTGTGCCCTGCAGATTGCAATAACAATCATTGAAGCCCGGCAATTAGTTGGCGAGAATATTGATCCAGTGGTGATCATAGAGATTGGAGATGAAAAGAAGCAAACGACAGTCAAAGAAGGCACAAATGCCCCATTTTACAATGAAGTAAGTACCTTGCAGTTGGGAAGATGCTGTTGGAAATGGTTGCAGAATGGTGACTGTTCATATTACAGTAACTAGAGATTAATGACTAAAGCAATCTAATCTCTCTGACAAGGAAAGTGTGTCAGCAAGCTGTTTAAATTTAAAGTATGGAAGAGCAAAAGTGACAACTGTTCCATCTTGCGTCTCTCAACCTCTCTCTTTTCACTTTCTCTCCAATCTCATCCGCTGAGGACGTGATTCGCCATGTCTCATTCCTCCTCTACCACTCCCATCTCTCATTCATGAGCTCTTCCCAGACTAGTTCCCCCCAACCCACCATCACTCTCTTCAAGTTCAAATTGTTCCGACACTTGCTTTTGCAAGTTACACAAGGAGTTTGATAAAATAACTTCCAAAGCAGACCAAATTATTTCTTCTTCTGGGCTTCCCATCTTCTCTGCCTCTAGCTTTTAGATTTAGAGCTCTTAAATAAATGTAGTGTGTGTTTAAAAATAGTCTGATAGAAGCATATGTGGAAGTATATTAGATTAGACCATAACTTCAAACTGTGTGGCAAATAGTGCTTGCTAATGACAGCATTAAGAACAATACTAATCTGCAATTTTGTTTTTCCACAGTATTTTGTGTTTGACTTCATTGGACCTCAAGTGCATTTATTTGACAAAATTATCAAAATCTCTGTAAGTATTTTGGGAAGTTTTATGTTGTTTTATTAAACAAGGATCAAATATTTGGCTGTGTGTGTTATACTAGGTCTAACAGTGATGTTCATAAAAAGAGAAACCATTATGTTTTAAATGCCAATGGTAACACGAGGTTGAAAGTGTGTGCACTAAGGTGAAGTTAGGGATGGGGAAAGGGAGAAGTGTCAACTGGTAATGACTTAAAGAGACTTAAAACAACCGAACAGCAAGATCCAGTGAATTTTCATGGACATCTTTTTGAAAGTAAATTATAAACTAGTGAACAGTGTGTTACTTGGTTGGATATTTGAGTGGTACATTGGCCTCACATTGGCCCTCTGTAGAGGATGAATTTCACCCAATATTAGTGGAGCCCTCAGCATTGTCTTCATCCCTTTAATTTTCAACCTTCACATCAGTTTTTCTCAGTTTACTGAGCTGAAACTTTTTTTTTTGGGGGGGGGGGGCCTTATCTCAATTCTTCCAATGCAACCCAAGTTCAAATTTGAAAGCTGCATTCCAGCTCTTTAGGCATGAGCAACACCAGTGCTCAAATAATCCTAGCATTTTAATTGTTGCTTGTTATTCAGGAGGAAAAGGAACTTAACTGTAAGTTAAATTGCTATGCTCAGCACTGCATTGACTCTGGTGCGGTGAAACCCCAAGGAGCAAATCCAACTATCCCAATCAGTCTTGCTTTGAATACTGAAATGAACAAACATACAGCTACTCATTTTGTTAAAGATGGTTTCATGCACCTGGGGAAAGCTGAATTAACTGCTAATCTCTGCCAGGAATATATTCCTAAAATAGTTGATTCTAGGAATGAAGAAGCATTTAAAGTATGCTGTGGGGAATGTGTGTGTTTCGCATAGCATTGAGAAGTTTAATATGTAAAACAAATATAGATCTAATTAGCACTTTCCCTGGAGAGAAATCAGTAGTCGAATGTTGCACAGACGCAAATGGAATGATACTGAGGAAGTACACATTTGTTTCCCATTGAAGCCCAAGATGATGAGAGTATCAAAGCAGGTGTTGGTTTGGGGGTTTGGACAAACATCTAGAGTTTAGGGATGAATCTTCAGACTTCTGTGGAGCTACATTGATTTACACCAGTGGAGCATCTGGTCCTATATATGCATCCCAAGCCTTTTCAAACCTAAAACTGGGCTAGAACTTGAGCAAGAGATATGGGCCAGTGCCACTTGTATTTGTAGCTAGAAATACCACAAGCCTGGCCTCTCATGTAGTATTTCAGCATTTCTGCTTCCAGTCCCAGCCTCATATCCAAAAATTTCCAAACCATTAAAAATGGTTCAGTTTGAATTTGGTCAGAGAAATGAACAATGGTTCCAGGTATTGGGAAAGGTTGTTTTTTATTTTTTTTATGAAGTACGTCGCCCATTTATAACAAACACACCAGGCCTATATCAGAACAGGGCCCACATTTGAGTGGCAGAACCAGATGGCTGTCTAAGAGTCACATGGATCCATGCATACAAAACCTGCTGTTGTAAGATTCAGAGATGTTCACTATGTATTTGAAGAGCCAGGATCCAGTCTCAGGTTTCATACCATCAGAAGTGCAGCACTTCAAGTGCAGTTATCCTGGTTGGGTGCACAAAGTGGGTATTTTCATGTACGAATGGCCAATTTGAGGCCCAGCAAGTCAGCTGTGTTAGCACATTTCTAATTTGTATTCCAAATTCCAAACTAATTTTGTGGTGTTTGCCTCTTTAGCTTGGGCATATAAAGGTGAAATTCACCCTATGCAGAGCAGCAACACAAGGTCTTTTGACCAGTTAAACTCTGCTTACCCCCTTAATATAAAGCTTCAGTGGGGCTCAACTAGTGCGTCGGCCCCCTTGTTGGCCTTTCGCACAGATGTGTATTTCAGCCCCAATTGCATGCACGTTTTGGTGCCTGGTGCTGTCCCGCAGGATCAAACCCATAGGGCATGGAATTAGTTCTTTGTAAAATACTTGCTGCATGTGAAGAGTAGATATTTTCCCAAGAGAAACAGTTCTTCCATTTGAAGAACATTTGAATTCTATACGTTTATCTACATATGTTTAAAAGATACAAAAGTAAGTAGAGCATATTAAATCAATATCTTGCTTATTCATTTTTTCTTCACACTACATCCCTTTCTTTGAATTATACTATAATTACAAGAAGCCTTCACCTGGTAAATGTCTGTTATTTTTACTTCCACGTCTAATCTTACTGATTAAGTTTTTCTTCGGTAGCTTAGCCATCTGTCAACATCTGGGTTGAGGGCCTGAATGCCAAGTTTCAACAGAGAAAATGGGCCAGTGCCTCAGCTGGTGTAAGTTGGCCTAGTTGCATTGAATTCAATGGAGAAACCAGGAGAGGATTTGGCCCCAAGGTTGTAATGATTAGGCCATAAACAAAATATGGCCAATCTAATACAATGCTAATGTATGCTATTATAATCAGGAATTCATTTCAGTTATCTTGGAACATGGCTTTAGAAATAAACAGCATGTCAAGGGAATAAAATTGAACGAGCGAGCAAATACGTGTCCTGGCAAGAAACAGCACCACAGGAGATGGAAAACTTCCTACATTTGCTTGGTTTGAAGCTAGCCTGAGGAGAAGCAAAGTTTAACAGCCTTCGGGACTACTAATCCCTCACACACTGAATCCGTATTATCATGGAAATGTACAGACCTGTGTCTAGAAGCCTCAGGAAAGCAAATAATGTAGCAGCACTACCATGTATCAGCCCAGCGGTTAGTCTAACTGCCATTCGATTCCTGTTCTTGGGGGAGAACAGGGCCCTTTTCTGTCTCCCAAGCCCTTAAAAATGAATAGATTTCCTTCTCATTAACCTCTTCAGACACATTATGGCAACATCCTTTCAATGCTGTAGGCATGATTGATATTGTACTTTCACTCTAAGCCCTTATCCTCAGTACTCAGTTACATTCTAGACTGATATTTCTCCTGCTCCTTCTCAGCTGGAAAGTTTGAAGAAAATCCCTTCAGTTATTTTTTGAGTTTATTGATTGTGAAAAAACCCACCATGGGTTTTTAGCTGTTCAGCTGGTTATTGTGCTTGCTTCTGCCTTCCTCCCCCTCCCCCATGGAGAAAAGAAAAAGAGTTTGATTTGAAACGTCAAACTTGCCTGCTTTACTACATCTGGGTGGAGAGCGGGGAGGGTTGGACAGTGGGGGAAGCTTGAGAAATAAGAGTGAAAAAAATATATACAGAGCACTGCACACAAGAGCTGTTAGTTACTTATTTTCCTTGTCAATTTAAGAGCCTCATCCTGCAAGGGGTGGAGCCCTGTGGGACTTCAGTGGGAATAGAGAACACTCAGAATCTCACAGGGGCATAGGTGCCGGAACTAGGGGTGCTGCCAGACCCCCTGGCTTGAAGTGGTTTCCATCATATACAGGGTTTACAGTTTGATTCAATGGCTGTCAGCATCCCCACTATACAAATTGTTCCAGCACCACTGCACAGGGGTTCAACACTCTTCACACCGGAAGGCCCCTACGTGCCCACAAAGTGTAGTTTTCACATGGGACTATCCCGGAATATCCACTCAGACTCTGGAGAGGGGAGAGAAAATAAAAGGAGAGCAATGAGAGAACTGGACCCTAGCCTTGACTTTCACTCCAATAGATCCCTTTCTTGCCCTGACTAAAGCTTTATGAAACGTTGTGGTTTTGGTTGCGCAGGACTTGTGAACGTTTTTTATGTGGAGTGGGGCTGCCACTTTGGTTTCCATGGGTTCACGCTCCTATTGCAGCCACAAAGTCAAAGTGAAATTCATCCAAAGCTGTTGTTTTCCCTGGCTTCAAGGTGAAACCACTGAGTTTTCACAGTTTCTTGAATCCCAAAGCCTATCTTAACTTAGGTTCCTTGAAAATTAGATGGATGCTATATTAATGATTTAACTGGTCTGGCATTAGGTTGGCTGCTGCTTCAGTTTCCCAGAAGGCCTTGCTGAAGGCTACAGTCTCATGATCCTTGGGCTACAAGTCCTATGATTTGAGAGGAGACTCAAGATCTATCTCCCCCATGACAGATCCATACCAAAAGCTGAATCCAAGTCTGTATCTGGAATATATAGAATTGAAGCCCTGGATATGTGTGCTTCCAAATTTGGGGGCTCAAAATCCAGATCCAAATTTGAATTCTTCCCAAGTTTGGGGTGTGTCGATTTGGTTGTTCTAGAAACATGAACTACGAACTCAGAACCTAGCCCAGATCTAGGATTTTAGTTTCAGAGCTATCTTTCCTTCCAGTTTGGCCAAAGATTGTCTGAAAGATGTGCTAGCTCTTGTGAATCTTTTTCTCAAACATGGTTGAGTTCCAGATTTTTAATTAAACCCGAAGCCAGTAAGATTTGTTTCATAACAAAAGGTTCACACAGCTCTTCTTCCAACCCCACCACAAGGAAATGCTGCTGTCCTGCAGCCTGCTTGTTGCCAGTGGTACACACACAGGGATTTGAAAACCAAATCCAGATGTGAGGGGGAATGATCTGACCAGGAGTAGCTGGTGTTGAATCCCTAATCTGGAAGGATGGAGCAAGTGTCCCATGGACCTGATCTTCCTCTCATTTGCACCACTTTACATCTGTGTCACCCACTGACTTCAATAGAATAACATTTTGTGAGCTCAGAATTGGGCCCATTGAGTAAAATACATATTGAAACTTTGGAAAGTGACAATGTAATTCCTTCTCCTCTGTCTACAAACAGTTTTTGTACCAATTTAACTATTGGTTTAGAAACCAATATAGTTAAACAGGCGCAACCCTTAGTATGGATGCAGTTATTCCGGGATAAAACTGCTTATATCCCTCTTGTCTGTTTAAATGGACATATATAAGTAGTTTTATATTGTTATAACTGCGTCCAAGTTAGAGGGTTCCACTGATTTAACTATATTCGTTTCTAAACTCATACAATTAAGGCAGCACAAAAACTGACCAGCCCTAAGGTGTCTATGTCTGTTGTCGCATATGATCCCCACTGGTTGCTGTGGCTGCTTTTGTCATCTATATCAAGTATCTTTGCTTGGAATTCTATTTCATATACTGAGTGGAAGGGAATCTCTAATGTGCCTTTCTTCAACAGGTTATGCACAACAAGCTGATCGGGAGCTTATTGATTGGCTCCTTTAAAGTAGATGTGGGGACAGTGTATAATCAGCCAGGTAGGAGATGCATTTTCTAAGTTCTCTTTTGTTACATGTGTGTTTTTTCTGCTGTTTGTCTTCTTCAGTCACTGGACCACCCTTCCTCTTCAGTTACCCCCACAAAGGGCATTGCCAAGGGTGTTTTGTAAATATGTAAATAAATATCCAGGCATTGAAGTGGTAGTGGTAGGAAAACGGAGCTGTAAATGCAAATGAGAAGGCACAGAAAGGAAGGCCGTAGTGCTGCATTTCCTCCATTTCACTCATCACTCTAGCTACTCAGAATATGGAAGATACTGGCCCCGTCTGCAGTCTGTTTACCAGGCTAGACAGGGCAGTGGGTTTACCCCTTATAACTGTCCTACAATATGAAGCCATTCAACAGAACTGCCCCAGTGGCTCCCTCTTTCTTATATTCCTCTGAGGTAGTCAACACAGAGGGAATTATTTCTGTCTACGTTGATCAAGAAACCCTGGTTCAAACCTGTCTGAGAGCAACCTTGCTTAAACAGGACACCCGCCATCGTTTGGAGAGCGCTGCACTGGGCCATAAACTTTGACACTGAAAGCCTCTAATAGATTTGGCTTTCAGCCTCTTCCCTTGGGGCTTCTCTTTCTCATCCTCCCACTGTTTTCTTCTGAATCAGCTGCTGTACTTGTGCCTTGCCTGTAGTTCCCAGCTAGGGCTTCACTGAGCAGCACTTCACACTGCTCCTCTGAGCGTGTTTATTTCCACTCAGCTCTGGCCTGTGCCTCTCACTCTCCGTCATCCACCGCTCACCATTATTATCACTTGCAAATGTGCTTGGTGAGTAGGAGTGTTATTCTCAGGAAAGTACAAACATTGTTTGCAGCTTTCTGACTGCTGACATGCATGCTGCGGTGGGCGCGTTTGTGACAGCTGCATGCCCAGCGTCACAGCCCTCAGAAACTGTACTGAATGGTGTTCCATAGAACCACAGAATCATAGAACTGGACGGGACCTCGGGAGGTCATCTAGTCCAGTCCCCTGCACTCAAGGCAGGACTAAGTATTATCTAGACCATCCCTGACAGGTGTTTGTCCAACCTGCTCTTAAAAATCCCCAGTGATGGAGATTCTACCACCTCCCAAGGCAATTTATTCCAGTTCTTAACCACTCTGACAGTTAGGAAGTTTTTCCTAATGTCCAACCTAAACCACCCTTGATGCAATTTAAACCCATTGCTTCTTGTCCTATCTTCAGAGCTTAAGAAGAACAATTTTTCTCCCTCCTCCTTGTAACAACCTTTTATGTACTTGAAAACTGTTATGTCCCCTCACTCCTCTCTTCTCCAGACTAAACAAACCCAATTTTTTCAATCTTCCCTCACAGGTCATGTTTTCTATACCTTTAATCATTTTTGTTGCTCTTCTCTGGACTTTGTCCAATTTGTCCACATCTTTCCTGAAATGTGGCACCCAGAACTGGACACAATACTCTAGTTGAGGCCTAATCAGCGTGGAGTAGAGCAGAAGAATTACTTCTTGTGTCTTCCTTACAACACTCCTGCTAATACATCCCAGAATGATGTTTGCTTTTTTTGCAATAGTGTTACACTGTTGACTTATATTTAGCTTGTGATCCACTATGACCCCCAGATCCCTTTCTGCAATACTCCTTCCTAGGCAGTAATTTCCCATTTTGTATGTGTGCAACTGATTGTTCCTTCCTAAGTGGAGTACTTTGCATTTGTCCTTATTGAATTTCATCCTATTAACTTCAAACCATTTCTCCAGTGTGTCCACATCATTTTGAATTTTAATCCTATCCTCCAAAGCACTTGCAACCCCTCCAAGCTTGGTATCGTCTGCAAACTTTATAAGTGTACTCTCTATACCATTTTCTAAATCATTGATGAAGATATTGAACAGAACTGGACCCAGAACTGATTCCTGTGGGACCCCACTTGTTATGCCCTTCCAACATAACTGTGAACCACTCATAACTACTCTCTGGGAACGATTTTCCAACTAGTTATGCACCCACCTTGTACTGGCTCCATCTAGGTTGTATTTCCCTAGTTTGTTTATGAGAGGGTCATGCGAGACAGTATCAAAAGCCTTACTAAAGTCAAGATATACCACATCTACCACTTCCTCCCATCCACAAGGCTTGTTATCCTGTCAAAGAAGGCTACCAGGTTGGTTTGACAAGATTTGTTCTTGACAAATCCATGCTGTTATTTATCACATTATTATCTTCTAGGTGTTTGCAAATTGATTGCTTAATTATTTGCTCCATTATCTTTCTGGGTACAGACGTTAAGCTGATTGGTCTGTAATTCCCCGTGTTGTCCGTATTTCCCTTTTTATAGATGGGCACTATACTTGCCCTTTTCCAGTCTTCTGGAATGTCTCCCGTCTTCCATGACTTGTATAAACTTGTATGTTTTACAGGTCATCAGTTTTGTGACAAGTGGGCACTTCTCACAGACCCTGCTGACATTAGGACAGGAGCCAAGGGATACCTGAAGTGTGATATCAGTGTTGCTGGGAAAGGGGACACGATACAAGCCATTCAGAAAGAAAGTGATGCTGAAGAGCAAATTGAAAAGTACTGTAAAAATTTCCTTACTTTGCATCTGTCAAAGAGAAAAAAAAATCCATGAAAAGTCCTTTTCTCCTGTTTATAGAATACATGCCTTGCTTGTGTAATCTGGCATTATTTTAACAAAAGTCTCTGTATGTTCTGCTTTGATGTGGTGGGAGGGGAGTGGGGGGCAGGAGAGTAGTTCTAATTCCACCACCAAATGAAAGGGAGGGATTATTATCAGTTCCCTGCCTCAGAGGGAGTTCATTCTCATCTCAGGATACTGCTAACTGCTTAATCATCCCTGCCTGAATGACTTTACTCTGGGGCCATTTGAAATATTTCTGAACAGCAATTTTTTGCCTGGAAAATGCACCAGATTGCAGCAAACTTCAGGTGTTTAAAAAACCTCCCACCCCAAAAACAATATGACAGGAAGATATTCCTTATCCTCCTATTGTGTGTGTGTGTATTCTTTATATACATGTACAAACACTGCCCCCATTACAAGTTACACACACTGTACAAAGTGTAAACATTTCTAGCAGGGGCACTTCATAGACACCTGCTTGCCAAGTGGTGTTGCCGCGTACTGGAGTTATGGGTCACTAGAAAATGCTTTTATTTAGTTGGAAAAACAAATGCACACTCCATGTCCCCCATTCCCATCCCCCGCCTCTGAGACACAGTATTTATCACAGGTTATGCTGTAAAATAATGGTGCGACCCCTTTGGTAAAAACATTGTCTTGGAATCACTTCATTGTCTAGCTGAGTTTTCATTCTGAGGGAAATGGCTTTTTTTTTCTTGTAGGAACCTCTTGATCCCCAAAGGATTTCCGTCTGAAAGACCTTGGGCCAGATTTTATGTGAGAATCTATAAAGCAGAAGGGCTTCCAAAGATGAACTCCAGCATCATGGCTAATGTCACCAAAGCGTTCATGGGCGACAGTAAGGACCTTGTGGATCCGTATGTGGTGGTCATGTTTGCAGGTCAAATGGTAAATTGGGACTGTATTGCTCACAAATGTAGGCCTTGTTTCCTGTCAGTTAAGTTATGTGCAAACATTAAAGCTGACGCACTTTTACTTAGGGCAGGTCTACACTTAAAACACTGCATCAGCACAGCTGCACTGTGGTATTATAATACCACAGTGTGTAATGTCTAATTCTCTTACAGTCAAGAAAGGCTAAAATTCCCAAGGTGGAACAAGCTGGATTCTAAGGCTGCATCTTTACCAATGAATTTCATAGCTCTCATTCTGTACTCTCTTCTGATGGTAGCTGTGGTGGAAGCTGTACTGCAGACACAGGGCCCTAGCGGTGCTGCTGTTTTTATTATTGTCCCTACAGATGAGGCCTGTTTGTACTGTAATTTCCAGCATTGCTACCACTGGTGGAGATTCACTCATGCTTCATTCAGGCTAGGAAGTTTGCTAGTGCAGACGAGGCCCAAGGGCCTAGTTCTTGCCTTATGTAACTTTTGGGTGAGCTAGAGTTCACTTCGCTACCCTTCTCCAGTGCCTAAAAATACCCAACTCCCATAGAAAAATAGCTGGAGACCCAGAGTTCAGTCTCTAAGGATTTTCAGGAAGGATCGCACAGGGTCAACCTCCGCACATTCAAGTCCCAAAAGGAACTAAAGAAATAAATTTAATTAAAATAACTTTATAAAATCATTTGATACAGAAACAAATAATCTAATTTTTACAGCATAACACGGCTATTTTATAATCCATGGACATTATCTTCACAGTTATACATACACATAAATGAAGAAAACAAATTAAAATCCGAACAGGTCAGTCTCCACAGAAACACAGTGAAAAGAAACTGAGAGTTCACAAAAGCTTAGGTTTAGTCACCTAAGTCTCAGCTAGAGTCTTTGATCACCAGATCTAGGCAGTCGGCTGAGTCTAAAACAACATCTTCCCTCCACGTGCTTGCAGGAATCTTCAGTTGGGATCCAGGCAGACTCTTGTCTCTGCTGAAATCACTGCTAGCCAGTCAGCTGACTGATTAACCAACCACTCAGTTAAGTCACAAGTGTATAGATTTAAAGAAAACCCTGTTACAAGAAAAAACAAAACAGAGAATAAAAGAAAAGGAGTACTTGTGGCACCTTAGAGACTAACCAATTTATTTGAGCATGTGAGCTGTAGCTCACGAAAGCTCATGCTCAAATAAATTGGTTAGTCTCTAAGGTGCCATAAGTACTCCTTTTCTTTTTGCGAATACAGACTAGCACGGCTGTTACTTTGAAAACAGAGAATAGAAAAATAGACATGACTCTTTCCCCATTAGTTGGTGACTCAGACTAATTGAGACAATTTAACTAAAACAGTTTGGCTAAAATCAAAACAACATTCAAAGCATACAATTAAAATAGAATACGTTATTTCCCCCTCCCAGTTTCCCCTTGCTATAATTAGCATTGCCCATGCTGCCCTGTTAGAGGGTTAACAATATCACTAACCTGCTGCAAAATGCCTGCGAGTTAGGGATGACAGCCTGCTTCCTGCTCCTGGGCCCAGCTTCTCCCAACCTACACAGGGCACACGGCCTTCTGCAAAGCAGCTGCCCTGACTGCTTGCCCTCATGGAGTCTGACCCCAGCCACGGGGAACCTGTTGGAGCAGACCCAAAACTACCACACCCAATTCCAGAAGCTTCTGGGTGTGGAGTGCTAAATCTGACGAGCAACAATGACCCAGAGACAATTCACTCCTATCTCCCCTCACTGGGTCTCTTAAAGAGATAGCTCACTGCGAGGCACATGGGTTACAATTACACCAGTTTTACTTTGGTGTAACTTAATCGACTGGCATGGAGTTTGTCTTCATTACACTGGTGTAACTGAGATCAGAATCAGGCTGAGTAATTACAGCCATATTTTTTCATTAACTTTTCATATACCTGTTCATATGGAGGCTTTTGCAGAAACTCATATTTGTGATGACAAATGCATTGCGACTCCAAATGCCATTATTGCAGACTTCTAGCTTCCTAATTTGAACCCATGCTTTCAGTTCGTGTGCACAAATCTGACTTTCTGAATATGTAAAATTTTACATCTGAAAAAAGATGTGGGTGCAAATATCTGACCTATTTGTGGGTTTGTGAAAATCTTTGTGCACTTTGTTTTCTGTGGAACCTGGTTCTAATTATAGGGGTAGAACTTATCCAGTGGTGTTTACTATGGGATTTGGGGTTTAGGATTAGGGCAGACCTCCCAAGAGTCCCAGGTTTTCTAGAACTGTCCCATTTTAACCCCCAGGTGAAGTGAATATTTCCTGCATTCAGGGCCATCCAGAAAGGAGCAGTTTGCCCTTGGCCTCTTGTTTGAGAGGGCCCCCAAACTGAGTGGTGTTGCAACCTGGTGCACAGAGTTGCAGCACCTCTCAGATTTGGCCCATCCTCCCATCTGGAGCAGACAGGCCAGTCCTGAGTAATGCTGCATCCTGCTGTAGTCACTTGAAACGTCAGGAGGGATGAGTTAGGGATGGATCCAGGACAGCATGCTGTCACTTTCAGGCCTAGGGGGAGGATTCTTGCCCCTTTGGGTCCTCCCTGACATGCCCAGTCACATGGGGTGCACACTGCAGCCAGAACTTGCCCCATTCTAATTTAATTCCTCCTTTTAAAGGTAAACTAAAATGATCCTGCAAATAAATAAGTCGAAATGGGTTACAAGTGATGCAGAAAGCCTTGTCCTGGCCTTCTACACAGGAATGGATTTCACCTGACAGGAGACAACTGCACTAAAGTACCACTGGTTCCTTAGAACCAGAGTTATAATTAAAAAAGCCATCTCCATGTGTGCAGTTTTGCATAGCAGAAATATCACTCTAAGTGCACAGAGAGGAATTGAACTGGGACATTGAAGAGTTATACATCACATTAAACTCTACTAGTTCTGCGTGAGAATTCCAAGGCCAGGATGTGGCCCTTCATTAAATACTTAGGAGAAAACAAACAAGGAAACTCCCACGGTAGTTATTGCAATGTATCAGTATGCTGTGTGTTAACACTGACTAATAGAAAAGCAGAGATGCTTTCAAGTTTCGGGAAATATACTAGACTGGAAAACTGTGCTTAAAAATTATTTTTATTTAGACCACATGCTTTCTCTGTGATAGAAAAGACAGGGCTTGCTAGAGGACTTTGTTACGCTCAGCATTGTTCTCCAGAATCTGGTCTAGCCTCAAGGTCTAGAGCTGCTGGTCTTTCATTTCAGGGACGAACAACAGTGCAAAAAAGCTGTGCTGATCCTGTGTGGCATGAACAGATTGTCTTCAAGGAAATGTTCCCCCCACTGTGTCGAAGAGTCAAAATCCAGGTGTGGGATGAAGGCAGCATGAATGATGTGGCCTTAGCCACACACTTCATAGACCTGAAAAAAATCTCAAATGAACAAGATGGAGATAAAGGTAAAGGGGAAAATGTGTTAGTTATAAAAACTCTCCCCTGCCCGTAGGATAAAATTCACTAGCATGATAACTGGACCCTAGTTAAGACCCAGTTAAAGGCTCCAAAGGTTTTAGTGAGGGGTAGGCCTTTTGTTGGTTGTATGAAAAATCCTCCTACCTTATACAGAGCTGAGTCTTTTTGTGTGTTTAATGGAATGGTGTTGTGCCCTTTGTTACAAATACTCCTAAATAGCATCATGTTGATCAGTAATGAAAAGGATTCTTACCCTCTCTGGGAATGTGGCAATGAGCTGTTACCATGTGGCATTTCTAATTCAGTTAGGGTCAAGTGATGTGAATTCAGGGCTAATGCCACTGGCACCTGAATTGCCAGGCAAACAAGTATGTATCACTTTTCTGGGGCAGACCGGCCTTCTATTTCTGATAGACTCAATGGCAACTATTTGTTCCTAGTTACTCAAAAAGAGAAAAATAAACCATTTTAAAATGTCATAGAGCTAAATCCTCTCCCCAGTTCCCAGTCCAAGTAACAGGATGGGCATTGGAACTCTTTGGTCCAAGGATAGGGATCTTCCCTCCACATCCCAATCTCAATCTGCAGAGCATGAATGGAGCCACTCCAGGGCTCTGGCACCATAGAGGGAATTGCTGGAGGAGGCTCATTGTGGTAGATACTATTTCATGCTGCACCACCCCAGTCCCTAGTGACAGTACACAGGTTTCCTCTGTCGAGCAGTGCTATGTACTGGGGTATGCACACAAGTACAGCCTCCCCAAATCACATTCTGCAGCTGGAGGGACACCAGCACCCATAGAAGTAGGGCCACATTGAGCCCCTTTATGAGTAAAACTCTCAGAGAACCGAGTTCTGCAAACAGTGTGTGAGAGAGCGAGAGCTTGTAATGCAAATGTTGTAAAATATACATCATCTCCAGGGTTCTTGCCTACCTTTGGACCAGCTTGGATCAATCTCTATGGCTCACCTAGGAACCACTCCCTAATGGACGACCACCATGAGCTCAATGAAGGTTTTGGGGAAGGTGTCTCCTTTAGAGGCCGCCTCCTAATTGAAATTGCAGTGGAGATACTTTCAGGGGGAGCACAAGAGTCTAAATTTTCAAAGATCATCAAAGAGATAAAGTTACCTTCCAAAGCATCTAAAGGAAAAGAGAAAACAGACAAAGCAGAGGATGGGAAATCATCTTCTCCTTCAGACAAGGCAAACTCCACCGAGGCGGAAGTTGAGTCTTTTGATGTGCCTGCTGAGGTTAGTTTAAAATTTATTTTATATATCTATATATAAAAGAGATTGATTGATGCTTGGTTCAAAGTATGTAGCTAGTTGACAAACTAAGGCCCCAGTCATGCAGTCAGGTCTGTAACCTGGATGTGAATCACCACAGATGCAGTGGGGTCATGCGCTCACATCCAGTTACAGGGTTTGCCATGCAAACGGATCATAAATTCATATATTTCATTATCATATGCTGAATAGGATGGAAATCATTATTTACTATAGGTACTGTACAAGCACCCACATATAGGCTTTGCACACATATAGGACGACTCAGTCCCATATCTTCCTATTGTGGGGTTTCTTGTACCTTCTTCTCAGGCATCTGGTGCTGGCAACTGTCAGAGACAGGATACTGTACTAGTTGGACCATTGATCTGACCCAATACGGCAATTCCCATGTTCCTAAATCTTAGACCTGAAGTGTTCACAATCTAATGTTGAGTAGCTTTATTTAAGCTTAGTTTTTGGGTATCAGAATAGGACACCCACATTTAAAAATTAGGTTCCTCATTCTCTCTTGGAAATAAACTGTTTCTGAAACAATGGGTGGACACCAGCAGTGGCTTTACTGTGCATTCATGGGTTCAAGTGCACCTACAGAAATAATAAAACCAAGGGTGCGAAAATACTGAATGTTTTTGATACACTATTGATAGATGTGCGTGGCTTCACGCTAATCATATTTGGGTATAGACCCCAAGAGCAGAACTGCATTGATAAATGTACATTTTCACAGGCAAATATACACTCCTTCTGGCCCAGTGCAGAGGGGAGGCCCATGGGCAGGGGTGAGAGCGAGTCTTCCCCACACTCCCCCTGCAGCAGCAGATCCTGGCTCCCCACTCTGGGCTTGGTGCCTGGAATTGCAGCACCACTCATGAAGATGGAGGGACAGCCAGGCCAAACCTGAGGGGCGTTGCAACCCTGTGTGCCAGGTCGCAATGCTCAGAGCGGGGAACTGGGCCCTGATCCGCAGGACAGGAACTACTGCTCCGGGGTGAGTGTGGGGCGGGCTTGCTCTCCAGCCATCCCCTTACCCGTGGCTTCTCCTCCACACCAGGCTGGGATTAGGGTTGTGGTGCTGGGGCAGAGGGTGCTGCTGCAGGTGGCTGGTGCCCCCTCAGCAGTTTACTGTAGTGCACTCATTGAATTGGGAGGCTCCATCCACCCTCAGTGGGTACCTTTAATGGGCATCTGAGCATGGTGGACAAGAGGCTCTACTGTGTTAGAAAACTTTGTGATATGAAGGGGCAGAACCTAGCCTCTCTCAGGTCTGTGGCCATCAGCATTTCCTTTCTTTAGGTCATTCAGGATGGAGAATGCTGCTTGCAGACTGCCACCACGGTAGCGAGGGCCACCTTCTCTGAACTAGGGCCAAATTGTGTGCTGGGTAAATGGACATAGCTCCATTGCCTTCAGTAGAATTTCACCTATTTACACCAGCAGAGAATTTGGCTCATAGTCATTAAGGCCACTAGCCTCTCCTCCTTTAACTCCCTCCTCGAGGCCCACTTCTGCTGCAATACCTACAAGAAACTGGCAACTAATAATAGCCAGGTATAGAGCCAGCAGGGATAGTTGGGATTGATAGGCACTGGGTCTGATTGTCTTCCTTTATTTATGCTAATCAGAAGTAGTGTCATTAAAGTCACTCGTGTGAAACTGGTGGAAGTGTGAGGAGAAGCAGCCCAATTGCATGGTTTCCCCCCCTCTCTCTTATCCTTCATAGGGCTTCTCTTCTGGAATTGCGAGCTCTTTGGAGCAGGGATCACAACTTATGGGCAAGATCTTCAGCTGCTGTAAATTGGTGTAGCTCCATTAACTTCATGCAAATTGAGTTAGGCTGATTTACATTGCCTGGGGCTCAGTCCCTTTCTGTGTTAAAAGGGCCTAGCGCACTGTGAGAGGAAGTGGGGTCCAGTGGCTAGGGTTCTAGACTGGACTTGGAAATTCAGGTTCAAATTTCCTGCTCTACTATCGTGACCTTAGGCAAGTCACTTAAGTCAAGTCTTCAAAGGTATCTAGCTCCCATTGATTTTAATGGGAGTTAGGAACTTAAATACCTTTGAGTGTCTATAACTCAGTTCTCCATCTGTTAATGAGGATAATGGGGTGTTCTGAGGATAAAATACATTAAAGATTGTGAAGTGCTCAGATAAAGTAATAGGGGCTATAGAAGTATCTCACGTGGATGAATAGACACTACTGTAATGCCAATTAATAGTAACAATAAGGATTTATTACAATCAAGATAATTGTTAGCAACTGGTGTCTGACTCAAATTCAGAATGAATAAAATGCAATAACATATCTCCATACTGTTTGATATTCTTTCCTTGTTGACATTCAGATATATTTCCTGCTGCTGTAGACAGAATCATTGTGTTACAGACATGTAAAAGGAAAGTCAAGAATGCTGGAGATTACAAATAAACTGAAAAGTGATAAAATTTGCAACATTTTTATGAGGTCTCTGCAGATTAGGGTAAATCACCGTGCCTCGTAATCTGACATTATTGACTGAGCACAACACCAAGAACATAAAGAGCATTCAAAATTAATTACTTTTTGTAAATGGGAATAGAAGAGTGTGGCACAGATTTGAGTCCTGGTTTCACTCATTGCCATACGCTTCATGGTAATGTTAAAAAATCATGTAACAGGGAAATCAAAACTGAACTTCAACTGCAATGCATTGTCTTTGGTAGTTTTACTATGACATGCTGATGTTTCTTTCAGCTTAGAGCTATCCCCTCCAGCTGTACAGTGCATACTTATTTCAAGACATATATATGTTGGGCTATACCAAGAGCGGCTTGTTCCTTTGAGAAAGGCAGGCAAACAAGTATTAAAATACACACGGTTTCTTTTATTCATTGCCCCGTTATGCTGTCTTTTAGGAGACTCACTGGGCCAACTTGTGCTCGGATTTACACTCAGTAAATCAGCATGCACACAGTGAAAGAAAATGTCAGAGAACCATCCATACCATCACTGTGCTTACAGCCTTTGAACAACTAACAGTGTACCTGGGGTCTGATCCAAAGCCAATTGAATGACAAGACTCCCGTTGATTGCAATGGGCTTTGGACTGGGACTCTAATACTGTGAGGTGCTGAGTGCTTCCTGAGATTTAAAGGTGCTCAGCATCTTCTCATCTCATTGACTTGAGAATGCTCAGCATCTCCCAGGCTAATATCATTCTGGAGTGCACTATCAGGAACGTTGTAAGATGAGGGAGGTAATTGTCCTGCTCTGCTCAGCACTGGTGAGGTCTCAGCTGGAGTACTGTGTCCAATTCTGGGCACCATATCTAGGAAAGATGTAGACAAATTGGAGAGAGACCGGAGGAGAGCCATAAAACTAATAAAAGGTTTAGAAAACCTGACCTGTGAGGAAAGGTTAAAAAAACTGGGTATGTTTAGTCTTGGGAAAAGAAGACAAAGGCAGAACCTGATAAGTCTTCAAATATGTTGAGGGCTGTTATAAAGAGGACAATGATCAATTATTATCATGCCCACAGAAAGTAGGAACTAGAAGTAATGGGCTTAATCTGCAGTAAGAGTAATTTAGGTTAGATCTGAGAAAAAAATTGTAACTATAAAGTTAAGCAATGGAATAGGCTTCCAAGGGAAGTTGTGGAATCCCCCTCACTGGAAGTTTAAGAATAACTTGGACAAACACCTGCCAGGGATGGTCTGGGAGGTTTACTTGGTCCTGCTACAGCACAGGGGGCTGGACTAGATGGCTTTTTTCCAGCCCTACATTTTCCAGCCTTACATTTCTATGATTTTATGAAGTGACTCTGAGGAGCCACAAGGAGGCAGCACAGATGTGAAAACTCTAGGGTCGGAATTCATTAGAATGCTATATACTGTAGTTTACTACATCATTGCTTGGAAGTTATATTGCCACACGAAGTTTAATACGACTTATTTCAAGAGAGTGAAATTTCACTGTAGCACTGAAACAAAAATAGTGCCCAGGAATTCTTAGAGACAGATCATTTGAATGATTGTATGACGGTAGGTGAACATGCTGAAACCATTCATAGAGACTTCTGTGCAGTGCTTAAATTTGTAATGAAAGGTGCCGGGGATCAAGCAATTAGATGCTGAGGCTCAAACAAATTTTTTATTTTCATAACTGATGTGAAAAACCCAGAGGCATCGGGGCTATGAACTCTCAAGCCTAGAGGTGCTGGGGGATCAGCCCTGGCAAGCCCTGACACAAATTAAGCACTGGATCTGTGTGCTAAGAAAATAGTAAAAGGTAAAACCTCAATGTCATTTTCCCCCCACAGATCCACAAAGAGGACTCTGAGGAATTCCTTCTCTTTGGGGCATTTTTTGAAGCCACGATGATTGACAGGAAAGTTGGAGATAAACCAATAAGCTTTGAGGTTTCTGTTGGTAAGGATATGTAAAACGCTTCTCCAATGAAGGAGTTAATTCTCAGTGCATCAAGGTGACTATGTCATTGAAGGGGCTGACTGCAGAGAAATACCTATACATTTCAATTAATCTCTGAACATCATGGCACTGGGTGTCAATTTTCCTGGTGTTTCCTTCTTCCACTCAACCTGGAAGACCAAGCCTTTGTTGTTTTCAGTTGCAGTTGGATTCCATAGGTCCAAATCCTTTCATCTAGTGCCATCTAGCATAGTAGACGGTGTCCTGGGTATCTCTGTGAGAGGCATGATCCCCTGCAGCTCCTGTGGCTCTAATGGATCCTCGCTGCAGGGGATCTGGCCAAACCCTACTGACACCCTGGCCCTTCCTGCATGCTGGTGTAGAGGAGGTCAGTGCAGAGCTGAGTCCCACACCACACCCACAGGTGCATCTCCTCTTAGAAGCCTGGCTATATCCTGCCCTCTACTGGTTCTGCTGCACAAGGGCTCCTCTGCAGCTGTGGTGGTGGGGCCAGGAACTGCCCTAAGTGCAGCATAAAGAGAAAATGAAAGATCTTTTTATAAATGTTAGCTGAACATTTCCAAACCTCAGAAAGATCAGCTCCAGGCGAAAGCCTGGATTGAACCTGATTTCACCTGAAGGACTTTGCGCATCTGTTTTTGGTTTACCACCCTAATGAGGTCTCTGTGCACAGTGACAGTCCCATATTTTCCTTATGTTCGCTCACGTGTCTGGATAGGTGTTCCTTCTGAAGGAAAGTGCAGGGAGGGACCTCACAGGCAAACAAAGCAATGTGTAATATTGACTTATGCTGACATTCAGTGGGAAAATAAGCCAAAATTAACAGCAAGCTCGTTTGTGTACTTGTGCAATAAAGGCCAAAGACCAGTTCACGTTAGAAATTAAAATTGGCAGTGGCGTCTGGATCTGAAAAATGGTTCTGGCACCCTCCAGCTTTGTGCGTGTTTGGAACTGGGATCCAAACGTGGCTAATAGCCGTTGGACTGAACCAAAATCTAGGTCGGAACATTGTAGCATCTGAGATTCAGATCCCAGTTTCAGCCTCAAGCCCATCTCTAATCAAAATTGTAATAGCCCGTTTAATACATACCCTCCTCATGTCACTGAGAACTGCCCTCTCTGGTACATGTCTATAGGTATGATACTAATGAAATTTGTGCATCATGAGTGCATGTCCCCCACAGTACTGCTGTCAATAAGGCCCCTTCCGAACCCATACAATACTAAATTAGCTTGAATGAAAACAGACTTTAACACTTCTGAGAACAGCTTTTGTAATTAGGACCCATGTGTTGCAAACAGATACAGTCACCATTGAAATCTCATGCACACGCTGGGAGCTGGGGCTACAGCTCTGTACTAGCCACTCCAAAAATTCAGGCACCGTTTAGAATTCTGTTAGCTAATGTAGGTTCCATATTCTCTCTGTGGGCCAGCTACTAGAGGGCAGCATCACCCATTCAAAGGCACCACATTGCTATACCTTATATAGCAGTCCTGTATTACCAGTTAAAGGAAGTAACCACCTTATTAATCTTGCTGAGGTGGAGCCTAGACAGGTAACGTGGCTAACCCTTGCTGCCATAACCAATAGAAACAGGGCATTGTCAGAATAGTCAGCTAAGAGATGGGGGCAGAAAGGTTCAGTTGGAATCACTTTGGTTTTTTGTACACAGGGTTTGTCCACTTCGTACTTCGCTCCAGCAATTCTACAAAAGAATCCTGTGGCTCCTTTAACTTTGTAATGAAATCTGTAAAAATATCACAAACTCTGCTGAGCTTTTAACTAAATGCATACTGTCTGGATCCCAGACATTCACCAGTCTCTGCACTCCTTGATTATCATACACATTGTAAGGAGAGTGGTCACTTTAGATAAGCTATTACCAGCAGGAGAGTGGGGTGGGAGGAGGTATTTTTCATGCTTTGTGTGTATATAATAAGATCTTCTACACTTTCCACAGTATGCATCCGATGAAGTGAGCTGTAGCTCACGAAAGCTTATGCTCAAATAAATTGGTTAGTCTCTAAGGTGCCACAAGTACTCCTTTTCTTTTTGCGAATACAGACTAACACGGCTGTTACTCTGAAAATTATCAGGACATGCTCCCTCCTATCCCCGAATTTGTCGCCTAATGTTTCCATTTGACAGTCTCTTGGACAACACGGATGTCTGTTATGAGCACTAAGGTTTCACACCATTGTAAAGCTCCCCAGTGTAAAACCATTGCAAGAGGACAATCCAGCTCCTAGATTCATAGATATTTAGGTCAGAAGGGACCATTATGATCTAGTCTGACCTCCTGCACAATGCAGGCCACAGAATTTCACCCACCACTCCTACAAAAAAACCTCACACCTATATCTGTGCTATTGAAGTCCTCAAATCGTAGTTTAAAGACTTCAAGGAGCAGAAAATCCTCCAGCAAGTGACCTGTGCCCCATGCTACAGAGGAAGGCGAAAAACCTCCAGGGCCTCTTCCAATCTGCCCTGGAGGAAAATTTCTTCCTGACCCCAAATATGGCAATCAGCTAAACCCTGAGCATATGGGCAAGATTCATCAGCCAGATACTACAGAAAATTCTTTCCTGGGTAACTCGGATCTCACCCCATCTAATAGCCCATCACAGGCCATTGGGCCTATTTACCATGAATGTGACCTCTATACCATCATACATTGGTTAAACCAGTGATTCTCAAACTGTAGACTAGGGACTATTGGGAACAGATTATTCAGAGAGCTGGTCAGTGGAGACCTGGCAGGTCACTTGGTGATTGCAGCTCTTTCTACAGCTGTCAGGGCTCTTCACTACAAAGAAAAGCCCCTGTAACGCTGTAAAGAGAGCTAGAAACAAGGAGCAGGAGATAGCCTAGTATCTCTGCTAGGGGCAGCTCCTGCACAAGAGTAGGAAAGAAGGAAATGGGAGCTGCCCTCAAGGAGCGGAACAATTGAAAATATCTACATTCCTATATCACTTTTTTAAAATAGGCAAATGCCATTTTGGAGTGCCTTAACAATAAAGCAAAGAACTACAGTTCACTCAGGTTTATCACCCTATCTCCTATGTAGCCTGACTCCATTCCCTGCCCTTACAACCTTGTTTTGTATCTCTAGGTAACTTTGGAAATGTTATTGATGGAGTGTCACCGGAAGCTGGTGGTAAAAAGAAGGGACATGAGGGAGAAGAGGAAGAAAGTGCCCCATTGCTGCATGAAGGGGAGGGTGAAGCGTCACATGACATTGGAATACCAATGATATCCACCACCCACCCTGAGAAGCCACTCCTCACAGACGGAAACCGGTAGAATGTTTGAACTTCATGACATTAATGTATAGTTTTCTGGCTTTTGCCCTGTAACACTAGGATGTAGGTTTTTGATTTAACAATTGCTAGCAGCATTGAACAGCCTGTTGTAGAACATGCTAAAACATAATTGGCCAGTGTAAATCAGGAAAGCCCTATGCAAGTCAAATGGATCTGTGCTGGGTTCACCAGTGTAGAATCTTGGCTCAAATGAGGGTTGGCCTTAGAACTTTTGGTGCCTTTAACAAGACTATATTACAGTGCCACATAATAGAGTCAGAGAAGGGAGAGTAGCTTTTTCAAGTCTGTTCAGTACAAATTTAGGTCCAGAGTCCAATACCCTTAATGACAGTGATTAGTCACTTACTCTGTAAGTAGCTCCGCTGAAATCAGAGAGACTACATGAAGAGTAGGTAGTATTCAAGTGAACAAGGGTATCAGAATCTGTTCCTTATTTTGTAGATAATCAGATTAATTTCCAAAACATTTCAAGATTTGGAAAATAAGAGTGAAATAACAAATAGCAGCACAGGTGGGGGGGAAACAGAAGAACAGACCATGGAGAAGATGGAGAGTTGATGGAGCAAATACAAAAAGAAGTTTGCAGATGGACTTGTTAAAGTACAGGGGTGATTTTTTCTCTCTCACACTCACACATTTCATTTCATGTCAAAGGTATCAATAAAACACAGTAGTAGATAGAACTATTCCTGACATTACTGAGTGCCAAGCAGAGGAAGTTCTAGAATACAGGAGGTCCAAAACTTGACAGTACCTCTTCCTGTAGGCTTCAAGGCACTGCCAGCAGGAGTTAAACACAGGGACCATCTCGGAATTTTGGATCTGGATCTCTGTTTTGGTTTCTGAACCTGCACAAAGTTCAGAAGTGTTTGGACCGGATCCTTCCTGACAGTAAATCATGCAATTAAATTAAATAATGGTCAATGAAATTAAGGAAGAATGAAAGACTTTGTAAGGCTTTTTTTGCTTTTTCTTTTTTCTCGTTTTCTTTTTTTTTTTGGCACTACAGAGATGAAAATCATTGCTGTCAAGAATATAGTTGCCCCTCTTGTCTCATAATAGGGCTACAGAATGAGCTCCTGCTAGGTTATTATCCTATAAAGCAGATTGCAGGATTTTTAGTTTTTCCCCTGACAGGAATTCAGGTTTAAACAGCTGCAGTAAAAGAATGAAACACTCTTGAAACCTGCAATTCCATATTTAGCTTGCTCAGATATTTATAAAGCTCTCTCTCATTAAGGATCCATTTCCCTCAAATCTGTGTAGATATAAATTGTTTTGTTTTTTTTATTTTTCTCTTCTTATGGTGTCTGTAGCCACTTGACCTGCTCGGGCCATCAGACAGCAGGAATGTCATTGGTAATTGTATTCACTGTCACTGAAAGGATATTCCTAATATTAATCAGTCCTTCAGTAGGACATTCAACTTGTCAAATAAATATTGTGCTAAAGCCCATAAATTAACAGTAAAAACAGAAACAAAAAAATCCCATTTGGCATTTCACACTGCTAGCAGATTAACAAAAGTATAGAAAATGGCTTTGCCAACCAGTTACATGCAGCCCCTCCCACCCGTGCAAACAGACACCAGTAAATTGCCAGGATTTTTCATGTTTATGTATAACAAGGACAAACTAACCATGAAAAAATGACTGTTCGGTTCCTCATAGCGAGATTAATGGTAGGATGTCAAGTCTCATTCTTTTAAGAGTACAGTGTTTTCTATCACAATAGGGCCAAATCGTCCCCTCTGCAAATACAAAAACACCACCAACCCTTGAAAGTGTCAAGAAGTTCTGGGAATCGTAATTCAGTGACAGGTTTCAGAGTAGCAGCCATGTTAGTCTGTATCTGTAAGAAGAAAAGGAGTACTTCTGACACCTTAGAGACTAACAAATTTATTTGAGCATAAGCTTTCATGGGCTAAAACCCACTTCATCGGATGCATGCAGTGGAAAATACAGTAGGAAGATCTAGATATACACACAGAGAACATGAAACAATGGGTGTTACCATACACACTATAATGAGAGTGATCAGTTAAGGTGAGCTATTACCAGCAGAAGAGAAAAAACCTTTTGTAGTGATAATCAAGATGGGCCATTTCCAGCAGTTGACAAGAATGTGTGAGGAACAGTAGGGGTGGGGGGGAAATAAACATGGGGAAATAGTTTTACTTTGTGTAATTACACAGAGGACAGGACAAGGAGTAATGGTCTCAAGTTGCAGTGGGGGAGGTTTAGGTTGGATATTAGGAAAAAAACTTTTTCACTAGGAGGGTGGTGAAACACTGGAATGCGTTACCTAGGGAGGTGGTAGAATCTCCTTCCTTAGAAGTTTAAGGTCAAGCTTGACAAAGCCCTGGCTGTGATGATTTAGTTGGGGATTGGTCCTGCTTTGAGCAGGGGGGTTGGACTAGATGACCTCCTGAGGTACCTTCCAACCCTGATATTCTATGATTCTATGATCCACTCCCAGTCTTTATTCAAGCCTAATTTAATGGTGTCCAGTTTGCAAATTAATTCCAATTCAGCAGTCTCTCATTGGAGTCTGTTTTTGAAGTTTTTTTGTAGTAATATTGCGACTTTTAGGTCTGTAATCAAGTGACCAGAGAGATTGAAGTGTTCTCCGACTGGTTTTTGAATGTTATAATTCTTGATGTCGGATTTGTGTCCATTTATTCTTTTATGTAGAGACTGTCCAGTTTGGCCAATGTACATGGCAGAGGGGCATTGCTGGCACATGATGGCATATATCACATTGGTAGATGTGCAGGTGAACGAGCCTCTGATAGCATGGCTGATGTGATTAGGCCCTATGATGGTGTCCCCTGAATAGATATGTGGGCACAGTTGGCAACGGGCTTTGTTGCAAGGATAGGTTCCTGGGTTAGAGTTTTTGTTGTGTGGTTGCTGGTGAGTATTTGCTTCAGGTTGGGGGCGCTGTCTGTAAGCAAGGTCTGGCCTGTCTCCCAAGATCTGTGAGAGTGATGGGTTGTTCTTCAGGATAGGTTGTAGATCCTTGATGATGTGCTGGAGAGTTTTTAGTTGGGGGCTGAAGGTGATGGCCAGTGGCGTTCTGTTACTTTGTTAGGCCTGTCCTGTAGTAGGTGACTTATGGGTCTCTTCTGGCTCTGTCAATCTGTTTCTTCACTCCTGTTAGTAATTCAATGAGTTTGCATCATTGAATTCTCGGGGGGGGGGGGGGGATGAGTGTGGATGGATTTTTTCTTTTTCCCCCAATAGCGTGGCCTTGTGACTTTATTATGTTGAAATGTTCCCAATTAATATGATGTTGTTAAAGATAACGGTGCAATAAAAGCCCAGCTTAGTTTTCAGGGGCAAGTCTCTAGGTTGGTTACAGAAAATGTATTTAGTATCAAACCACTAGGTGACACTCTGAATGATACAACCCAACTTTATTAAAAAGAAAAATGAGTAGTTAAGCCAACAGTTGTGCAATTACTACTTACACAAACACTACTATTATACTCTCACTCAGAGATTAAAATGGTGTATCAATGGGTGGTCAGTCCATTGACAGAGTGAAGTACACCCATATAATCCTGGAAACCAAGGATTTGGCCTGTTATTTACATCTGATTCCAGACTTTTCACAGCATTTAATGTATTTTCACAGGAACTATCACTACTTGCCATATGATGAGAAGAAGCCCTGTGTCTATATAAAGAGCTATTGGGGAGATCAGACCTTCCGACTGTACTTGTCCAATGTCCTAGAGAAAATGGCAGATCTGCTGGTAAGCCTGGTGCTACATATTGTCAGGATTTGTTGGAAAATCTGTCAAAACCTTTTTTGATGCAAGATTTGTTTTTTGACTAAATAAAAACCTCTGTGGAAAGTGTCTGTTCCTCACAAATTTTCAATTTCCGCCCCCTCAGAATACTGAAAATTTAGTCAAAGACCAAAAGCATTTCAAGTGTTCTGTTTTCCACTGAAAATTTTGACAAAAGCTATATTTTGTTGTTTTTGTCTAAATTTCTATAGGAAAATTTTTTTTCCCCCACCAACTCTGGTGTCTATCTTGTCCAAATAAGACTATGTAGCTCCTGGCCTGTGGAGACCCCAGCACGTTCCTGGGCTACCACAGGCAGCTTCACCCTGTCTCCCTGAGGAAGCAGTTATGTAAAGCCAGTCTTGGCATTATGCAGCAGCCTAAACTTGCTCACTTGCCAGGGATGAGTCCCAGACTCTCCCCCAATCCTTTTGCTATATATACACACACACACACACTACAGTACAGCCATTCTGGCTGATATTCCAGATCACAATGAGTGTGTAGAGGGCAAAGGATTTCTTCTGGGTTGGCTAATTGACTGGGGTGGTATATTCTGAAGCACCCCCCACCCAACCCCAGTCCGTAGCTCTAAACCGACCTTATCCCTGAAGATGAAGAGGGGTTGTATGACCTGAAGAGCACTACTTATCCCAGAAACATCTCCAATAAGAGTACATTAGGGAAAGGGACCCTTCCCACAGTCCTTCATTCAGGGGGCTCCACCAGCATATCTGATAAGCAGGCCCCCACTGAGACTCAATGAAAGACAGATTCCCTCCTCCCTACTTGCAGGTAAATGAAGGGAGTAGATGGCTCTCTCCACTGCAGCTGAAGCAAGGGAGTTATTCCAGCTCACAGGTTGTGCAGGCACAGCAGGAGAGAAGAAACCCATGCAGGGAGCTGTGCAGCACTGGGAGTAGAGGGTCTTAGAAACACAGCAGATTACTTTGCCTTTTGCTTTAACCCTTGTGCAGTGGCACAGCCTGTCTCCTGAATGGGATAGCTCATGGCAGTCAGCATATGCCTCTCTTCAGAGTGTCTAAGCACCTACAGCTGTCAGGGAGGTCATCTCTGAAAATCAATCCACTTAATTAAACACCTGAGGGCTCAATCCAATCCCTATTGATGCCACTGGGCATCGCATTGGGCCTTATGTATGAACGTAAGTGTGTTATTTTAGGCACCCAAAATTTAACAATTATGACCTAGATGACTTGCCTAAGACAAACACCTAGCTAATGGCAAAGCTATATATAGAATCCAGGAAGCCACAAGTCTTGTAATCTAACCACTAAAGAATACTCCCCACTCACTTACATTTATAAATTAGGTAAAGAAGCTGGCTCCTAAATCAATACTTTAGGCATAGAAAGGCTGTAGGAAGGCCCAAACAGAGTGGTCCTTCCTTTGCATGCTCCAAGCTTAGCGGTATGTCAAAGCTCAGACTTTTCAAGATACAAGTCTTCCTCTTACTGGCTAGACTCAATAACCGGAGTACAAATTATTACACTGACAGCTCTTCTTTCTACAATGTTTTTTTTTCCCCCCCACATCTTGTTCTTAGGAAGATGGGTTAGAGGAAGTAAAAGATTTGATCAAGGTTTCAGAGACTGCGTCAGAAGAGAAAATGAACACCATTCTAAATGCCTTTATCAGTCAATGCAGGTAACCTAATTTATTATTGGAGCATAAAGTTACTTTATACATTGGTAGCAATTTCCAGGCTATGGACCCATAAATTGGCAAGATGCATGAAAAATACAATGAACTTAATTTGCTGTACTTTGTAGTCTGCTGTAAAAGAATTTTACAGCCTCTGGCTCCTATTTTGTGCAATTTTATTTAATTTCCAGGACTTGTTTTCCATTTGTCAATTACTGGATTTGATCTTAAGCTTTCTGGACTCTAAAAATAAAACAGTTATGAGAATAATTGAGAAGCAATAAGGTGCAAGACAGATATTATAAAAATCATGCAAAATTAAAATGAATACAGAGGGCCTCCTTGCACAAGCAGAACTCCCATTGTGCCCTGAGTAAGATGGACAGGATTGGATCCAAAACAGAGGCAAAGCCCAAGAGTGAATTAATTTATATCTAAACATTACAGTACAGATTGTATGTACTTCTTAACTCTCTCCAATATAGGTGGTGCCTTCAACATTTATATTAGTCTGGCAATTCCAGCATCACCATCTTCTGCTTCACGCACTGTGCCAGATAATAATTCACTTGCAGTCTATTTTATCAGCCATCATAATAAGGTAATCTCTCTCATAACAAATGCTTCTGTATTACTATTCCCTGATCTCAGAGCCTTCATTGCTCATGCCGAAAAGAAGCCCCAAGGGATGAACCAGACTGCTTTGGACAAAAAAAGACTTATGATGTGCAGGCAAGAACTGGTATGAAAGGCTCCCTCTTTAAGCTCTAGAGCAATATATAATGAGTTAATCTTAATCAGATGCAGTGTGTGTGTAGTAATTTGGATTTGGTTTCTTGGTGCCAGGGTGTTTCATAATGAATGTGAAAATTACATCCAAGAGCTTTTTTTTTTAAAAAAGACTACTGCGCTAAGCAAAAGGTTTTAAGATATTTCATGTTGAACTTTAAAGCAAGCAATTACAGCAAAAAGCTTTGTTCTTCGTACCTTTCCTGATTTTACAGTAGTGCAACTCCTGACAGTTCAGTAGAGTTAGTCCTGATTTACACGAGTTGTAAAGCACGGATTTAGCCCATGCCTGATTGCTTTGATGGATCTGGGCCTAAGTGATAGAAGAATCAGGCCCATCATATTTTTGCTGTTTTTACATATATCTCCATATAGCAAGAGCTATAGATAGACATAAATAAATGTGTGTATATTTAAAAATATTTTTTGTTTCTTGATTTTTCAAAGTTAATACTGCTAATTTGATTTTGATTTACACTAAGCCTCATTTACACTCTGTCACATTTGCATCCATAGTAAGGCCCTTTTACACTGCCAGAGTGGCATAAAAAGATCTTACTATAAATGAGACTCTGGCACAGAACATCTAAAGAGAATTAAATATCCATACATTTTTCCATCTCTCCCTAGATTATATGTATATACATCTGTGTTCTAGCTCTCCTGTATGGCTCCCAGTACTGTAGCATCTGAGTTGCCACACAATCTTTATGTATGTCTCTTTGCAACAACCCTGTGAGGTAGGGAAATACTCTTACCCCCATATTACAGATGGGGAACTGAGGCACCGATCCATTGAGAAGCTGAGACAGAGGGACTAAGTGACTTGCCCAAGGTTACACAAAAAAGCCAGTGGCAGAGCAGGGCATCGACCCTAAGTCTTCTGAGGCCTCAGTTACCAACCTACCCAGTGGACCATCTTTTCTCAGTATCAGAGGATCCATTTTTAATATATACACATAGGGGGACTGATCCAGAGGGTTGATGAGTACTAGCAACTCAGTGAAATTAACACCATCTTTCAGGAGCAGGATCATGTTAGTATCATAAGATATCATTATAATGCAGTATAATGCAGAGGGATCTTTACATATCCTAATAGATAGGGTGACCAGATGTCCCGATTTTTTAGGGACAATCCTGATTTTGGGGCTATTACCCCTGACCCCGTCCCGATTTTTTACACTTGCTATTTGGTCACCCTACTAATAGGCCTGCATTTTCTACTATACCTTGTGGTTGCACAGTAAATGTATGTATTATTTTTATGCCATTGTTTGCAGTACAGTATTGATCAAAGCCCTCCATCAGGATCAGGGCCCTATTATGCTGTGAGCAGTAAACACAAATTTCTGGGGACCTTCACTGCATAAACACACACACACACAGTGGAGAAAATGCACATTTTGTATAACTGGAATCATTTCCTGAAAGTTCATTTGCCCTCTGCTTTGAAATTTTGAAAAAAAAAATATTTCATAGTGAACCTGGGTAGCTATTTCCCCTTACATGCCCAGCTGGATAGTCTGAAATAAGTTTTTCATGAACTCACCGTGTGTATGAAATACTTACCTATTGTCCACTCCTGTTCCAGGAAGCAATGTCCTCGGATGCCAGTGGCATTGTTCAGCAGCAGAAAAAAAAGATGTCAGTAGATGAACTGATGCGTGAAACACAGAACTTCATAGAGAAAATTCGATTCTTGGTTGATGAGGTAATTCACCATTGACACAGGATTTTACCTAGGTCACAATGTCGAATGTTTTAACGAAGATGACACAAGTCTTTATAATACGGTACAATCAGTAAAACCTTGGGCTAGATCTTGACTAGATTGATTAGCTGGTGATCCCCACTACTCTATATCTCCTCATAGGCACTGACTCCATGGGTGCTCTGGGGCTGGAGCATCCACGGGGGAAAAAAAAAAGTGTGTGCTCAGCACCCACCGGCAGCCCTGCCAATCAGCTCCTTCCCCTCCTCTCCACACCTCCTGCCCCGGCAATCAGCTCCTCCCACTCCCCCAGCGCCTCCCACCCACCAGAGATCAGCTGTTCAGCACAGTGCAGGAGGCGTTGTGGGGGTAGGGGGAGGAGCAGGGCAGGAAGGGGCAGGGCACGCTTGTGGGGAGGATCAGAACTGTGTGGGAAGAGGTGGGGCAGAGGTGGAGCAGGGGCAGGAAGAAGTGAGGTGGGGGTGGGGCCTTAAGGCAAGGGGTGGAGTGGGGGCGTGGCCTGGCCTGGAGTAGGGGTCAAGCAGCCCCAGGATAATCAGAAAGTTGGCACCTCTGCCTCATGTACAGCCCTTGGCATGGGGAATGTCCTGGAAAATGGGGTTGTGGCCAGGGCACTGTGACAGGGGCAAACTGGATACACTGTACATGCATTTGCCCAATGAAGAATAGCCTCCCTGGTGAGATTTCATCTGAAAGTAAACTGTGAATCTAGGGCACAAGAAGCACCTAAAGGAAAGGTGCAGGATGGAGGAGTGGTATACAGGGTATCCCACAGGGGATCTACACCCTCTGCCTGCCACACAGCTGTGCCTGTACAGGCTTCACTTGCACTAGCGTGAGGGGCTGTGGAAGAGGGGGATTGTGACCAGTGGATCTGTGATTACACGGAGGATCCATGGCGAATCTCTCACTCACACAAAAGAGGGTAGTGCAGGAGCCCTGTTGTAGTCTCAGCCAGAAAGTGTCTCTGCTGCTCTTCCATGTGTTGGGAGAGCTTATTCAACCAGGACCTCATAGAAAGTAGAATGGTGGGTCCTAATTCTCATTTTCCTTAAGGCCTTTGGGTAAATGAGTATCAAGCCCATAGATTTTAAGATCAGAAGGAGCTATTTTGAGTATCCAGTCTGCCTTCCTGCATAGCACGGGCCATATATTTTTTATCCAGTGATTTTTGCATCGAGTCCCATAACTTCTGGTTGAGCTAAAGCATCTGTTAGAATTGCAGGCAGTCTGATTTAAAGACCTCAAGTGATGGTGTATGCACCATGTCCCTCGGTGAGATTCTCTGTTCAAAATTTACATCTTATTTCTGGTTTGAATTTCCGTAGCTTCAACTTCCATCCACTGCAGCTTGTTATGCCTTTATCTGCTACATTAAAGATCCTTTAGTATGTGATACTTTTCCCCTGTGTAGGCCCATGATCAAGTCACCTACTAACCCTCTTTGATATTTGAACAGAGTTTAAGGTCCTTAAAAGCTTAAAACCTTAAAAGGAACAAACTCTGACTGTGCTCAGGAACTGAGGTTTGGGCAGATACTATGTATCACAGTCCGGTATATGGATTTTTAGGTGTGAATTGATAGATTTTCTAGATTATGATGCTGGCTGTCTCTTCTCAGTAAAGGCTGGCTTTGTCTTGTCAAATTGTTGAAAAGAGTTAGGTCTTGTTAGTTCATGTTTAACAAAAAGTAATGATCGTTGCTCTTAAAAAGAATATTTGTTAATGTAGCTCTAGTGTTCAAAGCATACAAGTTCTGTTCCATGTCATTTTAATAGCCGCAGCATACGGTGCCTGATGTGTTCATCTGGATGCTCAGCAACAACAAAAGAGTTGCATATGCAAGAATCCCAGCAAAAGACGTGTTCTATTCCCCAGTGAATGAACAGAGAGGGAAAAACTGTGGGAAGATTAAAACCCATTTCCTGAAAGTAAGTCTGAGACATTTTGATCTTTTACAAAGATGTTTTGAGCAGATAACTCCATGAACACCATTTTTATCCATAAAAAGAAAAGGAGTACTTGTGACACTGCTCACATAAATTTGTTAGTCTCTAAGGTGCCACAAGTACTCCTTTTCTTTTTGTGAATACAGACTAACATGGCTGCTACTCTGAAACCATTTTTATCCATGTTTCACTCAGCCCACATGCATCTACCTTAAATATATGCAGAGTGAAATTATGCAGGAGAGGATTTCATTTGAGATACCAAAAATCTGAAATCTGATCTGCAAGGAATCTGTGGGTTTATCTGTATGATTTAGATCCATATTTCTCAACCAGTGAGTCACAAAAGGCAATTTGGAGGGCAAAAGTGTTGAAACCATTATTGCAATCTAAAGCAAATGAAATCTCACTCCCCAACTTCACCTCACAGCCTCACTCTACAAGGTTAAGTATGCTCTGTCAAATTCTCAAAATACACACAAATAAATTCTATTGGCTTATCATTGTTGTCATGGATACATTTTTACTCTTATAGAAAAATTTTGTCTTAAAAAGGGGTCACCAACCTGAAAAGGTAGAGAAACACTGATCTATTTTATCTATATTCTCTACTTTTCTGTTTTGCTTTTAATACCATGCTCATCATCATGGTGTCTAAGTAATTCATCCCCTGGCTTCCTGCTTCTGCCAAGTGTACCATGAATCCAAATATGCACAAATAGATGTAAATTGGTAGATCACTAAACCTTTCTTCTCTGATGAATACATTAAGCAGCATTTGAAAACTCCAAGGGAAACTCCAACAGATTGACATTCACCACACTCAGACAATGAGGAAGTGCAGAGATTCAGACATAATATAAACATTTCTGTTTATAACTCCAATTTAAAATGTGCATGTGAGATATATGTTGGTACTCCATCGCTGACAATGATGACAATATTATAGCAATTCTCAGCTCTGGCTACACACATGACTCCAAAGTCTGAACCATGATGCATAGAGTTGGCTACACTAAGGCCATGGGAAGTCTGTAAATATTATGTTTGACAGTGCAGTTCTGTGGCGCTTTTCACGTGCAGCCTGGAGATGATTTCGTCAATCCTACTCAAACCTGTTACATCCTGATCTTGTCAAGAGACTACCAGTGTGTCCTGTCCTGAGCCATTTGCTCAAGTTCTTTGAGGTTGATAGTCTCCAGTGGGCTGCACTTTAGGTTAACTTTAAGCGCTTATACGGACGACACTTCCTTCTTTTGCTCCCCATGCAAGATCTGTTTTGGGAGACAGATCTTCCATTCTGATGACATGTCCAGTCTACCTAAATTGTGTTCTCAATAGCATTTCCTCACTGCTTTGTTGTGTTTGCTCTTTCAGGGACCTTAATATTGGTCACTCTGTCCTGCCAGCGAATGCTCATTATTAAGGCTACGTTTTAGTCACGGGTATTTAGTCATGGGTATGGACAGGTCACGAGCAATAAACAGAAAGTCATGGTCCTGGACCTGTCCATGACTTTTATTAAAAATACCTGTGACTAAATCTTACCTGCTGGGAGGGGGGCACTCCTGAAGACTGCTGCTGGGGGTGGGGGCAGAGCTGGGCGATGTGTCTGCTGGGTGGGGCAGCCCAGGCCCCTGCTGCAGCTGGGGGCAGCCTGTGTCCCCCTGTTACTGGAGGAGGGGCAGCCCGGGGCCCCTGTTGCTGCTGCTGGGGGCAGCCCTGCCACCAGTCCAGGTGGGGGGGAAGCCTGTGGCCCTGCTGCCACTAATGCACGGGGGGCAGCCCGGGGCCCCGGCGCCACCTCCGCTGGTCCGGGCGAGGGACAGCCCGGGGCCCCACTGCCACCTCCGCTGGTCCGGGCGAGGGACAGCCCGTGGCCCCACTGCCACCTCCGCTGGTCCGGGCGAGGGACAGCCCGGGGCCCCACTGCCACCTCCGCTGGTCCGGGCGAGGGACAGCCCGGGGCCCCACTGCCACCTCCGCTGGTCCGGGCGAGGGACAGCCCGGGGCCCCACTGCCACCTCCGCTGGTCCGGGCGGTGCGGCTGGCCCCAGGGCTTCCCAGATGCTGTGGTGGTCCTGGGGTCAGCTGCACCAGCCCTGCAAAATTCACAGAGGTCACGGAAGCCATGACGTCTGTGAATGAGTCACAGCCTTACTCATTATCGAGCGGAGGGAACGCTTGTGAAATTGCTCAAGCTGTTAAATGTGCCATCTATAAAGAGTCCATGTCTGAGATCCATGCAGGAAAGATGTTAGATATATAAAATATTGAATAATATACTTATCTGACAAGACCATTTTAGCAGTGTTATACAAAGAGAGGTAACATGCACAGTAACAGTATGCAACAATGGAATGTAGTCACTGTCCATCAGCAACAGCTGGAAGGAAAAGCCTGGACACTCTGGAATAATAAGCAATGGTAACATTGCTTATTAAGTGTATAGAAACTCATCACCTAAGATGGTTGTTGTTGGAACCAGGCAAATAAAACGTAGCTCGTCAGCAGATAGAGGTATCCAGACTTCTGCTAATTATCAAGAGTAATTTATTGTGCATACTACTTACTGCATAGAATAACATTTCAGTGCATTTCTACTTACAGTTTTTAAAGAGGCTTCTTGAATCTTTTTAGAGCTTTCTTATGAGAAATCTCTCCCAGGTCTATCAAAATGTTCTATTTTATTTGAATGAAGTAAAACTAATTTTAGAAGTAGTCATTTCAAACAAAATGAAACGGTCATTAAGATACTCTGGTGTAGCAATTCTATTTATCCATCAGATTAAACCTCAGAGGCACAGTACAAGTAGTTGTATTTTCACTTGAAAGAAAGTTACAACTAGGAAGCACTATGGATAACCCAGAAGGTGGGATGTTTCCCCGCTGTTTAAAATACAAAGGTTGTTGCTTACAAGACACACTGTTACACCAAGTGAAACAAAAAGGCACCAGTTAAGCCATCATCAATTGTTAGGGTCTGTCAGGAAAACATTGCAATGTAGTGACTGTCTAGTCATTTTATGTCATGAATTGCTTTAGGAATAAGCAGTATAAAAAAACTGAATTAAGCAGAGCTTGATAGAAAAAAAAATATTGTTGAAAGTATTGTCAAAAAATGTAACATTTTATGTTGGAAAAAGTTTCATCAAAAGTTTTCAGACTTGCCCTATGAAGTAATAACTTATTTAGGAGCAGCCATAATACAGTCAGAAAGCAGCATGAGGTGGACAGTGCGCAATAGGCTCGGAAATTTAACATAGCAAACACCAGAGGCAAATTTACAGCTGTTATTTAGCAAGAAAAGGCTTGTACACTATCCCACTGAAAGCAGACTTTTACAACTAGGTTTGTTATCAATTCCTTCCTTTGAATCTTGAAATACATTGTACCAAGTAGGTCACATGGCCATCCTCCCCATTATGACTTCAGGTCAGCAGGGCCTGACAAAACACATTCTGGAATACTTAAGGAACTGGCTGAAGAGATCTCTGAGTCATCACCTATTATCTTTGAGAAATCGTGAAAAAAAGGACAAATATAACACAGAATGGGAAATGACTGCCTAGGAAGAGTACTGCAGAAAAGTGTCTGGGGATTATAATGCATCACAAACTAAATATGAGTCAACAATGTAATTCTGTTGAAAAAAACAAACATCATTATTAGATTTATTAGTAGAAGTGTTGTAAGCAAGAGCGGAGATGTAATTCTTCCACTCTACTAAGCACTGATAAATCCTCATATGGAGTGCTGTGTCCAGTTATGGGCGCCACACTTTGGGAAAGATGTGGACAAATTGGAGAAAGTCCAGAGGAGAACAGCAAAAATTATTCAAAGTCTAGAAAACATGACCTATGAGGAAAGATTGAAACAATTGGGGTTTGTTAAGTCTGGAGAAGAGAAGATTGGGGTGAGGGGGAAGGGAAGACATGATAAGTCTTCAAGTTCATAAAAAGTTGTTATAAAGAGGAGGGTCATATATTGTTCTCCTTATCTACTGAGGACAGGAAAAGAAATAATGGGCTTAAATTGCAGTAAGGGAGATTTACGTTAGACAACAGGAAAAACTTCATAATGGTAAAGATAGTTAAGCACTGGAACAAATTACCTAGGGAGGTTGTGGAATCTCCATCACTGGAGGTTTTAAGGACAGGTTAGACAAACACCTATCAGGGATGGTGTAATGGGGTTTGACTCACCACTGCAGTGCCTCCTGCTGGCCGTCCTGGGAATTAGCTCTGGTTCACCAGTGCGCATTCATCTAGTGATGTCTCGCCACCATCACTTCTGCCATCAGGACCCGTGTTGCTCTCAGGACCATGGTATCCTCTTCTGGACACAACTCTTTGGCTGTGCCCCACTCGGTTCTCTCCCTCCCGCCCCATTCTGGGAGGCCAGCAGTCCTCTGTCCAGCCATTTGCCTCAGTGGTAGGCTGCAGGCCAGGGTTTAGCCACCTGCATCAGTAGCAACTGGGGCCAAAGGGGGAGAGGACTAGCAGTCATACGCTGTGTCACCTCCAACCCCTGGCATCTGTTTCCCTGGGCCACTTCCCCGTAGCCCTAGCACCTTCTCTGCCCCTGTATCATGGCCTCAGTCTGGCAGCAGTCAGCCGGGAGCTCACTCATGCTCCCCTGACTCTGTCCAGCACTGCCTGGACCATGGTGCTGTCTCTTCTCCCTCCTTCAGGGCAGCCAGTCCTCACTCCTCAAACTCCAGGGAATGACTGAAGCTGCTCTGTTCAGCATCCCTTCCTATATGACCCAACCTGGCCCTGATTGGCTGTCTCTCTAAACCTCCTGATTGGCTGTCTCTACAAGCTCTTTCCTAATTGGCTGCCTCTTACACAGCCTCCCTGGGCTACTTTAACCCCTCTTCTGCCAGTGTGGGGCTGAAGCCCCACCACAGATGGTCTAGATAATACATAGTCCTGCCTCAGAGCCTATCAAGGTCCCTTCCAGTCCTACATTTCTATGATCCTGTGATTAAATAGGCAAGTCATTTATCAGCATATCATAGAATCATAGAATATCAGGGTTGGAAGGGACCTCAGTCCAACCCCCTGCTCAAAACAGGACCAATCCCCAACCAAATCATCCCAGACAGGGCTTTGTCAAGCCTGACCTTAAAAACATCTACGGAAGGAGTTTTCACCACCTCCCTAGATAACTCATACCAGTGCTTCACCACCCTCCTAGTGAAAAGGTTTTTCCTAATATCCAACCTAGACCTCCCCCCACTGCAACTTGAGACCATTGCTCCTTGTTCTGTCATCTGGTACCACCGAGAACAATCTAGATCCATCCTCTTCGGAACCCCCTTTCAGGTAGATGAAAGCAGCTATCAAATCCCCCCTCATTCTTCTCTTCTGCAGACTAAATAATCTTAGTTCCCTCAGCCTCTCCTCATAAGTCATGTGCTCCAGCCCCCTAATCATTTTTGTTGCCCTCTGCTGGACTCTTTCCAATTTTTCCACATCCTTCTTGTAGTGTGGGGCCCAAAACTGGACACAATACTCCAGATGAGGCCTCACCAATGCCGAATAGAGGGGAATGATCACATCCCTCGATCTGCTGGCAATGCTCCTACTTATACAGCCCAAAATGCCATTCGCCTTCTTGGCAACAACTGTTGCCTCATATCCAGCTTCTCGTCCACTGTAACCCCTAGGTCCTTTTCTGCAGAACTGCTGCCTAGCCACTCAATCCCTAGTCTGTAGCAGTGCATGGGATTCTTCCATCCTAAGAAGATGCACTTGTCCTTGTTGAACCTCATCAGATTTCTTTTGGCCCAATCCTCTAATTTGTCTAGGGCCCTCTGTATCCTATCCCTACCCTCCAGCGTATCTACCTCTCCTCCCAGTTTAGTGTCATCTGCAAACTTTCTGAGGGTGCAATCCAAGCCATCCTCCAGATCATTAATAAAGATATTGAACAAAACTGGTCCCAGGACCGACACTTGGGGCACTCCACTTGATACTGGCTTGATAGCAACTGAGTGGATGCTCCTCTGTTCAGCAGTGCAGCTTGCCCAAACTATAAATAACATTCAGTGATCTCTCTTACTTTGTATTGGTTGATGACCTATGTTTTTTCAGTTACCAGGAAAACGCCTGTCGGGTTGGAATGTACCTGCAAAAGTAGACACCTATCTGTGGCTTGGTTCCATCAAGTATGCCCATACCATTATGGAGAACTTACCTTTAGGACATGAGACTGAAGTGCCCTCCGCAGATGGTACAGGACATCCTCCTGCTCCTTCACCTGCCAGTCTGGTGTACAAAAGTAAGACAATACTTCTGCAGTACAGTAGCAAGGATACTTAGCGGTAGTATGGAACGTTGGACATATGGTGCTCTAAATTAGGAGGATAGCAAAACATCTACTTGATGTATTTGCATTTTTCCCCAAAAATGCTTAAATTAACATTTTAGCACATTGTTTAATCAGAGACACTGACTAGTTGCTGAATGCCACCTTGGCAGCTACTGAATGCTTAAAACCTCCATTGATGCTTCATGGAATCATAGACATTAGAGATGGAAAAGACACACTACATTATGCCCTTCCCTCCATATCCCTCTCAATGCAAGGTTGTTGCCCTTAGCACATGTTGCACTGTTTTTGCTCCCTAGTTTAAATGTCCCAAATGAGGAGTCTTCCACTGGATCTTTTGATAAAAGCATATGTGCTTGAATTCATCGTAGGTGATAAATATACATAGGGAGATACTATGGTCAAGTGATGAGAGAAAAGACTGGAAATTAGCAGAGCTGGTTTATAACCCTGGCTCTGACACTGTGTGAATTGTGTGAATTTAATCTTTCTGTCGCTCCGATACCCCATCTTTAAAATGGTGATCGCACTTTTCTATCTCATTGGAGTGCTGTGAGGGTCAAGGTTTTGGAATTTGTGGGTGGTCCTCTTTCCATGTATTCATGGCATCATTTCCCCAAAACTGATAACATTGTATTCATTGTCCTGACACAGCCAAGCACCTCTTCCAGTTAAGAGCCCACATGTATCAGGCCAGGGGGCTCATTGCGGCAGATAGCTCTGGACTTTCTGATCCCTTTGCCAAAGTAACGTTTGTTTCGCACTGCCAGACCACCAAGGTAAGTTGCAAAGTCTTCCTTCTCCTTGTGTAAATAAGGAACTGAGATGTCTCATTAAAGTGGTGAAAATGGGAAAAAATATTGATTCTCAAAGGCAATTGGGAATTACCTTACCAGATCAGATTAGTGGTCTATCTAGTGCAGTCTTCTGTCACTCTCAGTGGCCAATATTAGATGTTTGAGTTTCCTTTTCTGTAAAATGAGGATAATGCTTAATGAAAAACTACTTAACTACCATAATGAGGTGTTGTGAGGCTTAATTCATTAGTTTGTAAAGCACTTTGAGATTCTTAGACGCAAGGGGCTCCAGAAATGTAAAGGATTATAGTGTATTATTGAGACGAGTGGTTACTTATTTGCAGTATCTCTTAGAGCCAGTCACAGTGGATATTATATCATAGCACTAATATCCAGCCATATGAATACAAGTGTGGTTGAAAACAGAAGTCCTAGCGCGGCTGTCTGTTTTGAGGACATGTGCCTGTCATTAAAGAAACACCACTGCCATTCTAGCTCTTGGTATGATTAAATTAACAAATATACCATCAGGGACAGCTGCTCTGATGGCATAGCATATATAGAATGAGTCACCAGATGCAGCCTTGTATCTGCTCTCCAAGTGTAATTGGTCTGCAATTAGACTAGTGCCAATCTGTTTTGACTCCTTTGGATGTTAGATTCTCTGAGATTATTGGACCGAAACAGCAAGTGTGGGCTGGGTTGTATTTCTCTGAAATTCTCCCTCTTTAGACTTTAAGATTAGGCCATTTCCATTGGCAGGGGGACAGATGCTGTGTCCTGCATCCCCGCCACTATTTTTGTGTGTGTTAAGAGCAAGGCTGAGTCACTTTTTAAAAAAGCCCAAAGTGCTGCTGTGGCCATGTGAGTCAGTTTGGCCCTTTGGAATGGAGTTTAGTAGAGCACAAGGATGGTTTCAGAGAGGCATTACCAGGTAAAATGCACACCAGGTGCAGAGACTCTCTGCACTACTTAAGTCCTGAAAAATAGTTGCTCATTGAGAGGCCTCCTTAGGGCTGCCTTTGAACTGGAGAAATGGTCTCCAGACCAGCCGCACAGAGATTGGCATGAAAGGCCATTTTGGAATGAGCAAGGAGTTTCCTGGGGACAAGAGAGGGGCTTCTACCCAGATCCTGTGGTTTCAGTATGCTGTGCAACCGGTACAAGGGACAGCTGATTTATTACCCATGGGGAAGGTGGGAGGGTTCTGCATGGCAACCCTGCAACCTGGCCCGGGCTTGGGTGGGAGAGTTGGATTTCACTTTCACTCACCCAGCTTGATGGGAAAAACTCAGCTTGACTCTCAGAGCCCATCTTAATTTTGCAAGGGTGGAAGTTCAGTAACCCACTATTTCACTTGTAAATAGAGCACATTTGACACAGAAATCATCAAGGATCAATAAATGTGGAACCCAAATCAACTATTTTTATAGTCACTTTTCACAGGATAACAAAGCTTTAAGAAAAATAATGTTTATCCCCTTCTGGCTCTCTGAAGGAAGTTTCTATAGCAGCAGATTCTGGGGGCCAGGGCAAGGAAAAGGTTTCTCTATCCAGGTGGCTCTCTAGAGTCATAGGGCCTGATTCTGCTCTCACTTATGCCTGTTTTACCCTCATGGTTAAGATCAATTGAGTTAATCTTGGTTTACCCCCATTGTAGCTCTCTGGATATCAATGGAGTTGATCCTGGTATAAGCTAGCATACCTGAGAGTAGAATCAGACCTACGTATGACAGCATTTTGTACACACATAAGTGCGAAGTAACATATTGTCTGAATAAAATACTGCATGCAATCATTTGAATTGTTTTTAGAATGGTGTCCACCAAGCTCCAATAAACCACAGTGAAAGAAGACATTTCCATTTAACAGAACAACAGCAGATGATGAGAGTCAGATTTTGCAGCGGATATTTTTTTCTTTAAAATTTAACATTGGTAGATACATTTCCTGCCAAAGCAGCTAAGCTGTTGTCTTTGAGGAAGTGCCTTGACCAGCCCAGCATGTCTGAAGTGCAGCAGCAAATTGCAAGGAAAAAATAAAAAAAAATTGATTTGTTATGAATTAATCAATAAATTACCTTGTTCAATAAGAACATTGTGAGTTATTATTGGCATCTGTATTTGAAGAAAAATTACTTGGAAAATGTTTACCCCACAGAATGAAAAAGTGGAATACATTTTGCTCAAAGTTCTTCTTTAACTATACATGGCCTGATCCTGCAGTCTCCAAACAGGCAGCCTTCCCATAGATTGCAGTATGAGTTTTGCATGCACAAGGACTGCAAGATATAAAGTCAGATATCTGGTTATTTGTTCAGGAAGAGCCTGTAAGGCAAGGAGGGGGGAACATTTACAGCTCAGAATGAACAGGGGTGGTATTCATCTGTGTGGGAAAGACTTTCAATGCACTTATGAAGGCCCATGTTAAGGTTTTTAGGCCCCAGCCCAGCAAACTATTTAAGCACATGCATAACTTTAGGTCAATGAGTACCCTCACTGAAGTTAATGGGATCATAGTTACACATGCGGTTTAAGTGCTTTGCTGGACTGGGCACTAAATGAGGCTTGCATGGGTTCTGATGCAGGACCTCTGCAGAGGTGAGTGACATTTAAAATAGGCCTTGTGCTGATTCTGTATTTCACCCTCTCTTAATAGTTTAGTTTAGTCCACTGGAAAAGATTTCATCACGGTGCAGCCACTTTCTGCTGGAGCACACCAGTCAGTCTTTTACCAGCCTTCTTAAAATGCTGTTTGTTTTTCACTAGATCATTTCTCAGACATTATCTCCTACGTGGAATCAGATGCTGCTGTTCAATAACATTGTGCTCCATGGTGAAGGGAAGGAAATTGCTGAATTCCCACCAGTGATTGTCATAGAGCTGTACGATGATGATGCAGTGGTAAAGATGAAATGCCTCTTATTAAAAAATCTGAATTGTTGCAGTGTAATGTATTATCTATGTAAAAATCAAAGCTATGTCATTTAACAGACATTTAAAAGTAGTTTCTCTGGCCATGTAAATCAGTTTCTGGCCCTTTAAAATGGAGATTAATATTGTGATGGGACGTAGTCTGAGAACCAGATTTATATCCAGTCCTCAGTTACGTCTTTGTAACCTCCTGGTCTTGTTGTTCCAGTTTGACTCTCAGATCCAAAAAGGGGTTTGCAGTAGAAACATCCTTTTACTTGTACGCAGTTGTAATTATTGTATTTATGTATGTTCAGAGACCCGAATTTACCTCCAGCTCACAGAAATCTAGTGCCATCTCACTGCTTATTAGGATACTGCCTTCAGAATTGCTGAAATGTGAAATCAAGGCACTGGTAAACTTCAGATGAGTTTAAAGAACACCCTCTATCATTTCAATAGTTGCCATCCATTGTATTTTGCTGTGCACCTGACTGGGTAGTTTTGTCAGATATATTAAAAGACCATTTCCCACATTTGGATTGAGGGTGGGAGGAGCAGTTCCTAAGGCTGCTGCTATGTTTAGACTACTTACAAAATAACCCGAAGTATGTATCCTTATTTATCTAGGGTAAATCAGACTATATTGGCTCAACAGTAGCTGCCCCTGTGGTGAGACTCGCTGATCAGAAATACGAGCCACCTAAACTATCTTATCACGCAGTGCATTGTGGAAATCTGTCTGGAGGAGACCTTCTTGCTGCATTCGAGCTGCTGCAGGTGAGGGATTGAGTATTAACATTTACCTTTGGGGCATGTAAAAGCATTTAGGGTACAAAGAGACACCGTGGTCCTAGTCTTGTCCTCACTTATACAGGTGCGTCCCTTGTTAAAATCAGAAGGAGTTGCACCCAGGAGAGAGCAGAATTGGATCCTTTCTCCTTTACATCTCATATGCCTAGAACATGATGCAGTTGTCATTCCTGTTCATCCTGCAGTTGGAACAATAAACACTGTTCCTACTTCCACTGCTGCTGGCCCTCTGAATCCTCTAGCTTGGCTTACCTCGCATTTCCACTGGTTTTACCCTGCTCTAATTCTGTTGACTGCAAGGTAAAGTGTCGTTTTGTTCTGGGAAGTGACTGTGTAAAAATGGCATCTTCTTACTGCTCCCTATGTCTGTTTAGAGGTCTATGTCTTTAACAACACTAATAAATTGTTACTACTACTTACTCTTATTACCAGTATGGAGGCAATGTATAGAAGGGAGAGTTAACTGGGTTCTGTTCTGGCTGTAGCACATAAACAGAATTGTTAACCAGTTTCCAGTTGCAGGGCTGAATTCTGCCCTCACATCTGGGCATGGCTTTGCAAATGCACAAACAAGACAGCTTGACTTTCAGACCCAAAGCAGAATTTGTAGGGCTGACAGGTAGAAGAAACTTCTTTTTACTTGTAAACTGAACAAATTTGTTCTGGAATGAGTGAGACATAACATGTAAAACACACAACCCCCATGATGGCATTTTAATAATCACTTGCCAGAGTAAAATTGCATTTTAAAGCATGTGGGGCTAATTGTTTCCCCAATTAAACCTAAATAACATCAAGGAGGGGAACGCACCAACTTAGTGGGGTGTAATTAAGGACAGAATCTAGCTCCATAATCAATATTTTTCTCAATTTTTAATCTAGTCCATGTTTCTAGTGAACAGAGTGAACATTTAGTTTTATTTCACTTTTATCTGGGCGAAGGGAAACAGCACAACATACCAGACTGATCTGAAAATATCTAAGGCCTGAATAAAGAGCTGAAAATAAATGTAAAAATGACCCAGCGCTGGCATTCAGCATTCTCAGACCCTTCACTGTTTGTCTTGGTGATTACATCCTAAAGAATGCTTGTTTTCATCACAGATAATGCTCAAGAGCATGGACTTTAAAGAACCATTCAAGAAAAGATGTGTTAAAACACTATGAGAGGCTTTAAAGCATTCTCAGAGGCCTGATGTGCTGGCAGTTTCTTTCTAGTATCAAAGGATTCCTGATGATGCTCAGTGAGAAGAAACTCTACAATCTCTAATTCGCTCTGTACTTCGGAGACAATAACGCTTTTGGCCACATATACCACATTAGGTAGTTCCAATCTACAAATTGTTGTTTGTTTCAATTCAGGCTATTTTATAATTGGAGTAACAATATGTATGAGAGAAGATCCCTTTTTGAAATTACTGAGGTAGTTCTAGGTCACTGCAAAAGGGTTAAAGTTGATTTCAGTGTAACAGAACAGTTGAGACACTTAGAGAAATAGGAGATTAGAGAAACAATGACTAATAGTGGACACTTGCTAGTCTTAATATGTATGCAGTGCACATATCTCCACTGCTACAATGATCAACACCCTGGCACAAGACACCTTTTAAGATCCATGAATCCTACGCTTGCCTATCACAACATGTGATAGTACCTCATCCGGGCACTAAATACCCCAGTAAAAATTATGTGGGTGTAACCAGACAATCATTACGCTCTGCAATGCACTCACACAGGAAAATGATAAAAGACAAAAACACCCTACCACCTGTGGGTGAACACTTTTCACAAAGTGATCATTCTGTATATAACCTATCAGTCCTCATCCTGAAAGGAAACGTGCATAACACATTCAAAAGACGGTCCTGGGAGCTTAAATTCATGACTCTACTAGATACTAATAATCTTGGATGGAACAAAGACTCTGGATTTATGGTTTATTACAACAATCTGTAACCCACTGACCCCCTCTTTGTGTCTTATGACTGCAGAGGTGGTAATAGGCCACTCTACCTTGAATGGTCCCTTACAATATGTGCTAACTACTTATGCTGGACAATCTGTTCCATCTTGCATTTAGCTGTGATTTGCCTTTCCCAGACCTGAAGAAGAGCACTGTGTGGCTGGAAAGCTTGTCTCTCTCACCAACACAAGTTGTTTCAATAACAGATATTACCTCACTTGCTAGTGTTGATCATTTGAAGTCATTAACGCTCACAGGGCACCTTTCTTGAGAGCTAGGAATGCTGGCCTAGATATCTTGGAATGGTTCCCATCTGTGTAGTTACTAGAATTGTCTGGAAATGTTCCCCCTGAAATGTCAGACTAAAATTTAAACCATTTCAGTTTATTTCACTCATCACATTTTGTTTTGATTCAATGACTATGTACACATCAAAAACATGTGACAATTCCAATGTTAACTTTTGAATTTTGGCTTTAGAGTCTCACAGCCACCTTTTACTCTGACTGGGCCCACCACCTGTTGAAAATGGCCTTATTTTCACGAGAAAAAAAGCTCCTTTTTAAAGAAAAATTTGGCCAGCTTTTTAACAACATTTTTACAAAAAGGTTGTAACAAGATGAAAAGAATCAGTTTTTGAATAGTTTCATCTTCTGCTGAAAAGAGTTTTAACCCTCTAGTAATTACATTTCTCCTGACCCCTAAAATTCCCCATACAATTTCAGCTAACTACAGTGTAATTCTTCACTTTCTATCCTAAACTGTGGCATGCTGGCACTGGACCAAAATCTCCTCTTCGTTATACCAGTGCAATTCCTCTGAAGTTGATGGAGTTTCATGATGGAATAGAGAAGATTCAGCCCAGTGTTTGTGATTGAACAGCTGCTGTGTTTCACCACTTTAGGGAAGGACTGGGGATATGATCCCACTTTTCAGTTTATAAAGTGCTTTGGGATTGCTTTGGATCAGAGGTGCTTCTGTATATAAATATGAGTTACTGTTTTAGTTTATTATCATTATCACCACTGTACTGTGTAATGCTGTCACTCTGAGATGTTTTACACCTTTCTGTTTTCTGCGCCTACAATGTGGTAAGGAAAATATCTCCTCTTCCTTATACTAAATGAACTTTCCACACAGCAGCACATATCAGGACACAGAAGACAGATGACTCCTATTTAAAAGAAACAGAAGATGTGAACTTTACAGGTTCCCTGGTGACTCTCTCATAGCCTTAACATTTCAGTGGCAATAATTATAAAGCACTCTAGACACTACATTACTATGACTATTTCCCAGAATCCTTACCCTTTCACTTGTGTGTGATCATTATCGCACCATGGCGCATCTAATTGATCTAATTTTGTTTGCCCTTAGTTAACCAGAAGACATTTCACATCCTTCCTCTCTAATCCTGTCCCATAGTCACCTCTTTATGTGTTGTGTTTCATAATGAAGCCAAACAGAATTTTCTGAGCAAAAGGAGGTAATCTGTGAAATAGCAATTCATAGTTTTGTCAGCGTTAGAAATTGAGTTTCTGGTAGAAGAGATCAGTGCCCCTTTGGCTCAGCCTGGAGTACTAGAGGAAGAAAAGGCATACCAAACCAGGAAGGGGCATAGATCTACTGTAGAGAGATTGTGGGGGAGTGCAGAAAAGAGGAGACTGAGAGAAGACGTGATAACAGTTTTCAAGTACAGTAACTCCTCACTTAAAGTTGTCCCGGTTAACGTTGTTTCATTGTTACATTGCTGATCAATAAGGAAACATGCTCATTTAAAGTTGCGCAGTGCTCCCTTATAACGTTGTTTGGCAGCCACCTGCTTTGTCCACTGCTTGCAGGAAGAGCAGCCCGTTGGCGCTAGCTGGTGGGGGCTTGGAACCAGGGTGGGCCGGCAGCCCCCCTAAGTTCCCTGTGCAGCAGCTGCCCACCAGGCTATCAGTTGCCGGCCAGTTCAGGTATCCCTCCCCCCACTGCCATGTGCTGCTCCTGCCCTCTGCCTTGGAGCTGCTCCCAGGAGCCTCCTGCTTGCTGTGCGGGGGGAGGAAGAGAGGGGCTAATGTCAGGGTGCCCCCCTCCCCCCTACTCCTGCCCCCTGCTTACCCCTTCTCCATATAGAGCAGGGCGGGCACAGGACAGAGCTCAGGACGAGAGAGCTGGCCGCAGCTGCTGTCTCAACTTCCTGATCTTTTTAAAGGCAATGTACCTAGAGTGGGGTCAGTGTACTTAAAGTGGCAATGCGCCTCTCTCTCTCTCCCACACACAGGGTGTGTGTCTCTGTCTGCCATGCTGTCTCCCCTTCCTCCATTCGTGCACCCTTGTAGAGTGTGAGGCTACATTAACAACAATGTGTTAACCCTTGAGGGCTCAGCCGAATGCTAGTTCATCATTTAGCAGTAAGGCATTCCCTGGGAAATATCCCACCCTCAGACTTCACCACCTCAACCAAGCTTCACAATCATCATCGCTGTGTACAGTATTAAATTGCTTGTTTAAAACTTATACTATGTGTATATATATATATATATATATATATATATAATATAGTTTTTTGTCTGGTGAAAAAAATTTCCCTGAAACCTGACCCCTCCACTTACATTAATTCTTATGGGGAAATTGGATTCACTTAATATCGTTTTGCTTAAAGTCGCATTTTTCAGGAACATAACTGCAATGTTAAGGAGGAGTTACTGTACATAAAGGGTTGTTACAAGGAGCAGGGAGAAAAATTGTTTTTCTAAACCTCTGAGGATGGGACAAGAAGCAATGGGCTTAAATTGCAGCAAGGGAGGTTTAGGTTGGACATTAGGAAAAACTTCCTAACTGTCAAGGTGGTTAAGCACTGGAATAAATTGCTTAGGGAGGTTGTGGAATCTCCATCATTGGAGATTTTTAAGAGCAGGTTAGACAAACACCTGTTGGGGATGGTCTAGATAATATTTAGTCCTGCCATGAGTGCAGGGGACTGCATTAGATGACCTCTTGAGGTCCCTTCCAGTCCTATGATTCCATGATTCAGTCTATTGAATTTAAAATAACCTGTTCCCATGAAGTGCTTTGGCCTCATGGCAAAGCAGAGAGCATTCCAAAGCATGTCTTTCTCACAATGCCGAGCATGTATTCTGTCTGCATGATGGCCCTAGTTGCTGTAAAGTACTGTATGCAATGGACAACTTACAGGGGGACCTGAGACTATATTTCACAGAGCAGTGACAAAGAGTTATGACTATTTCATTTTTCAGATTCCAGATTGTGGTCCAGTGAGCCTTCCACCAGTGGATCCACCTGACGTAAGCCAGATCTACCCAGTTCCAGCCAACATCCGGCCTGTTTTAAGCAAATACAGAGTGGAGGTAAGTTACAAAGAATAACATTTTTGACTTTTTCAGACTCCCAGACATTCTACATTTTTGCAGTGGAGCACAGGGTTTAGCAATGTGATTTTTGACATTCAAATCAGTGGGAATTACACAAATGTAACTGTTCAACTGACTGTTCAAATGTAACTAAAAGGGCCAGATCAGGTGCAATTCCTGAACACAACACATATAAGGCAGTAACTCCAACCATTGAATTAGATCTTGAAAACAACTAGGGCCAGACTTTTCTTCAAAGGACGGTCCCTATACATATTTGCTCAAATGCACATGCACTCCATGCACCCGAGACTGGAAGACTTTTCACTAGCAGTGTCCATTGGTCTATGCGTGTACCCTTCTCCTCGTGCTCTGAACCGAGGACATAAGGGATGGTGCGGACCAACAGCCTCTCCAGTTCCTTTCTACCACCTGTGACTGGAGAGCAAACTTCTCCAGTGTCTGCAGCATTAGCTTGCAGTCTTTGTTTTCTAGTGTAAATATTGTAAATAGTTCTACCTGTTCTGATTTCTTTTCTAGTGTTAGTGTGAGTCTCAGTGAGCTGTAGGGTGTCAGCTGTGAGTGTGGGCTGTCAATGAAAGGAACAAGCAAGACTAACCCAGATCTGAATCCACAGACAAGGAGGCCAAACATTTAGATCTCTTTGGGGAAAAAAACTTCACTTCTGTTTTCAGTTCTACACAGCAAACTAGTAGGCTTTAATGGAAAAGTATGATTGTATGAATTATAATAACTTTTCTGTCAACAAGCTGCCTCATGGGTGTAGACTTCAGTTCTGAGCAACCGTTGAGGAAGGTAAATTGCTAGCAAGTTCTGCCTCCCAGGCTTGGTACACACACCAGATACAGCCTCCCACTCCCTGGCAACATTTATAGTCGTGAAACAGACTTCATAGCTCCAGGCCTCTGGATTCTCCAAGGAAATCCGATCTGCCCTTCGAAGGAAAGAACCCACTCAGTGAGAAAACAGATGTTTGTTACATAACCTCAAGGGCTTGAGCGCAACACTCCATTCTCTGGGTATCAATATCCCAGAACCACAAAGAAAATATCCTAAGTCTCAGTTTTCCCATCAACAACAGCCCACTCCGCAATTCTTCACCCTCAGAGGGCTTCTGAGCCCCCAAGAAATCATCAAAGAAAGCAGCACCGAAAGCAGAACATTCCTTCTTCATTGTCCTCCCAGGCCCAGCCTCCCACTAAGCAGTCCTTTTGATGGGACCTTTCAGAGTTGCAAACCAATCCTCCCACCAACTCTACTGGGCTCAGATTTCCCCACCCCTTTTGGGAGCCATTTACTTTACTTTTCCTTGGCATGGCACCATATAGCATCAGACAAATGGGTTATGGAACTCATCATCACCAAATATACAAAGTTCGAATCCATCCACCCTCTAAAAATCCCTCCCTACTGCTGACAGGAAGTACACTCCTTGCTCCAAATGGGAGTTATAGAGCCAGTATACCCCAACATGGGGGGAAATGATTTTACTTAAGATATTTCTTCATCCCCAAGAAGAAAGGAGGCTGGAGGCCCATACTAGATCTCAGACTGCTGACCCAGGGCAAAGACAAGATCTTCCATCCCAACCCAGTATCTCTTCATCTGGCAACTTGGTATTTGGATGGATGACAAACTTAGAGGGATCGTGCTCAGTAGCTACACAATCCATTCTTGGCAATAGCAGAAAAGACTCTGTGAAAAAGTGCTATACAGCAAAATGGAGGAGATTCTCTATATGACATCAGCATCATTGACTGTTCCCAGTCTGAGATTCTACTATTCTGGACAACCTCCTCTCGCTCTGAAAAGGTTGGGGTTGTCTCTCAACTCCTTACAAGTGCACTTGACAGCTATTAGCGCTTTTCATCCTCCTGTGGACATCCATTCAGTCTTTGCTTGTCTGACTACAGTAAGGTTTCTGAAGGGTCTTGTCAGAATCTTTCCTCCAGTGCTAAAATTTACTCCAATCTGGGGCCTCAATCCAGTCCTACCTCCATTAATAAATTCACCATTCAAGCTTTTAGCCTCATGTTTATTCACCCCTCTGTCTATGAAGGTTGACTTCCTGGTTGCCATCACTTCAGCCAGAAGAGGAGGAGAACTGGGGGTCCTTATCGCAGACCCTCCTTATATGGTATTCCATAAGGATAAAGTTTCCCTGAGGTTATATCCTAAATTCATTCTGAAAGTAATCTTGGAATTCCAACTGAACCAGGTCATGCACTTACCTGTCTTCTACCTGAAGCCCCACGCCACCAAAGAAGACTGGAAATTCCGCTCTCTGTATATCTCACCAGCCTTGGCATTAGTAAATTCCCTTTGAGATGTCCCTCTTCTGCAGATCCATAGAGAAGCAACGTGGGTCTCTGTGCATAGATTTGGAAGATATTATGCCTTGGTACAGGCGTCTACAGCAGATGCATCCTTCAACACAGCAGTCTTCCAATCTGTGGTACAGCAGGGTTCCTCACCCCTCCTCCCCAAAGAATACTGCCTGAGAGTCATCTCAAATAGAATCATAGAATCATAGAATATCAGGATTGGAAGGGACCTCAGGAGGTCATCTAGTCCAACCCCCTGCTCAAAGCAGGACCGATCCCCAATTAAATCATCCCAGCCAGGGCTTTGTCAAGCCTGACCTTAAAAACTTCTAAGGAAGGAGATTCCACCACCTCCCTAGGTAATGCATTCCAGTGTTTCACCACCCTCCTAGTGAAAAAGTTTTTCCTAATATCCAACCTAAATCTCCCCCACTGCAACTTGAGACCATTACTCCTCATTCTGTCATCTGCTACCACTGAGAACAGTCTAGAGCCATCCTCTTTGGAACCCCCTTTCAGGTAGTTGAAAGCAGCTATCAAATCCTCCCTCATTCTTCTCTTCCGTAGACTAAACATCCCCAGTTCCCTCAGCCTCTCCTCATAAGTCATGTGTTCCAGTCCCCTAATCATTTTTGTTGCCCTACGCTGGACTCTTTCCAATTTTTCCACATCCTTCTTGTAGTGTGGGGCCCAAAACTGGACACAGTACTCCAGATGAGGCCTCACCAGTGTCGAATAGAGGGGAACGATCACGTCCCTCGATCTGCTGGCAATGCCCCTACGTATACATCCCAAAATGCCATTGGCCTTCTTGGCAACAAGGGCACACTGTTGACTCATATCCAGCTTCTCGTCCACTGTAACCCCTAGGTCCTTTTCTGCAGAACTGCTGCTGAGCCATTCGGTCCCTACTCTGTAGCGGTGCATGGGATTCTTCCATCCTAAGTGCAGGACTCTGCACTTGTCCTTGTTGAACCTCATCAGATTTCTTTTGGCCCAGTCCTCCAATTTGTCTAGGTCCCTCTGTATCCTATCCCTACCCTCCAGCGTATTTACCTCTCCTCCCAGTTTAGTGTCATCTGCAAACTTGCTCAGGGTGCAATCCACACCATCCTCCAGATCATTTATGAAGATATTGAACAAAACCGGCCCCAGGACTGACCCTTGGGGCACTCCACTTGATACCGGCTGCCAACTAGACATTGAGCCATTGATCACTACCCGTTGAGCCCGACACTCTAGCCAGCTTTCTATCCACCTTATAGTCCATTCATCCAGCCCATACTTCTTTAACTTGCTGACAAGAATACTGTGGGAGACAGTGTCAAAAGCTTTGCTAAAGTCAAGGAACACATCCACTGCTTTCCCTTCATCCACAAAACCAGTTATCTCATCATAGAAGGCAATGAGATTAGTCAGGCATGACTTGCCCTTGGTGAATCCATGCTGACTGTTCCTGATCACTTTCCTCTCATCTAAGTGCTTCAGAATTGATTTCTTGATGACCTGCTCCATGATTTTTCCAGGGACTGAGGTGAGGCTGACTGGCCTGTAGTTCCCCGGATCCTCCTCCTTCCCTTTTTAAAGATGGGCACTACATTAGCCTTTTTCCAGTCGTCCAGGACCTCCCCCAATCGCCATGTGTTTTCAAAGATAATGGCCAATGGCTCTGCAATCACATCCGCCAACTCCTTCAGCATTCTCGGATGCAACGCATCTGGCCCCATAGCCTTGCGCATGTCCAGCTTTTCTAAATAGTCCCGAACCACTTCTTTCTCCACAGAGGGCTGATCACCTCCTCCCCATGCTGTGCTGCCCAGTGCAGTAGTCTGGGAGCTGACCTTGTTCGTGAAGACAGAGGCAAAAAAAGCATTGAGTACATTAGCTTTTTCCACATCCTCTGTCACTAGGTTGCCTCCCTCATTCAGTAAGGGGCCCACACTTTCCTTGACTTTCTTCTTGTTGCCAACATACCTGAAGAAACCCTTCTTGTTACTCTTAACATCTCTTGCTAGCTGCACCTCCAGGTGTGATTTGGCCTTCCTGATTTCACTCCTGCATGCCCAAGCAATATTTTTATACTCATCACTGGTCATTTGTCCAATCTTCCACTTCTTGTAAGCTTTTTTTTTGTGTTTAAGATCAGCCAGGATTTCACTGTTAAGCCAAGCTGGTCGCCTGCCATATTTATGATTCTTTCTACACATCGGGATGGTTTGTCCCTGTAACCTCAATAAGGATTCTTTAAAATACAGCCAGCTCTCCTGAACTCCTTTCCCCCTCATGTTATTCTCCCGGGGATCTTGCCCATCAGTTCCCTGAGGGAGTCAAAGTCTGCTTTTCTGAAGTCCAGGGTCCGTATTCTGCTGCTTTCCTTTCTTCCTTGTGTCAGGATCCTGAACTCGACCATCTCAATGTCACTGCCTCCCAGGTTCCCATCCACTTTAGCTTCCCCTACTAATTCTTCCCAGTTTGTGAGCAGCAGGTGAAGAAGAGCTCTGCCCCTAGTTGGTTCCTCCAGCACTTGCACCAGGAAATTGTCCCCTACATTTTCCAAAAACTTCCTGGATTGTCTGTGCACCGCTGAATTGCTCTCCCAGCAGATATCAGGGTGATTGAAGTCTCCCATGAGAACTAGGGTTTGCAATCTAGTAACTTCTGCGAGTTGCCGGAAGAAAGCCTCGTCCACCTCTTCCCCCTGGTCCAGTGGTCTATAGTAGACTCCCACCATGACATCACCCTTGAATAAATGGAATAAACGTAGGGACCATCACTCGAAGAAGAACAACTGGTTACTTATGTTGTATAGTAACTGGAGTTTAAATAAAAGGAAGTTCTTCTTCACACAGCGCACAGTCAACCTGTGGAACTCCTTGCCTGAGGAGGTTGTGAAGGCTAGGACTATAAAAGGGTTTAAAAGAGAACTGGATAAATTCATGGAGGTTAAGTCCATTAATGGCTATAAGCCAGGATGGGTAAGGAATGGTGTCCCTAGCCTCTCTTTGTCAGAGGGTGGGGATGGATGGCAGGAGAGAGATCACTGATCGTTACCTGGTAGGTTCACTCCCTGTGGGGCACCTGGCATTGGCCACTGTCAGAGGACAGGATACGGGGCTGGATGGACCTTTCGTCTGACCCAGTATGGCCATTGTTATGTTTTGTTCTTATGAGTTCTTCGAGATGTGTGGTTCCGCCCCTGCCCTCCTCCTCTTCTGCATTGGATCTTTGTCCTAAGGTTATTCATGCTAAGGAAGGAGCTGGAGATGTGGTCAGTGTGCACCGTCCCTTCCACCCTTGGTTCAGAGCATGAGGAGGAGAGGGGCACAGGCGAGGACAAACAGACACTGCTAACGGAAAATCTTCTGGTCCCAGGTGTGTGGAGCACATGCGCACCTTGAGCAGAATACACATAGAACTGCAGTTACTGTACAACATAAGTAACCAGTCTTTCTAGCTACAGTACATGAGTATGGAAGATGCTTGTGTAAAATGGCAGGACAATTGGGAAGTGTCGCCTGCTCTCAATCCCACCTTCAACACTTGATGGGCAGGCAGGGATGGTCCTGCCCCGCTGCACCAAGACACCCTTTTTGGGTTATTTAGTGTTGCTAGTGGCTAAGTGTTAGCCACTCCTCCTCTGCTCCCAAAACTTGCAGCCAAATGATGGCTGCCTCCTGTGTGCATGTGTTTGTGCTTTCTCCCCAACCCCTCCAGTGCCCCTGTGAACAGTCAGCTACAATGTGGGCCTAAAGTCACTTTATTATACAGAATGTAAGGGAAATTTGGCAACTCCTCATTTGTCAGAATAATGACCAAATGCTAACCAGTCCTGTTGTGTCACTTCCTGTCGTTGGTCCTATAACTACACATAATGTGTTTAATTGCCTGTCTTTGAAGGTTTCTAAATCAAGTCAGATTTTAATCATATGAACTGTGCTGAGACTGATGAGCCAGTCACTAGAAATGCTTGTGTGTGAACTCAACCACAGGAGCAGTTCTTGCTGTGACTTTTTCTGCGCAGGGGATCAAACAGTCAAATTGTTGCAAAGGGAAGTAGGAAGAGAAATGACAACCGTCCACTGGACAAAGGGAAAAAAAATCTCTTTTTCAGATGTGTTTTCTGCCTGAGGCCCGAGTCCGTGAGTTAATTAAGCACATACTTAGACTTTAAGCACATGAATTCCATTTATGTCAATGGGACAAATCATGTGCTTATAGTTAGGTATGTGCTTAAATAGTGCTCAGTCAGGGCATTACCCACAGTCTACTCCTGAATGATATGGCCGTGGTTTGGCATTCGAAGAATTTTATTTTGGATTTTCTAATTCCTAATTTATATTGTTGTAATTATGGTCATTTTAATGCTATTTTCTATACTTAGAGCTTAAATAATTGTATTGCTAATAAGTACCGGTGTGTAAGAAAACTTGGAATTCCATGAGAGTTCTAGAGGGTATGCAGTGAATCAATGCATAAAGCATCTAAAGATGATAAAACTATTCCTGACAAAATACCATGGGCTATATCCTCAGCTGGTATAAACTGATGTAGCTCTGTTGTAGGCAATAGCTGAGGATCTGACTTGTCAGATTAATAGGGACTGAGCATGTTTGTCCTGAAGAGGAGGGGACTGTTAGAAATAAAATTATTATTAACTGATTATGTTTTGTTAACAGTTTAACATTGTTAGTTGGCTTAACTTTCAGTTCAAAGACATGAAGTCTTCTTTTTAATTTCAGACTGTGACAGGTGTTTAGAACAATTTCTTACAGATAACTGGGGCCAGATTCAGCAGCGCTTTCTGGCAGCTATGCGTTGTCTGAGTGGCACAAAGTGGCAGGAGCATACTGGTGAACCTGGTCCATGATTCCCAGTGTTACCTGTGTACTCCTGTCAGGAGCATCCCAGTGAGTCTGGCCCACTATAACCTATGTTTTGCTGACCACTTTTCTTCCACTTGCCATAGGTTCTGTTCTGGGGCGTTCGTGAGCTGAAGAAGGTACAGCTCCTCTCCGTGGACCGCCCACAGGTTCTCATAGAATGTGCAGGGAAAGGAGTTAAATCTTCCGTCATCCAGAGTGTCAAGAACAATCCCAACTTCAGTGTCCAAGCAGACAGGTTTGAAGTGGTATGTACCATGCACTGCCCTCTCTCTCTGATTGTCTTTTCTTTACTCAGTGGAAGACACAAGCTATAGCACTGTTCGATTTTCTTTACTTTTTAAGCCCTTTTGTGCTGTTGCCAGACTGGACAGTTAAGTAATTGACTGGTTATGACTAAGGCTACGAGTCTGTCATGGAGGTCACAGATTCCATGATTTTTCATGACCTGTGTGACTTCAGGGCTTTTGCTGTCAGCCTCAGGCAGCGGGGGTCAGGCTGTCAGGACACCCCGGGTGGTGTGGTGAGCCCCATATGGCAGGACTCTGGCAGTGAGCCCTGTGTGGTGGGGCTCGGGCTGTCAGCCTGCCCCCTTCCCTGAGCATCAGGGTGAGCCCTGTGTAGTGGGACTCTGGCAGTGAACCCCATATGGTGGGGTTCAGGCTTTCAGTCCCCTCCCCTTGGGTGGGCAGCATGGCTCTGGCTGTCAGCCCCCCGCATAGTGGGTAGGGCAGCGGGACTCGGTCTGTCAGCCCCCTTGCTCCGGGAATTACCCTTCTGTGAATTCTTGTTTATTGCCCGTGACCTGTCTGTGACTTCTACTAAAAATAACCCTGATAAAATCTTAACCTTAGTTACGATCCATGAGCTTTGAACCTTTTACCTCTAGGTTGTTGACTTGAATTTGACCTTGGCCAGTAGTGCCTTGAAGTTTCCTAGCTGTCCATTGGCATGTGCGAAATGAACTGGTGGTTTCACTTCAGGTCTTAGTGGACAAGGATTTGCGCTAGCTGGCGACACCAACAGAGATGAAAGTCTATCTAAGTGTTTATAAGGCACAATGGTATCTAAGCACCAATAATAATATCTAAGTACCTGTGGTACCTTTAATTTTTATTGCACTTTACGCATTCAAACTGATATCCAGACATTACCTAGTTAATCAGCACAATATCCCTGTAAACTAGGGCAATATATGTTATCCCCTTTTACAGCTAGGAAACTGAGGCAGTGAAGTGAAATTACTTTGGCCAAGTCAGTGGCTGCATTAGAACTCACAAATTCCTGACTCCCAACACTGTGTTGATTCCTCTAGGCTTTACTGTTTTCCCTGACACATTTTTAGCAGCCCACCCAAGAGCCAGGGTGCTTTTCTAGGTAGGGTTGGCAGGGTAGTGGACAGAACTACACTGCCCATGCTGTACCTGTTTGATGGATCAAGAACATCAATAGTCAGGGTTCTCAATCCAGCACTTTTCAGGACACTTTTCTGGACACTAGTAAGGAAAACAAATCTCTCATGCTGTTGTCTGTTCTTTTCTGCCAGGAATTGCCTGAAAACGAGCTTTTGCACCCACCACTCAGTATCTGTGTGGTTGACTGGAGAGCTTTTGGTCGTAGCACTTTGGTTGGAACACACACCATCAATTGCCTTAAGCAATATTTATATAAACCCAAGGAGCTTCCTGCACCTACAGCAAAAGTGGACGTTATAGAAACTGACAAAGGTAAATGCACAATATAACTCTTGTCCCCAAATAAAAAGACAAGGTGATATTTGTTAAAATAGTAAATAATAATAGTTTACTGCACTGGGAGTAAGCACATGCTTAAGGGATCTGCTGGACTGGGGCTGGAGTGCTCAGCACCTTGCAGGATCAAGCCCTGTGAGACTTTTAAGAGATATCATTATTCATATTTTCTTGAGAACCAATACGATGACTGTCTCTTTTTTTGGCATAATCTTGCCAATTTGCTGTGTTTCTAATTTCAGCTGCTCCGGAGTCACCACAGCTGCCTGCATCACCCCAACCACAACCACGTCCAGCGGATCACATTTATGTTGATGTGGAGCATGGTTCAGCTGCATTAGGAATGCAAGAACCAGATCCAGCAAAATCTGCTTCTGCAGCAGCTGTACCTGCTTCTTCACTGCCATCTGCACTTAAATCTACATCCCCATCCTCTGAACCAGCAGAAGATGGAAAGCAGAAGGTGGACTTGGCTGAACCATCAGATAGCAAGCTATTTTAAAATAATAAAATAATAATAATAATAACTTTATTATGATGGTAATGTGTAGGAGCCCAGTTATAGGCCAGGACCCCATTGTGCTAGGTGCTGTAGAAACACAGAACAAAAAGACAGTCCCTGTGCTAAAGAGGTTACAATTGAAGTATAAGACAATGGGTGCATACAGTCAGAGAGGGAAGAACAATGAAACAATGAGACAATATTGGTCAGCATGACAGGCCGAATGCATTCTAGTTCATACAGCTGATCAGAAGAACGTTTCCAGACTGCAGAAACCTTTTTCTGATCAGCCCTATAAACTATCACTTTTTGGATGGGGAAATAACCAATCTTTCTTTCTTTCTTTCTTTCTTTCTTTTGCAAAAATGAAATGGAAGGAGTGACAAAACTATTTGACATTGTGTTCCATTTGAGCTACACTTTTTGGAGTGGGATAAAGTAGCCACTTCTTACCTGTAGCACCTAGATGCACTGGTAATTAGTTACACATTGCCAATGTTCTGCATAGTTTGAAGGACAAGGAAAGGCAGTGATGTCTCAACTCCACATTTACACACCCCTGTGTGTCTATCGTCTGTAACAACACAATTTATAGATACAAGAGTGAGTGAAATATAGTAAAGTACTCATCCAAATATAGAGCCTGGTATTGTAACTCTGTGTCTAATACAGCTCACCATTGCCACCCTTCTGTTTGTAGCTGCACTACTAAATACATGATAGCTGCAAGTGGCAACTCTTTATTCGTGTGAAAGGCCGAATGCGCAATTTAACAGGGTCCAGTCGTTATTCACATGAGCAATCCCATTGATGTCAGTGGGCCTACTTGCAGAAGCAGTTGGTTTGTGGAATCAGGCTCTTTATCTTTTCGAAGGGAAGATGGCTGAATTCTCAATGGCTATTCAGAATCCTAGTTGTCTTCAAAACTCAAGTGTTGATCATATTGAAAGTTCTGAATGTATCTGCAAATGCAGTGATATTGGAGGGAACCAGGGGATGTCAGGAGGTCTGTATCCTTCCAAATATAATTCTTCTTCTTTCTAAGGTAGATCTTCCCTTTAAATAGTTTGCTTTTGTTGCAATGCCCCAAATTTTAAAAGTATAATATTTGATACCAGCTGAAGGTACTAGAGAAACTGTACTAATAACATGATGATCACAATGGATTCTTTAGTGGGATGCAAAGATAGAAACACAAAATAATGTAGGTCTTACAGACTGAAATCCACTCCACCTACATCTGTTCCACTCGATAGCCCAGCTGGTTTTTAATAGCTGACATAAGCCTAGAGGTGAACAGCATTTCCTTATACCTTGCTAGGTCTCAAGAAAATACTCCCAACGATCCACAAAAAGAAAAAAGAGAACAATAGCAGACGAATCTGCCGAAAATGTTATTGATTGGTGGTCAAAGTATGATGCTTCTGTGGAAAAAATGAAAAAGGTAAGGGCCCCAGTAGCCCCATACTTGAATGGAGGTATGGTATTTTAAAGCTAGATTTATGCAAAATGGCTTCCTCTTTAATGTTCCATTTGTATTTAGGAGTCTGACTATTCTATTTTTATTTTGAAAGGTAAAATCAATCTATCCCAGCGAGGGGAAACCAGGCAACAGTGAGTAAAATATTTGTATATGTACTTTTTTACTTACTATAATAATTTATTTCTGTGCTAATTCAAGAACATTTTTACCCTGTTCTTATTGAATGTCTGTTCTTCCTAGAGTTGTGAGAGGGGCAGCATTTAGGTCCTAATCCATATTAGACTATGGGTAGTTTAGATGCTGAGATACAAAACTGGGTTGAGGATTGGGTTTAACAATGTTCAAATCGCACAAGCAATTCTTTGCAGAATTCAGCCTCAAAATGATGGAAATCTTACAATGTTAGATGTTCTAGAAAGATTACCACAGTATTGGTCTGCATCTGTATCAGGTCCAAAAAATGAGCCTCTTTTAATTTTGATCCAACCGAGAACCCAAACCGGGTTCAGTTCCAGGAATCTGAATTTGAAAATAGAGTCCAGAATGATAGGCATCACAATAGCAGCTAATTCTTGTGTCAAACTCAGTCAACTCAAGAATTTTCAGCAGAAGAGCCTGATGGGATTGGACAAGAATAGATCATTAAATACACTAATGGAAGAGAATCTTCTACTGCTTTACATATCCCTGTGACAGTGAACCATGCCGTTAGCAAATTATTTTCCTAACCTGACTATTTAAATAGGCAGAGAAAGAAAACTAATATTTGTACTTTCTGTGTAGATTTGCTCCTCAGAATAAAACGGCTGGCTCTTCCCATCCTAGAGATGGATATATTTTATTAGTGGTGGAAATGATTTCTAGTTTGCAAAGCATTTTGCAATCATTCTGGATGAAAGGTACTACATAAATGTCAGTCATTATCATTTTGAACGTGGCAGCTGACCAAAATTTCAATTATCAGATTATCAGTGCTGAAAAGCTATCAGTCAAAATTCTAATTATGCATGGACCATACCTAGCTGCCTGAAAGAAATGCTATACAAAGTTCTGATGCCGCACCCATGTACAGCAATATTGTTAACTGACACCTTAACATAGATAAAAAGAACAGGAGTACTTGTGGCACCTTAGAGACTAACAAATTTATTTGAACATAAGCTTTCGTGGGCTAAAACCCACTTCATCGCATGCATGCAGTGGAAAATACAGAAGGAAGATCTATATATATATACACAGAGAACATGAAACAATGGGTGTTACCATACACACTATAACAAAAGTGATCAGTTAAGGTGAGCTATTACCAGCAGGACAGGGGAAAAAAACATTTTGTAGTGATAATCAAGATGGGCCATTTCCAGCAGTTGACAAGAGGAACAGTACGGGGGAAAAATAAACATGGGGAAATAGTCGGAGAACACTTCAATCTCTCTGGTCGCTCGATTACAGACCTAAAAGTCGCAATATTACAACAAAAAAACTTCAGAAACAGACTCCAGTGAGAGACTGCTGAATTGGAATTAATTTGCAAACTGGACACCATTAAATTAGGCTTGAATAAAGACTGGGAGTGGATGTGTCATTACACAAAGTAAAACTATTTCCCCATGTTTATTTCCCCCCACCCCCTACTGTTCCTCACACATTCTTGTCAACTGCTGGAAATGGCCCATTTTGATTATCACTACAAAAGGTTGTTTTCTCTCCTGCTGGTAATAGCTCACCTTAACTGATCACTCTTGTTATAGTGTGTATGGTAACACCCATTGTTTCATGTGTATATATATATCTGTGTTTCTCTGTGTGTATATATATGTCTTCCTACTGTATTTTCCACTGCATGCATCCGGTGAATGGGTTTTAGCCCATGAAAGCTTATGCTCAAATAAATTTGTTAGTCTCTAAGGTGCCACAAGTACTCCTGTTCTTTTTGTGGATACAGACTAACACAGCTGCTACTGAAACTTAACATAGATAGAATTCTACCATCCACAAACTTTAGTGGTGACAGTTATGCCAGGGTTTTCCATTGTTTTTGACCGGGCTGGTGACTTGAGAACTGAAAAAGACTTTCCTACTTACTTGCACAAGATATGTTTTATATCATTGCCTAGATACTATGGTGACTGGCACCATATAAATGCCAGAGAGAGAGAATAAGAGAGAGATAGTATTAATAGATATTTATATCATAGATAGATGAATTAGTTTAACAAAATTAACAGGACTGATCCAAACCTCAACCCAAACACTAAACCTGAATAAGGTTTGGATAGTTAGATCCAACAAGCTCCTCCTGCCTTTGTTGATAGCTGTCAAAATCAGTGGTGGGATGTCAACCGGGTAGGCAGTTTCTGCTGAGCAGTTGCCATATTTACATCTATCTCCACTCTCTCCATGGCTTTCCTAAGGTCAGAGGCACACTGGCATGCATTTTTGGTGCCTTTGACCTGAGGAAGGCCTGAAGCATTAGAGATCTGAAGGCAGTCTGCATCTTGGCAATGGCATTCCATCTTGGTAAGACCTCAGCTTAAATTTTTCTCAACATTTGGAAAGGTAGTAGGGTCTGTTGGAGTAGATTTGACCTTGGGATGATTGAGGAAGAAGGAGAAAGAAAAGGTGTGTGTGTGTGTGTGTGTAAGCAGGGGAGTAAGAATAGAAGTCACAGGGAAGGGGATAAGTCAGACAACGATTGTATTCAGTGGTAGAGAGGAGTAAAAAACGGTGTATCAGGTAGAGAGGAGTTGTAGGAAAAGAATCTCTGACTGGTTTGACAGGAGAAATTGCAAGAGAAGTATAGAGGAGAGGGAATGGAGTAAGATCGCCCAAGATTTATGTTAAGGACTTATCTAAGCCATTAGAGGTTTATCCATTACTGCAGCTGCTATAAACCTAAATTATGTCATCAATCTCTGTAGCTAGGTCGACATCTGGCCACATAGCATTAAGCATTGAAGATGAGCCAGACAAAAAAAAGCGAAAAAAGTTGTTGAAACAGGAAAAAAAGGAAGAAGACCCAAATCTAGCAACTCTGAAGGTAAAAAATGCGTTGTTGTTGTAATTCAGGTTATTTGGGACAGACAAAATTCACTGCTGGGCAGAGGGCTAGTCTGAAGTGAGACTGCAGGGGAGTTTAGCTCTTATGCTGACCATCTTCACATGGTTGAATTTCACCCTTATGGAATACACTGTAAATATTAGAGTTACATTCCCCTTTTCTTTCCCTTTGTTCTCGTTGCACCTTGTCTATAGTTAATCACATACATGTGTACACTTTATCATACCAAAGTGCGCTTAACTTATGCACTTAATAATAGAATCATAGGACTGGAAGGGACCTCAAGAGTTGTCTAGTCCAGTCCCCTGTGCTCATGGCAGGACTAAGCATTATCTAGACCATTCCTGGAAAGTGTTTGTCTAACCTGCTCTTAAAAATCTACAATGACAGAGATTCCACAACTTCCCTAGGCAATTTATTCCAGTGCTTAACCACCCTGACAGTTAGGAAGTTTTTCCTTATATTCAAGCTAAACCTTCCTTGCTGCAATTTAAGTCCATTACTTCTTGTCCTAGCCTCAGAATTTAAGAAGAACAATTCTTCTCCTTCCTCCTTGTGACAACCTTTTATGTACTTGAAAATGTATCATGTCTGCCCCCTTCTCCCCCCTGCCCCCAGTCTTCTCTTCTTCAGACTAAACAAACTCAATTTTTTTCAATCTTTCCTCCTAGGTCATGTTTTCTAGACCTTTAATAATTTTTGTTGCTCTTCTCTGGACTTTCTCCAGTTTGTCCACATCTTTCCTGAAATGCCCAGAACCGGACACAATACTCCAGCTGAGGCCTAATCAGCGCAGAGTAGAGCAGAAGAATTGCTTCTCGTGTCTTGCTTACAACACTCCTGCTAATACATCCCAGAATGATGTTCTCTTTTTTTGCAACAGTGTTACACTGTTGACTCATATTTAGCTTGTGGTCCACTATGACCCCCCAGATCCCTCTCCGCAATACTTCTTCCCAGGCACCTGAATTCATCTGAATGTGTGAGCCTAAAATATCTTTTTATATTGATGAAAGCACAGAAATGTGGATATTAGGGGAATAAATGACAAGGCATTTCAGAAATATTAGGGTGTATAAAGAATGGGATAGAAACTAATGTTGAAAGGATTAGATACAATGATAGTAGACCCTCACTGGGAATATAAATTAGATTCTGGTCATTGTATCTTATCAAAGGTAGAACTGCACCTTGACTTGCTGGAAAAGCTTGGGTGCTCCAATGACCCTGAGAGCTATTCCGGTGGAAGTTTTTATTCCTGGTACCCAAGCAGGACACGTTAAATGGCAGGGATCAGATGCAAAGCAGTCCATTGGCTCCTCCAGGTTAGGAGTTGAGTGATAGATCAACAACCTATCCTCAAAAAAAGTTAAGTTATAGAAACACAGCCAGGTAGCCATACCAGCAATCAGCATTATAGACAGTGATAGTGGGGCCTTGTTCATGCCCCAAGCATGAGTGGCATGGGAAGGATTCAGATCCAGAAAGTCAAAGTCAAAGAAAAGATTATGACATGGAAAATGAGTAGAGACATGTGGAGGGATTGAAAAGATTAGGGCTGTTTAGAGAGGGATTGAATAAAAAGGGACATGAAACCAGTATACAAGTCAATGAAACTGTTTCCATTTTTAAATGGAAAGGTCTCCACTTGGAGAGCACATTTACACAGCCTTTTTCACGTTTGTTTATTTTTTATTTCACATAGAAACATGCTGTAGGAGTTAGAGATGGGAAAGACCTTTTTTAGGCAATCCAATCTCTACCTATCTAGGCAAGATTGTCTCCAGAATACCTTTCTTATCCATCTTGCTTTCAGGTTCTTATGCATTAATACAGTACTAGAGTATTTGGATTGCTACTCCAGAGGTGAATTTGTTAAAAGTTTCCATCACTGGTGGGGAACGGGATATTTTTCTGTTGGTTACTAAAAGGTTTTACAGGTGCTTGATTTTATAAAACCTAAACACTGAGCTAGAGCTGAACTTTAAGTCACCAGTTAATGCAACAGTTGCTGTGTTTTTACTTGCTATGTCTTGTGAAATGAGCATTATCACATTTTTTCAAAGATCTATGATGGAGACCTGGAGAGTGAATTTAATAACTTTGAAGACTGGGTGAAAACGTTTGAACTCTTCAGAGGCAAAGATCACAGTGACCATGAGGACAGAATAATAGGAAAATTTAAGGTGAGTTTAAATGCTGATTGGATACATTGTAATTTAGAGAAATGCATGTTTTCAGTGATATTCCAGGTGTACAGAAAATGCATTTCAATTACATTGCCCATCTGCTATTGACATAGTTAATTCTCTTATTAGATCCAAAGACACAATGTGTTACATATGAGGATTGCTATTTATTCTCTTTTATTGTCTGACTGATGGAGGCAGTTTCCAACCCACAATGTTTACTGTCGTTTTGAGTCAGGACTTTTATTTAAAGCTGAGTTAAATCACAGATTCATAGTAAGTAGAGCCAGAATTGACCTATTACTTTATGCAGTCCAGCCTCTGCTCATGCAAGTTTATTTCTTCAGTATAATTTCTGGTACTTTATCTTATCTAGCTTAAATGATTGGCCTTCTACTTACTTCTCTTACCCAACCTAATACAACTTACCATATGGAAATCTGCAAGTATACTTCAAAGCACAATTAATATAATAGTTGTGTGATCTAAAACTGATGTATTTTATACTTCAGAGGAATCAGTGCCTTAAAGGAGCCTGTGGATTCTTCTTTCTCTATCGGGGAAATCTCTGTTAAAATGACTTGATAATTGCTTTTCGGTAATAATGGTTATTTAAGTAAGATGAGTTAATACTGTGATGTGCATGGGGGCTGAAGTTTTTACTACATAGCTAAAGGCAAATTGTGTTCTTAGTCACAGTGTTGTAAGTAGAGTTCCATTTAAGTCAATGGAATTTCTTCTAATTTACACGAGTGTGATTCAGAGCAAAATGGTGACCCTTAGAATATTGGTGTCTGGAAGATGGGAATAGCCACAACTGTTGCATTCATTTATTTAATACTGCTGTGACTAGGAGCTTGCAGGTATCTCTGGGAATGTCTTGACAAAGTTAAATACAGTTATTGAAAGGAAGTGCTTTGGAAGGTTAACAAAACAAAACAGAAATATTTTCAGAAACATGGTTTAGTGCATTTATTACACTTTTTTTCCTTTGTGCAAAATGTGGATGGGCACACATAAATATGTGTCTATGCAAACTGCATTCATTAAGTTTTGTCTGCACACCAGGATTTTGTTTTGGATTGGGTCTGTTGTTTTTTCCAGGGAAATAAAACATTGTATATCCACAGGGCTCTTTCTGCATATACAAAAGTCCTGAAGATTCCAGCTCAATGGAAGGAGGACAGCCTAAAGTTCTGCAAGGGATACCACCGAATAACTCAGTCAAAGTTCTGGTTCGGGTGTATATCGTGAGAGTAAGTGTACAGCTTCTATTTCTGCCTTGAAATAATGGGGCGGCGGGGGGGGGGGGGTGTTAGAGTACTACAGAGTAGCATCTGCAGCCAGTCAGGACTTCTCATAGTAAATCACAAAGACGCCCAGTTGACTGGAGAAGAGGAACTCTAGGGGCTGTTTTGGGAGGATCATAGCAAAAAAGGGACAAACAAAGCAGGAAGCATGCAGGAGAAGGAGAGAATGGAAGAATATATCTTTAAGAGAAAGCAAAGGGGTAGGAGTCTGAATGATGAACTTGAAGGAACAATGGTAGAAATTAGGAAGGTCAAATACTGAGGAAACGTGGTGGGAAATGGAGAAGTCAGAGGAGAGAGACAGCCATTAGTGAGCTGTATTAGTGAGAAACAAAAGAGAAGCAGAAAAGAAAATCAGTTGATATAAGGTAGAAAAAACCTGGAGTTAGGGAGAGGAAATTAAATTAAAAGACAAAAGAGAAGCAGAGAAAGAAGACACTTTTTTTTCTGTGTTTAAATGCTTTCAGATCACATCCATCACAGACAATGGGCCAGTCAATGGAGCTATGACTTACACCAGCTGAGGATCTGGCCCATTGTTTATGGGAAAATCCCCTTGAATCCCACATAGATTTGGACTTGAAAACCTCCAGCAAAGTCAGCTTCTTCCTTTGGCTCTTTCTCTTCCTCTCACCTCACCCATTCCATTCTGATCAGCAACAGTGCCCGGGACCATTCTAGTTGCTCTCTTCGGCTTTGCACTTGGGCCCTAAGCAGTCTCCAAACACTCTCTCCCGAGTGGAGCTCTCTCTATTTTAGTAGGCAGGACTAGCTTAGCGTTTGTGTTTCCAGAACATCCCATGCGCCAGTGGAAAAACAGCTCCATTAGAAAACAACCACATTTAATTATTACCTTTAATGAAGCATTTGGATTTTGATGAAAGAGTATTTTCTTTTTGTCAGGCATATAATCTTAGCCCAGCTGATCCAGATGGCACCTCAGATCCCTATATTGTGCTCAGACTAGGCAAAACTGAAATTAAAGACCAGGCCAATTACATCCCCAAACAACTAAACCCAGTTTTTGGAAGGTGAGTGATGGCTTTATTTAAATGTCCGTGGTGATTTCTGCCTTAGGATTTTGCTACAGTTATTTCTGCTTGTTTTGAAGAGCAGAGTGCATTTATTATGCAATGATATGTGTGTGTTTGGAGGTTTCGTAATTAAAATCTCAAGAATTTGTGTCACATTGTATGATTACAAATTATTCAATTTTTATGCTAGTCAAACACCTCCTGAAATTCAATCTGCAGAAGGCTTTTTATTTCACAACAAGAAACGAAGCAGCAAATGATCTTGTCAGCTCAGATTAATGAGGTGATTAGTTATCTTAAAGTGAAATAGATACAGTGACAGTTAAATTTAAGAACATAACAATGGCCATACTGGGTCAGACCAAAGGTCCATCCAGCCCAGTATCCTGTCTACTGACAGTGGCCTATGCCAGGTGCCCCGGAGGGAGTGAACCTAACAGGTAATGATCAAATGATCTCTCTGCTGTTATCCATCTCCACCCTCTGACAAACAGAGGCTAGGGACACCATTCCTTACCCATCCTGGCTAATAGCCATTAATGGACTTAACCTCCATGAATTTATCTAGTTCTCTTTTAAACCCTGTTATAATCCTAGCCTTTACAACCTCCTCAGGCAAGGAGTTCCACAGGTTGACTGTGCGCTGTGTGAAGAAGAACTTCCTTTTATTTGTTTTAAACCTGCTGCCCATTAATTTCATTTGGTGGCCCCTAGTTTTTATATTATGGGAACAAGTAAATAACTTTTCCTTATTCACTTTCTCCACACCATTCATGATTTTATATACCTCTATCATATCCCCCCCTTAGTCTCCTCTTTTCCAAGCTGAAAAGTCCTAGCCCCTTTAATCTCTCCTCATATGGGACCTGTTCCAACCCCCTAATCATTTTAGTTGCCCTTCTCTGAACCTTTTCTAATGTCAGTATATCTTTTTTGAGATACATCTGTACGCAGTATTCAAGATGTGGGCGTATTATGGATTTATATAAGGGCAATAAGATATTCTCCGCATCCCGTTTGCTTTTTTGACTGCCATTGCACACTGCGTGGACCTCTTCAGAGAACTATTTATGATGACTCCAAGTTCTCTTTCCTGATTAGTTAATTCCAAATTTAATTTCCAAAATTTAATTTCCAAATTTTGTGGTGGTGTTTTTAAATCTGAATATTACTATAAAACAATCTCAGACTTTTAGGACCAAACCAGAGCCCAGTTTTCAAAGGTAGCCTTTGATTTTGGGCCAGTCAATTTCTGAGTGCCTTGCTTTAGCCACAGAGGGCCAGATTTTCAAAAGAGTTCCACACCCACGGTTGGGGCCAGGTTTGAAAATCTAAGCCACTATGGTGTACTTTGCAGAGGTGCTTAGCATGAACAGCTCCTATTGACTTCCTCAGGTTCAAAGGGTCAGTTCAGTTTGTAATCAGAGTTTATCTGAACTTAGCCACTTTTCTTTGGTCTGGGAATTCGGCAAGAAATCTCATGGAAATGGGTTCTCTCTTCAGAGTTTTAGTACTTCCTGTTTCAAGAATACAAACCATTCAGAAACAAAATGCAGATGCATAACCTCAGTTGGAACTGATTAGGTAGGGCACTATACTCCTTTTATTCAGCATGTTTTCAGTGTGTTCAGGTATTCAGTAAAAATACCTAACTGAAGAAACTATTCATGCCTGCGGGCATACTGTGCACTTGTAGCATCCACTATACCTTTTATGACTGATACTTGTAGCTTTAAAAATGATTTGTCTTATAAAATCCTATCTATTTTTGCCTCAGATCATTTGAAATTCAGGCCACTTTCCCTAAGGAATCTGTGCTCTCCATCCTGATCTATGACCATGATATGGTTGGAGCGGATGACCTCATTGGAGAAACTAAAATTGATTTGGAAAATCGTTTCTACAGCAGGCACCGGGCTACCTGTGGTCTACAAAGTCAATATGAAAAGTAAGATCCTCTTCAGTCACTTGGTTTGTACATATATGAGAAATGAGTGACCTGCAAGGAAGCTTCTTGATGAAAACTGATCTAGCCAAACATTGTACTTTTTTCAGCCTTTGAGTTTTGTAGGTTTTGTTAAACTGAATTGTTTCAGAGAAGCAGCCGTGTTAGTCTGTATTCGCAAAAAGAAAAGGAGGACTTGAGGCACCTTAGAGACTAACCAATTTATTTGAGCATAAGCTTTCGTGAGCTACAGCTCACTTCATTGGATGCATAAAGCGGAAAATACAGTGAGGAGATTTATATACACACAGACCAGGCAAAAATGGATATTTACCATACACATTGTAAGGAGAGTGATCACTTAAGATGAGCTATTACCAGCAGGAGAGTGGGGTGGAAGAAAACCTTTTGAAGTGATAATCAAGGTGGGCCATTTCCAGGAGTTAACAAGAATGTCTGAGGAACAGTGGGAGGGGGAGGAATAAACAAGGGGAAATAGAAAAGGAGTACTTGTGGCACCTTAGAGACTAATCAATTTATTTGAGCATGAGCTTTCGTGAGCTACAGCTCACTTCATCAGGGGAAATAGTTTTACTTTGTATAATGACTCAGCCACTCCCAGTCTCTATTCAAGCCTAAGTTAATTGTTTCCAATTTGCAAATTAATTCCAATTCAGCAGTCTCTCGTTGGAGTTTGTTTTCGAAGTTTTTTTGTTGAAGAATAGTCACTTTTAGATCAGAAATCGAGTGACCAGAGAGATTGAAGTGTTCTCCGACTGGTTTATGAATGTTATAATTCTTGACATCTGATTTGTGTCCATTTATTCTTTTACGTAGAGACTGTCCAGTTTGACCAATGTACATGGCAGAGGGGCATTGCTGGCACATGATGGCGTATATCACATTGGTAGATGTGCAGGTGAACGAGTCTCTGATAGTGTGGCTGATGTGATTAGGCCCTATGATGGTGTCCCCTGAATAGATATGTGGGCACAGTAGGCAACGGGCTTTGTTGCAAGGATAGGTTCCTGGGTTAGTGGTTCTGTTGTGTGGTGTGTGGTTGCTGGTGAGTATTTGCTTCAGGTTGGGGGGCTGTCTGTAGGCAAGGACTGGCCTGTCTCCCAAGATTTGTGAAAGTGATGGGTCATCCTTCAGGATAGGTTGTAGATCCTTGATAATGCATTGGAGAGGTTTTAGTTGGGGGCTGAAGGTGATGGCTAGTGGCGTTCTGTTATATTCTTTGTTGGGCCTGTCCTGTAGTAGGTGACTTCTGGGTATTCTTCTGGCTCTGTCAATCTGTTTCTTCACTTCCGCAGGTGGGTATTGTAGTTATAAGAATGCTTGATAGAGATCTTGTAGGTGTTTGTCTCTGTCTGAGGGGTTGGAGCAAATGCGGTTGTACCATAGAGCTTGGCTGTAGACAATGGATCGTGTGGTGTGGTCTGGGTGAAAGCTGGAGGCATGTAGGTAGGAATAGCGGTCAGTAGGTTTCCGGTATAGGGTGGTGTTTATGTGACCATCGCTTATTAGCACTGTAGTGTCCAGGAAGTGGATCTCTTGTGTTGAGTGGTCCAGGCTGAGGTTGATGGTGGAATGGAAATTGTTGAAAGCATGGTGGAATTCCTCAAGGGCTTCTTTTCCATGGGTCCAGATGATGAAGATGTCATCAATATAGCGCAAGTAGAGTAGGGGCATTAGGGGACAAGAGCTGAGGAAGCATTGTTCTAAGTCAGCCATAAAAATGTTGGCATACTGTGGGGCCATGCGGGTACCCATAGCAGTGCCGCTGATCTGAAGGTATACATTGTCCCCAAATGTGAAATAGTTATGGGTGAGGACAAAGTCACAAAGTTCAGCCACCAGGTTTGCCGTCACATTATCGGGGATAGTGTTCCTGACGGCTTGTAGTCCATCTTTGTGTGGAATGTTGGTGTAGAGGGCTTCTACATCCATAGTGGCCAGGATGGTGTTATCAGGAAGATCACCGATGGATTGTAGTTTCCTCAGGAAGTCAGTGGTGTCTCGAAGGTAGCTGGGAGTGCTGGTAGTGTAGCCTGAGGAGGGAGTCTACATAGCCAGACAGTCCTGCTGTCAGGGTGCCAATGCCTGAGATGATGGGGCGCCCAGGATTTCCAGGTTTATGGATCTTGGTTAGCAGATATAATACCCCAGGTCGGGGTTCCAAGGGGTGTGTCTGTGAATTGTGTCACAAGGCTCAGAAGTAGAAAGTGAGTATTTTTAAAACCAACAGTCCTACTTACTCACAATTAGTTCCAGATAGCAAACTGTCTATATTTAAGTGTCTTTGTTTGATAAACATAAGGTGGAGAGTTTACTGAATCAAAGGGTGAATAAAAATCTCTGTCTGAGGTGGCTGTGCAATAGTGGTAAGGCCAAATTCTGGTCTCAGTTACACTTGTAAAAATCCAAAGTAACTGCCTTGAAGCCACTGGAGTTTCTCTGGATTTTCGTGTGTCAATGAGAACAGAATTTGGCTGTAGATTCTGGAGATAGTGGGTAGTAAAGGCGTGTCACAAGGAGTATTGATCAGAGACTGAATTTTATTTCCTGGCCCCAGTCACCTGATCTGGGCCCGGGTTTAAAGTATAATATCCCTGTCCCATGAGTAGGGGCTTGTTTACACAGTGGGGTAATGTGCTCTACAAGGATGTGATTTCTAAAGTGCACTAATGGGTTGTGCATTAATTGGTCCATGTAGACCTTGCTGGTGCAATTTAATGTAGTGCTGTTTAAAACAGTACTATGTTAAAGCACACTAGGGAACTACACACAGGTGCTGGAACTAAGGGTGCTGCCACACCCCCTGACTTGAAGTGGTTTCCATCATATACAGGGTTTACAGTTTGGTTCAATGGCTCTCAGCACCCACACTGTACAAATTGTTCCAGCACCCCTGGGTCTACATATATCAGGTAATGCACACCAACATTAGTCTGCCTTAGAAACCACACCCCTGTAGACTCCATTACCCACTGCGTAGGCAAGCCCAGGGTTTTGGTGTCCATTGACTCCAATGATTACCGTCACATAGTTTGTGATCACAGATCGATTGGTTTCTAGATTCAACCACCTGAAGAGAGAAATCCTCACTGGCTTTAGCTTGGTCTATGTCTGTACTTAATAAACGCATCTCTGTAGCCACATGCCAGTGCTTCCCCATGTCTATTCCTCTGTGAATTTTGCCTTTTTTCCCCCTTACAATGATAAGAAGCGTGAAATGTTGGGACTGCATTAACACTAACGGTCATATTTTCAGCTAGTTTAAATTGATTTTAATGGATTTACACCAGCTGAGGATCTATCCCTAGATGTGCCTGATTGCAGTACTTCAGTTGATATGCTAAAAATGTGGGGAGTGATTTTAAACTGCATAATAAATTGGTAAGCAGAGTTCTTGACATTTTACCTTGTTATTGCAACTTGACTCCAAAAGACCATTTTTTCTGTTGCCTATACAGTTTTTTTTATAACCAGAAGTGCCTCAGTTCTAGCTTCCAGCTGCCTTGTTATTTTAGCAGGCATGTTATGCAGTGCTTAGAATTTGTTATTTTGTTCTTAATAATGGAGTCTCAAGTACAGCATCTGAAATTAACTAATCAAAAGAAACTGGAATACTGCTTGGCTGCATAACTTCCATGACCTCTAAAAACTGGGAGTGGGGGAGGGGCAGCAGATTCCCTGCTGTGTCACACCTGCGTGACTCCATTTAAATCAATTGAATTACACCAGGGAAAATCCAATGTCACAGAGTAGTGACTCAGGCCCTAGTAAGAATCATTGTGGCAATCCTAGTATTTCAATACACTTATTGAGATATAGGGCACAATTTTAAAAAGTGTCTAAGTCCCATTTTCAAAAGTTACTTCGGAGCCAAAGGGTACATCTGCACTTGGAGCTGGAAATGTAAATTCCAGCTCTAGAAGTCATACCTGCACTAGCTCTGATCAAGCTAGCATCCTAAAAATACATGTGTCACTGTAGTAGTGCAAGCGGTGGGAGGGACTAGTCTCCTGAGCACATACCTAGCATCTCGGACAGGATGGTGTATGGGGCAGCTAGCCCCGCCTGCCGCTCACACTAGTGTGGCTACACTTTTGTTTTTAGTAGAATCATAGAATCATAGAATATCAGGGTTGGAAGGGACCTCAGGAGGTCATCTAGTCCAACGCCCTGCTCAAAGCAGGACCGATACCCAATTAAATCATCCCAGCCAGGGCTTTGTCAAGCCTGGCCTTAAAAACTTCTAAGGAAGGAGATTCCACCACCTCCCTAGGTAACGCATTCCAGTGTTTCACCACCCTCCTAGTGAAAAAGTTTTTCCTAATATCCAACCTAAATCTCCCCCACTGCAACTTGAGACCATTACTCCTCATTCTGTCATCTGCTACCACTGAGAACAGTCTAGATCCATCCTCTTTGGAACCCCCTTTCAGGTAGTTGAAAGCAGCTATCAAATCCCCCCTCATTCTTCTCTTCCACTGACTAAACAATCCCAGTTCCCTCAGCCTCTCCTCATAAGTCATGTGTTCCAGTCCCCTAATCATTTTTGTTGCCCTCTGCTGGACTCCAATTTTTCCACATCCTTCTTGTAGTGTTGGGCCCAAAACTGGACACAGTACTCCAGCTGAGGCCTCACCAATGTCGAATAGAGGGGAACAATCACGTCCCTCGATCTGCTGGCAATGCCCCTACATATACATCCCAAAATGCCATTGGCCTTCTTGGCAACAAGGGCACACTGTTGACTCATATCCAGCTTCTCATCCACTGTAACCCCTAAGTCCTTTTCTGCAGAACTGCTGCCAAGCCTTTTGGTCCCTACTCTGTAGTGGTGCATTGGATTCTTCCGTCCTAAATGCAGGACTCTGCACTTGTCCTTGTTGAACCTCATCAGATTTCTTTTGGCCCATTCCTCCAATTTGTCTAGGTCCTTCTGAATCCTATCCCTACCCTCCAGCATATCTACCACTCCTCCCAGTTTAGTGTTGTCTGCAGATTTCCTGAGGGTGCAATCCACACCATCCTCCAGATCATTTATGAAGATATTGAACAAAACCGGTCCCAGGACCGACCCTTGGGGCACTCTGCTTGATACTGGCTGCCAACTAGAAATGGAGCCATTGATCACTACCTGTTGAGTCCGACAATCTAGCCAACTTTCTACCCACCTTATAGTGCATTCATCCAGCCCATACTTCTTTAACTTGCTGACAAGGATACTGTGGGAGACAGTGTCAAAAGCTTTGCTAAAGTCAAGGAACAGCACGTCCACTGCTTTCCCTTCATCCACAGAACCAGTTATCTCATCATAGAAGGCAATGAGATTAGTCAGGCATGACTTGCCCTTGGTGAATCCATGCTGACTGTTCCTGATCACTTTCCTCTCATCTAAGTGCTTCAGAATTGATTTCTTGAGGACCTGCTCCATGATTTTTCCGGGGACTAAGGTGAGGCTGACTGGCCTGTAGTTCCCAGGATCCTCCTCCTTCCCTTTTTTAAAGATGGGCACTACATTAGCCTTTTTCCAGTCATCCGGGACTTCCCCGGATCGCCATGAGTTTTCAAAGATAATGGCCAATGGCTCTGCAATCACATCCGCCAGCTCCTTTAGCACTCTCGGATGCAACGCATCTGGCCCCATGGACTTGTGCACGTCCAACTTTTCTAAATAGTCCCGAACCACTGTCTTTCTCCACAGAGGGCTGATCACCTCCTCCCCATGCTGTGCTGCCCAGTGCAGTAGTCTGGGAACTGACCTTGTTCGTGAAGGCAGAGGCAAAAAAAGTATTGAGTACATTAGCTTTTTCCACATCCTCTGTCACTAAGTTGCCTCCCTCATTCAGTAAGGGGCCCACACTTTCCTTGACTTTCTTCTTGTTGCCAACATCCCTGAAGAAACCCTTCTTGTTACTCTTAACATCTCTTGGTAGCTGCAACTCCAGATGTGATTTGGCCTTCCTGATTTCACTCCTGCATGCTCAAGCAATATTTTTATACTCATCCCTGGTCATTTGTCCAATCTTCCACTTCTTGTAAGCTTCTTTTTTGTGTTTAAGATCAGCAAGAATTTCACTGTTAAGCCAAGCTGGTCGCCTGCCATATTTACTATTCTTTCTACACATGGGGATGGTTTGTCCCTGTAACCTCAATAAGGATTCTTTAAAATACAGCCAGCTCTCCTGGACTCCTTTCCCTCTCATGTTATTCTCCCAGGGGATCTTGCCCATCAGTTCCCTGAGGGAGTCAAAGTTTGCTTTTCTGAAGTCCAGGGTCCGTATGCTAGCTCGATCGGAGTGAGCACTGGTCTGTTTCCTTAAGCTGGGATTTATACTTCCAGCTCAAAGTGTAGACATAACTAGGGTTACCAGATAGCATATATGTGAAAAAACAGGACAGGGGGTGAGTGGTAATAAGCGCCTAAATAAGAAAAAGTCTCAAAAAACGGGACTGTCCCTTTAAAAATGGGACATCTGGTCACCCTAGAAATAACCTAAGGGTTGCATGTATTATAAATAGCAGTATAGACGGGAGTGGGGGAGGAGGGGGGTAGAATGGGCGGCAGCTTGGGCTACCCAGAGCTAACACGCACCCAGGGAGTCTGGGCAAGTTTGTACTCAGGCAGCTAGCTCGAGCTGCCGCCCATGCTACCCTCAGCTGCGTTGCTATTTTTAGTGAGCTATCTTGAGCAGAGCTAGTGTGTGTCTGTGTACTCGACCTGGGAAGCATGCTGCCAGCTGCAGTGTAGACATACCCTTGGTGTCACTGAAAGTTTGATTTTCCTTATAGGGTCAAATTCGGACGTTGGTGTAAGTAACATCAACCCCACAGAAGCCAACGGAGTTACATCTGCTTATACTAGAGCCATGTAACATCCATCATGTATGACCTCCGTGATCTATGCCTGTGGCCCAGACCCCATTGCCACACTATTCAAAATAATAGCTATGGGGCCTGTCTGGTGCCCTAGTGTTAGCAACGGCATGGAGGAGACCCGGACTCTCTTCCTGTCCCAGGTACTAGTCCCAGCTCTTCAAGCTGGCTGGGGCGGAGAATGTGATGGAGGGAGTGCACTAAGTTCCCATTGATGAGAGAGAACCTCTTGTTCTGTTATAAAGAGGACTGTGATCAGTTGTTCTCCATGTCCATTGAAGGTAGGACAAGAAGTAATGGGCTCAATCTACAAAGGAGATTTAGATTAGATATTAGAAAAAATTTCTAATTGTAAGGGTGGGTAAGTTCTGGAATAGGTTACTAAGGGAGGTTGGGGAATCCCCATCATTGGTGGCTTTTAAGGAGAGGTTAGATCAGAGGTGGGCAAACTACGGCCTGCGGGCTGGACCGTCCTGCCCCTCCCCTGAGCTCCCAGCTGGGGAGGGTAGCTCCTGGCCCCTCCCCCGCTGTTCCCCCACCCCTGTAGTTATGCTGCCGTGCGGATAGCGTGGCTTGCACCCCCCCACCTCCCAGGCTTTCCAATAAGCCTGTCCTGCCGCTCTGAGTGGCATGGTAAGGGGGCAGGGGGAGAGGGAGATTGGATAAGGGGCAGGAGGTCCCAGGGGGCAGTCAGCGGACAGGGGGCAGTTGGATGGGGCAGAGGTTGGTGGGAGGGCGGGGACGGTCAGGAGACAGGGAGCGGGGGGTTGGATAGGGGGTGGGGTCCTGGGGGGTTGGAGGGTTCCAGGGGAGATGGGCAGGGAGCAGGGGGGGTTGGATAGGGGGTGGGGTCCTGCGGGGGCAGTTAGGGACGGGGGTCCCAGGAGGGGGTGGTCAGGGGACAAGGAGTGGGGGGGTGGTTGGATGGGTCGGGGGTCCTGGGGGCCCTGTCAGGGGGCGAGGGGGTGGATAGGGGTCGGGGCAGTAGGGGATAGGAAGCAAAGGGGGTTGGATAGGGGGTGGGGTCCCGGGGGGGGCGGTTAGGGGCGGGGGATCCCAGGAGGGGGCGGTCAGGGGACAAGGAGCAGGGGGTGTTGGATGGGTCGGGGATTCTGAGGGGGGCAGTCAGGGGGCGGGAAGTGGGAGGGGGTGGATAGGGGGCGGGGGCCAGGCTGTTTGTGGAGGCACAGCCTTCCCTACCTGGCCCTCTGTACAGTTTTGCAACCTTGATGTGGCCCTTGGGCCAAAAAGTTTGCCCACCCCTGGGTTAGACACACATGTGTCAGGAATGATCTAGGTTTACTTGGTCCTGCCTCAAAGCAGGGGCCTGGACTTGATTGTCCCTTTCAACCCTACATTTCTATTATTTCTAAAATTCTATGTCAACCTGCAGAAATCATCTGACAGCCTGATCCAATGCCCACTGAAGTCAGTGGAAGGACTTCCATTCACTTTAGTTAGTGTTGGACCAGGTCCTGAATGATCAAGGACTAGCACTGGCCAGCTCCAAAAGGAGTCCTGCCCTGACTTTCTTGACCAAACAGCTGGTGGCTGATGTGATGTCAGACCTTGATAATGAAGGTATACGTATACAATGTGGGGAACATTTGCTGGGATGGCTCTAAGGGACTATGAAAGGAGAAGCAGAGGACATGTGCAGCTCTGGCTCCATTTCACTTGTGTAAAATTAATTCTGTTCACTTTCACCCAGTCGGGTTTAAACTCCCTTAAAGTAAATCCGTCTGCTAGGGCATCTGACCGTTGGATCGGTGCTCCTGAATAGGTACAGCCTTTAACCGAATGGAAAACCTTCTCCATTCCTCTCTTTGCTTTGTCCCCTCATTGCAGAGAAGGGTACAATGCCTGGCGAGATGCAGTTCAGCCAACTGAGATCCTCAACAAGTTATGCAAGGACAACAAACTGCCTGAGCCCCACAAGCGACCTGGGGCGATACAAATAGGAACCAAAGTATTCACTGGGAAGACAAGCTTTAATGGAGAAGAGAATGGTAATTATGCCATTTATTGTTATTTAGTCCCATTACAGTAGCCCCTAGAGGTCCCACCTTTGATTGGGGTCCTGTTGTGCTAGGCACTGGACAAGCAGATAGCAAGAGACAGTCTCTGCCCTGAGGAGCTCACTATCTAAATAAACAAGGCAGACAAAGAGTGGGAAGGGAAATAGGAGCACAAAGGTTAAGGGACTTGTATAAGGTCACACAGCTGGCCAATAGTCAATTCATGAACAGGACTCAGGCCTCCTAATTCCCAGTCCAGTGCCTTATCCACTAGACCAGGCTGCCTCTCTTCATTGTTACACTTCTTGTTTATTATTAACTATTACCACTATCATCATTAGTTCTGCGAGGGCATTGGTATAAAACCTACTCCCTGCAGTCCTGTTGAGCTTGGGGATCCATGAGTCTAGAGGTCTTTGCAGAGAGTTGCTGCTTCCACCAGGGGAAGAGTCAAGTTCCAAGAGGAGTAGATGGGCAAAGCTACCAGGGGGTTGGGTTTGTAGATGTGGGTGGTGAGGGGTGGGACAGAGTCACCAGGGGCTAGGTTGCGTATTTGAGGGAAGGAGATGGTAAGGGGCAGATGAGATGCATTAGGATGGATGCTTTGACTGGGTAGCCCAAGAGAGGGAAGCAGCACAAGGACTGTGCTTTCCCTCTTCGTCAGTGTCTAGTCTATTTTCAGAGTTTGATCTTTGTCTTAGCTCATATATCTTGCTCCTGTTTCTCCTGTGGACAAGCAGACCAGGGAAGATAGGGCTCAGCATGCTTCAGTATAAGGACAGGGCCAAACTATGGCTGTTCCCGAAAGGATACATTAGGTAAAAGAGTGCTAGACAAACAAATGACTCCAGAGGGGCCTAGGCAGAGCAGGACTAGACCTGACCCTCTGCTTACCAACAGGTGTATACTAGGAGAAGTGGCTGCAATAGTTGCTTCCCAGTATTCTTGCCCCAGTGCCAGTGGAGCCATTATGCTTTTCAGAGGCACAGTGTCACTGGGGGACTGCAGGTTGGCCCTCCCTTTCCCCTGCTTAGCACAACACTGCCCAGAACAAGGCATAATTTTATCCATGGATACCTTTGGCATCTTTCTGCTCCCTACATGCAGCATGTGAATTTGGCACTCAAGGGGTCTTCCTTGTTGCCATCACAAGGCAAAAATAAAATTAATGTACAATCCCTAGCACCTATTACTGGCACTTCCTGGCAGCTCGAGGAAATGCCAAATCCCCTGTTCTTTGATTGGCTACAATTTTTTAAAGAAAAAGACTTAATTATTTAGAAGAAGAAGAAGAAAGAAAGCCAGTAAGTCTTTACCGTCCTACTGTTAGAGACAGCACTAAAATAGGCCTGTTTAATTTTGTAATGATTCATGGTATTTTGTAATTAGGTTCCTTCTTAGCACTAAACTTTCAGTTACTCCTGTGGGTGCTCTAACTTAAAGGAATAAAATGTGTTTGATTACATCTCTGTTCTTCCTTGGGATGCATTAAACGCTGCTCTAAACTTGAGCAGATTTTTAACATGTGTCTTTCACAACTGACAGACCATATTAATCAGAGGCTTAATATGCTAATTCTGCTCTGGTTGTTCTTTTTTTAATTACTCTTTCCTATAGAAGAGCCAGTTGAATCCTATGAACAACTTGCCCTAAAGGTTTTACATTCCTGGGATGAAATCCCAGGGATTGGATGTAAGCTGGTTCCAGAACACATTGAGACCCGGCCTCTCTATCACAAGGATAAACCAGGCATGGAACAGGTAGATAAGCCTATGGTGAAAGCACGAAACACGGAAGAGGTTTTCCATTTCTCCTACCACCGTTGTTTCTGTTACTATCTCAGAGCTAACAGAGAAATCTCACAAGTGCTCCTGTTTCCGTTATAGTTTGCACAAAATCATAAGTACATAGTTCAAAATTGTCAAATATGCGTATGTACAGTGAAGCACCTAAATTCATATTTAGGCACCTAAGCAAGAGTGATTCTATTTAATTACAAATTTTCATACTTTCAAATTTTGGGGTATCTTGTCAATTTAATGTTAACTCTGCATTTCATTGCATTTTAATGACTGTTGCTTTCCCTCTCCCACTATCTGCAAAGTTCTTGTAGGGGTGCTCTCAGCTTTAACTTCGCCACACAATTTTTTTTTCAGGGAATCTAATCAAGTGTCCCTTTGCTCATATCTGAAAATAACTACTTAGGAATTTGGCTGCAGTAAAGCATTTAAGCACATGTTTAAGTTACACTGACTTCATGAAGACACATTGAAGCTAATGCAATTTCAGCATATGCTAAAATGAATATATATAATATTGATTAATCACAGTTAATTCACGCAATTAACTCAAAAATTAATCACAATTAAAAAAAGTATCTCAATGAATTGCCATTTTAATTGCACTGTTAAACAATAGAATGCCAACTGAAATTTATTAAATATTTTGGATGTTTTTGTACATGTTCATATATATTGTATTCTGTGTTGTAATTGAACTCAAAGTGTATATTATTTTTAGTACAAATATTTGCACTGTAAAAATCATAAACAAAAGAAATAATATTTTTCAGTTCACCTCATACAAGTACCATCATACAATCTCTTTGTCGTGAAAGTGCAACTTACAAATGTAGATTTTTTTTGTTACATAACTGCACTCAAACAAAACAATGTAAAACTTCAATGCCTACAAGTCCACTCAGTCCTACTTCTTGTCCAGCCAATCTCTAAAACAAACAAGTTTGTTTACATTTACAGGAGATAATGCTGCCCTCTTCTTATTTACAATGTCACCAGAAAGTGAGAACAGGCATTCACATGGCACTTTTGTAGCTGGCATTGCAAGGTATTTACGTGCCAGATATACTCAACATTCATATGCCCTTTATGCTTCGGCCACCATTCCAGAGGACATGCTTCCATCTAATGATGCTTGTTAAAAAAATAATGTGTTAATTAAATTTGTGACTGAACTCCTTGGGGGAGAATTGTATATCTATTTTACCCATATTCTGCCATATACACCTCTACCCCGATATAATGTGGTCCTCAGGAGACAAAACATCTCACCGCATTATAGGTGAGACTGCATTATATCGAACTTGCTTTGGCCCCCCCGTTCCTTGTTCCCTGACCGCCCCCTCCAGAGACCCCCATCCCTAATCATCCCCAGGACCCCACCCCCTACCCAGTCCCCCTGCTCCCTGTCCCCTGACTGCTCCGACCCCTATCTACACCCCCCGCCTTCTAACAGGCACTCACTGGCAGCGGCAGGAAGCGGAGCAACACGGCCCCAGCCCACTCCACTCCGCCACCTCCACCACCGCTCCGTTTCCCGCTGCCGGTGAGTGCGGGGAGGTTGGGGAAAGGACACCCTCCGCACTCACTGGTGGCGGGAAACAGAGCGACGTGGCCCAGCCAACTCTGCTTTTCTTGCCCCGGCCCCAGCTGTGTCACGGGGGAGGGGGGGTGGTTGGGGAAAGGTCCCGCACTCACCTGCGGCGGGAAGCAGAGCGCCGCAGCTGGGAGCTGGCGGAATGGAGTGGAGTGGGTTGGGGCCGGGCTGCTCCGCTTCCACCACTGCCAGGGAGTGCGGGGGGGATCCCTTCCCCCAAGCCCCCTCCCCTGAGCAACACAGCTGGGGCCGGGGAGAGGGAAGCTGAGCGGGCTGCTCCCATCCCCCCACTAATCCCCTGGGCCACTCTGGGACTGCAGGCCCCCCGAAAGTGCCCCCCACAGCTCCTGCCTCCCAGACCCTGGGTGGGGGAGGGAGCACCTGAGCACGCCCGAGACCCTCTGCCCCTTATCCAACCCCTCAGCCCCAGCCCGGCACCCTTAATACACTTCTCAGAGCAGCATGTCAGAGCTTTACCACGTTGTATGTGAACCTGCATTATATCGGGTCGCGTTATATTGGGGTAGAGGTGTATTTCATGTTATAGCAGTCTCGGATGATGACCCAGCACATGTTCATTTTAAGAACACTTTCACTGCAGATTTGACAAAACTCCAAGAAGGTGAGATTTCTAAAGATAGCTACATCGCTCAACCCAAGGTTTAAGAATCTGAAGTGCCTTCCAAAATCTGAGAGGGACGAGATGTGAAGCATGCTTTCAGAATTCTTAAAAGAGCAACACTCCGACGCGGAAACTACAGAACCCGAACCACGAAAAAAAAAATCAACCTTCTGCTGGTGGCATCTGACTCAGATAATGAAAATGAACATGCATCAGTCTGCACTGCTTTGGCTTGTTATCAAGCAGAACCCAGCATCAGCATGGACGCATGTCCCCTGGAATGGTGGTTGAAGCATGAAGGAACACACAAATATCTTGCGACACCGGCTACAACAGTGCCATGAGAGTGCCTGTTCTCACTTTCAGGTGACATTTTAAACAGGAAGCGAGTAGCATTATCTCCTGCGAATGTAAACAAACTTGTTTGTCTGAGCGATTGACTGAACAAGAAGTAGGACTGAGTGGACTTGCAGGCTCTAAAATTTACATTGTTTTGTTTTTGAATGAAGTTTTTTTGTACATAATTCTACATTTGTAAGTTCAACTTTCACAATAAAGGGATTGCACTACAATACTTGTATTAGGTGAATTGAAAAATACTATTTCTTTTGTTTTTTTACAGTGCAAATACATGTAATCAAAAATAAATATGAACTGAACATTGTACACTTTGTATTCTGTGATGTAACTGAAAGCAATATATTTGAAAATGTAGAAAACATCCAAAATATTTAAGTAAATGGTATTCTATTATTGTTTAACAGTGCAATTAATCACAATTAATTTTTTTAATCGCTTGAAAGCCCTAATATAATATATATGCATGTATTTCATTAGGAAAATATAGTTAACTATTCAATATATGTTCTGATTCCTCTCCAGACCATCTATGGAGAGGAATCAGAATTGCTCAAGAGGTGTGTCTGGATAAGTATTATTGTTATAGTGTGAACAGCTAACCGTGATTCTTCTTTGGACTTCAACTTTAAGGGCTTAAGAGTCTGCCCTCATTATTGCGCAGTTCTGATAATGTGTATCACAATGACAGTGATGAAAATTCTAGATAGTCACTGATTTGTTACAAGATGTTCTTATTTGTGATGGCCAAACTGAAAACAACTCAGAATCTGAGTTAGGTTCAATTAAGGATCCAAATAATTATCCAACCCTCTTGAGTCTCCAAAATTGGGCTGGAAGTCTCATAAGAATAGGCTTTCTTGAAAGATTTCAATTGCTACCACCTCTGGCCTGAGTTGAAAATACCACAAGAAACACCTCTCTTCTTCAAGTGCTTGTTCACGTTGATTCCAATCAGGTGTGTGCACGCCGCGTGCATGGTCGTCGGAAACATTTTCCCTGATCAGCTCCCATTGGGTCAGCTGTGGAGCCCCCTCGAGTGGTGCCTTCATGGCGCTCAATATATGACCCTGCCGATCTGACCCCCTTTCAGTTCCTTCTTACTGTTGTGATGGCCATTGGAACTGCATTTGCTTGCCTAGCAAGGGCTTCCCTTAGCTTTCTTCTGTAGTCTGTAGTTTCAGTCTAGGTTTCAGTTAGTAGTTAGTTTTAGTTTGTGTACATACTGTATATAGTGTTCGGGTTAGTGTGCAGGATCCTCCCTTATACCTTACCTTCCCTCGGCTCCTGGGCATGCCTCAGGGCCAAGGGTTTAAACCTTGCGGGACCTGTGGGAAGCCCATGCCAACAGGCTACCCCCACGATGCGTGTCTGGGGGAAGAGCACCAAACACAAAGGTGCAAAATCTGCAGGTCTTTCCACCCTCGGATGAAGAAAGAGCAGGATTTCTGGCTGAAACAACTTCTGACGGGGTCCACTCTCCATCTGCAGCCCGCCACGGAGTGCCCCAGCCTCGGTGTGCAACATGGCGCCGAGCAAAGACTCTGACTCAAGAGACCCTCGGCACCAGCGCTTCCTGGCACTGCAAGTGGTGCATTCAACCAGGCACCGTTCGCACTCACCAGTGCCACACAAGTGACACAATAAGATGGACTGGGGTCATTCCCCGGTGCCGAAGGCAGTGCCAGTCACAACAGCAGTGTGTCCCATGAAGGAGCACCCAGTGCCCAAGGACCAGCAGTTGGTGCCGTTGACTTTGGTTCCCCGGAGGGGACCATTGAGTCCAGTGACTCCCTGGACAGACAGCGCCAATTGGAGGAATTGGAGTCTCCCTCCACCCCAGGCACTTTTGAAACCATGAGGGACCTAATAGCAATGATGGCCCTGCAACCTCTGGCTATCAGGGACAAGCCTCCGGTGCTGCTGCATCCGGCGCCATGTAGAGGCAAGCTGGCCATGATGCAGCGATCACCCTCTCCGACATGGCAACATTCACTTCGGCACCACTTGGGTTCACCATCGCTGAGTCACCGTTCCCCAGCTCGGGATCCTGTTTGTGGTTTCCCGGCTTAGTCTCCAGCATGGGCTAAGTGGCACTGGTCTCCAGCACCATCGTAGCAACATTGGTCTCTGGCATCTTCAAGGACTCAACCAGTTTTTGGTTGAGCTGAAGTTCCTCATGGTCTCCCTGAGCACGATCATCCCCTGCTTGGAATCGGGAGACTGGTACGCCGCCCTCGACATGAAGGACATATATTTTCACATATCCATTCGGCTGGTGCACAGATGATTTCTGCGGTTTGTGGTCAACCACAAACATTATCAGTACACGGTCCTCCCATTCGGCCTGTCGATGACCCCCCGAGTCTTCACCAAGTGCATGTCGGTGATCGCAGCCTTTCTTCGCAGGAGGCAGGTTCAGGTGTATCCCTACCTTGACGATTGGCTCTCCAGGGAACAGGCGGAGTCTCAAGTCGAACTAGTCAGAGCTACTTTCGAGAGGCTGGGACTCCTCAACGTGAACAAGTCGACTTTGTCACTGACCCAAAGAACAGAATTCATTGGGGTGGTGCTTGACTCAGGGCAAGCAAGGGCAGTCCTGCCAGAGGCATCATTCCAAGTGATGACAGACGTGATCCAAAGCCTCAGCTGATACCCCAAGGTGATGACAACAAGGGGATGCCTGAGTCTCCTCGGCCACATGGCAGCCTGCACTTACGTGGTCAGATATGCCAGACAGAGGCTTAGACCACACCAGGCATGGCTCGCTTCAACCTGTCGTCCAGCATGGACAGCCTGGACTCAGTGGTGTCGGTGCCAGAACATGTTCTCAAGTCCCTCTGTTGGTGGCTCGACCCTTGGACTGTCTGCGAAGGCCTTCGCGTCAACAGCCCACGGCCTTCTCTGTTCCTAGTAATGGATGTGTCAGCTCTGGGTTGGGGCACTCACGAGGGAGATCTCCAAACGCAGGGCCTATGGTCGCAGGACGACCTCTCACTCCGTATCAATATCAAGGAACTCAGAGCAGTGCAGCTAGCCGGCCACACCTTCCTGTCCTGACTACAAGGCCAGTGTGTGGCAGTGATGACCGACAACACAAATGCCATGTTTTCCCTGTGCCAGGAAGCCGTCCAGCTATGGGAGTTCTGCATAGCCCACTCCATTCACCTGGAGGTGTCATATCTCCTGGGAGTGCAGAACGAACTAGCAGACCACCTCAGCAGGCTGTTCCGCAACCACGAGTGGACCATCCATCCAGATGTCATACATTCCATCTTCCAAGGGGGGGGGCGGGGTTTCCCCAGGTCAATGTGTTTGCCACCTGGAGCAACAGAAAGTGCCCAACGTTCTACTTCTTCAAGCAGCACAGCCTGGGTTCAATCTCAGATGTGTTCCTGCTACCCTGGGGAGAACGCCTCATGTATGTCTTTCCACTGATTCCACTTGTGCACAAGGTGCTGCTCAAGATCCACAGAGACAAGGCAAAAGTAATCCTGCTGGCCCCAGGTGGCACCGCCAACATTGGTACACCACGCTTCCGCAGCTGTCAGTGGACACCCCGATCATGTGACCACTTTTCCCCGATCTGATCACACAGGACCATGGTTGCCTTCAGCACCCAGACCTCCAGTCCCTCCATCTCATGGCTTGGAAGCTTCATGGTTAAATCCAATGGAGCTCCGGTGCTCGGAACCTGTAAGAAAGGTTCTGCTTGGCAGCAGAAAACCATCCACCAGGGTCACTTATCTAGCTAAGTGGAAAAGGTTCACTTGCTGGTGTGCCCAACATCACACGTCTCCACTCCAGCCGCTTATACCACTCGTCCTGGATTACCTCCTGCACCTGAAACAACAGGGCCTGGCAGGGTCATCCATCAGGGTACACGTCGCTGCTATCTCTGCCTTCCACCCAGGAGAGTTGGGGCATTCCGTGTTCACCAACCCCATGGTAGGGGGTTTCCTCAAGGGCCTGGAAAGATTATATCCACAGGCTTAAGAACCTGTGCCTGCATGGGACCTTAATCTGGTCCTCTCAAGACTAATGGGGCCCCCTTTCAAACTGCTGGCTACCTGCTCCCTTCTCTATTTGTTGTGGAAGGTGGCATTCCTGGTCGCCATTACATCAGCTAGGGGGTGTCTGAGTTAAAAGCACTAACCTCCAACTCATCCTACACGGTCTTCCACAAGGACAAGGATCAACTCAGGCCTCACCCAGTCATCCTTCCCAAGGTGGTGTCCCAATTTCATACTAGCCAAATGCACCAGTCTTTACCAGTCTTTTGTCCCAAGCTTCATACTGGCGCATGGGAACAGAGGCTTCACTCACTGGATGTCCGGCGTGCACTAGCATTCTACATCGAGCACACTAAGCCTTTCAGGAAATAGAACCAACTATTCGTGGTGGTGGCAGACCAGATGAAAGGGCTCCCAAACTCTTCCTAATGCAGTTCTTCCTGGATTACAGATTGCATCCTCACATGCTACGAGCTGGCTAAGGCCCCAGCCCCGGATATTACAGCACACTCTACAAGGGCACAAGCCTCATCAGCTGCTTTCCTGGCCTGGACCCCATTCAAGAGATCTGCAGAGCTGCAACCTGGTCATCGGTGCATACATTTGCCACTCACTATGTTATCACCTGGCATGACAGAGATGATTCAGCATTTGGCAGAGTGGTGTTCCAATCAGAGATTCCTTAACTCCGACCCCACCTCTGGGGGAGAGCTTGGGAGTCACCTGATTGGAATCGATGTGAACAAACATTCGAAGAAGAAAAAATGGTTACTCACCTTCTCATAACTGTTGTTCTTCGAGATGTATTGTTCATGTCTATTCCAATACCCACCCTCCTTCCCCTCTGTTGGAGTAGCTGGCAAGAAGGAACTGAAGGCGGGTTGGGTCAGCAGGGTCATATATTGAGTGCCATGAAGGCGCCACTCCAGGGGGCTCCACAGTTGACCCAAAGGGAGCTGCTAAGGGAAAAACTTTCCGACGACCGTGCATGTGGTGCACACGCACCAGATTGGAATGGACGTGAACAACACATCTCGAAGAACAATAGTTACAAAAAGGTGAGTAACCGTTTTTTGTAGTGTTTCACCATGTCCTGTGCTAGTAGGAACCCAAGAGTGGAAAGCAAGTGAAAATGTTAAACTTCTGAACATATCAGAATCCTACAGCAGGATCAAGTTTGAGTTTGGCTATAGAAATAGAAACATGGTTCTGGTTTAGCTCTCCGATAAACATCTGGCCCCGTATAAACACATGTAATAAAATAAGTAGAAATAGAAGTGAAGCGGTATCAGCATGGAGGTTTCCCCATTGTCAATATGAGTTACGGCACAATCACAAGACTGGGGTTTGGAGCAACCCAATTCTATGGAGGTTACAGCACACAGTGCAGGATGGGAGGCAGACAGCAGTGATGCACCAGGCCCCCCACACAGATGAATAACTTTAGTGTAGGGAGGGGAAGTCCAAAGAACCAAGCACAAAATCGTGAAATATAGGCGTTGCTCTGGGACTACTGGCTGAAATAATTGATTCTTGGTGTGATCACATACACTAATATAGATTCTGTATATGAAAAAATTAGCACTAATTTTTAGTGCTATTTAAAATTCTCACTAAAGAAGGGTGACAATATTGCTTGTTTCTTTTCTTAAAGGGTCGTGTGCAGATGTGGGTGGACATGTTTCCCAAAGACATGCCTCCGCCAGGACCACCTGTTGATATTTCACCAAGGAAACCCAAAGGGTAATTCAGAGCGCATTCCTGTTGTGCTGTCAATGTACTGGCATCATCCCGCAAATCTTGAATCTTTTGAAAGGGCTTTTCTACATGACCCTACAGTGTGGAAGATCGGGGTGTGAATTTCACTGAAGTGGTGTGCTGTAACTGCCCCATGTACATCCTGCCGAACTAGTATCAGGTAAAAGGTATCGAGTTCATGTTAGTTCATAGTCTCATTTCAGACAGGACTGCAGTAACATGAAGTAGGTGCCTTTTGGTTCGTGCTAGCAGAGACTGTATGGGGCAGGTACAGCACAGCACTTCGGCGCATGCTGCAGTTCACTCCTCTGTAGTCCGCACTGCAAGGCCGTATAAAAAAGACCCAATGTCTGGTAAGAAATATTATTTAATATTTATTTTAATATTATAAAATATTATTTAAACTGAGAAACAATGCCATAGAGTCATAGATTTTAAAGCCAGAAAGGACCATTATGATCATTTAGTCTGAGCTCCTGCATAATACATGTAACCCACACACCTCTTGGGTGTTCTGTCTAGTGGCACCAAGACCACTTAGAAATTAATGACTCTACTACAGCCTTAACTAAGGGCCATGTGGCTTTTAGCTCATGCAGTAGCAGCTCATACACTAAGTTCCAGAGATCCCAGGTTCAATCCCACCACTGACGACTGGGGCCTGTTGGTGTTACAAGTGGGGGCTCGTCTGGGATTTCAACTGGGAAGTCTTTGAAGCTCAGGACGCGCTTCCTCACCTAGGGGAAGTATGTAATCCACATATCTCCAGAGTTTGGTGCTCTGTCCCCTCTAGTGGCACCGAGACCACTTAGAGATTAATGAGTCTGCTACAGCCTTAGCTAAGGGCTATGTGGCTTTTAACTCATAGCATAGAGACTCATACATTAAGCTCCAGAGGTCCCAGGTTTGATCCCGCCCACCAACGACTGGGGTCTGTCGGTGTTACACACAGGACTTAGAACCTTACCGGTAGTTTCTGCATCAATCCATAACTTCTGTTTGAGCTATAGCATATCATTTATAAAAGCATCCAATCTTGATTTAAAGACTTCACGTGATTCATTCAACAGTGGTAAAAAGATGAAAGTACAAGAGGCAGCTGCAGTGAGTCTTAAAGTTATTATCCCTCCACTGAACTCTAATTCCAAAGTTCTAATTTAGTCTCTATGTCACTTTAGCTCTCTCAAATACATAACGTACTTGACCGTTGGTCAAGATCTTCTATCTCGTATTATTGTACCTGAGGGATTTTCACTACTTTGGGCAAGAATGAGGACAAGAAGCACAAAAGGAGGCCGTAGAGAGAGATTTGTTTGGAAGAGTAAGCGTCTCTGTAATTTCAAGCAGATGTATATCCTACTCTGACATTGCATTAGATGAGTCAACCTCGCTGCTAGTGTTTGATAGATAATAAATGACAAATGACTAGGAGAATTCATGGCTCATCCCAAATAAACGTTAATGAGATATTTTAATAAGGGCTTTGTTAGGTCATCTTTATGTCTGGAACAGTTTCACAGAAGCAGTGTCTTCATTATTTATGTTCAAACAAAAGACGATGCAATAACAAAATAACGATTTGCTCCTGTCTATGCCGAATTAAGTAAGGTCCATAATTTGACCAAAAAGGAGGCTGTCTAACAAGTGCTTTCTTTACACAAGGATTTTATATGAGGCTATTTATCAGCTGTGAATTTTTCAAACCAGAAAGATTTGCACCTAATTATATTGGCAAGAACAAAACGTTGCTACCATGCTGCAGTCTGTGGAAACACAGACAAATGTTGTTGAAATGTTAATCATCAGAGGGGTTTAGATTTCTGCAAGAAACCTTGACTTTGGACGATGCTGTTTGCCAGTTAGCCTGAAGAAAGGTGCACAGAAATAGTGCAAGACAAACAGGTAGATATACATGTTCTAAGGCTCCCAACAACTACTGCATACAAGAGCACAGAAGAGTTCATTCCCTTTCCTGGGTGGTGCTATAAAATGTCTTTCCTGGAGATTACATTTATCCGTGCTTCTTAAAGGTGTTTCTGAATAGCATTTTTCCTCCTTTTTCATGTACTAGATTACACAAAATATCATATATTGTCAACAACAAAATCTCTGAAAAGGAGACCTCCCCCCCCCCCCGTCTGCCAAATGGGTTTTGCCCTCATTGGCAAGTTCCTCAGTATTTTGTGGATGCTCAGATGATGTTGCTCAGTCCAGTAGCCCTGTTTCATTGCAGTATTTTTGTGATCAGAATTAAAAAAAGAACACAGGCAAACAACCAGCGAGGAATTTTCCACTGTTCTGAGGCTGCCAGTGACACCTACTGTCCCTCTGCAGTCTCATGAGCTAAGAGAACAGCCCCTAATTCTATTATATCACAGGAGACTCCAATAGACACAAGGAGTCTGATGCTGATCCCATTCTTCAAACCAGTTTTACATCAAAATAACACTCTTTATGTTATGGAAATTGCTAATGATTCATACCAGGGTCTGATTAGACCCAGGCCATATGTGTACTCAGGAAGGATGAAATGAAATCAACTAGAAGGCCTTTTGCTACTGTGAATTGAAATATGCAAAATGTTGGTTTCTTTCTTTTTCAGTTATGAATTGAGAGTAATCATCTGGAATACAGAAGATGTAATTTTAGAGGATGAGAATATCTTCACAGGACAAAAATCAAGTGACATCTATGTAAAAGGGTGTGTTCATCTGGATATCACCTTTTGCGTCTCTTCATTTATTCCTTGAGAGGACAATTAACATCTGGTTCAAGCCATCCATTAAAGACCAGAGTCACAGAACTTATGGCTTGTATTTACAAGGCTGTGTCTCCTTGTGAGACATTTCTGGGATCTTGATAATTTGTTGTGAGTGTGTGCCAAAAATAGCCAGCCATTCTGGAAACTAGTTAGTCCTCTCATCTTTAAATATAGCCTCATTCGACCTAATTCACGACTCACACAGAATAAAATTAGGAGTAGTGCCATTCACTTGGTGTGAGTACAGAATCGAGTCCTAAACTTCATGGGTTAAATGCAAATGCCTATGGTATTTTAAACTTGAAGGGCTTATAGCATACGTGTTGGAACTAGGGGTGCTGCTGCACCCCTGGGCTTGAAGTGGTTCCATCAGATACAGGGTTTACAGTTTGCTTCAATGGCTCTCAGCACCCCCACTATACAAATTGTTCCAGCACCCCTGGCTTATAGGGATACAGAGTGCTGTTACATAATGAGTTGAGAAGAATTATAGCCACCTTAGTGAAGTTAGTAATAAAAGAAAATGAGAAGTATCTTCAGAGATTCCTGTGAGAAATCAATTCTAACCAGCTGTTTTTTGACTGGAGTATGTGTGTGAGTGAATGGCAGGGAAGAGTGTGCGTGAAGAATTTTTCATTAGCATTTTATAGCTTATCTTTCCTGTTGCTATTACACTGGTGCAAAATTACTCACGATAGTGAAGTCCAAAGCAGACTGTGAGGAGTTACAAAGGGATCTCACAAAACTGAGTGATCGGGCAACAAAATGGCAGATGCGATTCAGTGTTGATAATGCAAAGTAGTGCACGTTGGAAAACATAATTCCAATTCTACAGACAAAATGATGGGGTCTAAATTAGCTGTTGCCACTCAAGAAAGAGATCTTGGAGTCATTATGGCTAGTTCTCAGAAAACATCCCTCAATGTGCAGCAGCAGTCAAAAAAGCTAACAGAATGTTAGGAACCATTAGTAAAGGGATAGATAATAAGACAATAAATATCATAATGCCACTATATAAACCCGTGGTACGCCCATACCTTGAATACTGCGTGCAGTTCTAGTTGCTCCATCTAAAAAAAGATACATTAGATATGGAAAAGGTACAGAGAAGGGCAACAGAAATGATTAGGGGTATGGAACAGCGTCCGTATGAGGAGAGATTAAAAAGACTGGAACTTTTCAGCTTAGAAAAGGGATGACAGAGTGGGGATATGATAGAGGTTTATAAAATCATGAATGGTGTGGAGAAAGTGAATAGGGAAGTGTTATGTACTCCTTTACATAACACAAGAACCAGGGGTCACCCAATGAAATTAATAGGCAGCAGGTTTAAAACAAACAAAAGGAAGTACTTCTTCACACAACGCACAGTCAACCTGTAGAACTCATTGCCAGGAGATATTGTGAATGCCAAAGCTATAACTTGGTTCAAAAATAACTAGATACGATCATGGAGGATAGGTCTATCAATGGCTATTAGTCAAGATGGTCAAGGATGCAACCCCATGCTCTGGGTGTCCCTAGCCTCTGACTTCCGGAAGCTGGGGCCGGATGATGGGGGATTGATCACTCAAAAATTGCCCTGTTCTGTTCATTCTCTCTGAAGCAGTTGGCATTGCTACTGTTGGAAGACAGGATACCAGGCTAAAGGGACCATTGGTCTGACCCAGTATGATCGTTCTTATGTCCTTAATGCTACCTTTGAAACAGTTCATATTTTTGAATCACCTTTTTATAAAATTGCCACACATGAGTACTGGTTAACTTTTTTAGATGTGGTGCAAATTTTTAAATTTTGATTAGAAATTATAGCCAATCATCTGCAGAACTAAAAACCAAGTAGATACATTCATAAATGAATGGGTATCTCCAAAAGATATGTATTTTTAGAGAAGCATAATATGGATTTTTTGTAATATTCCTTTGCACATGATACATTGTTTGTGGTGCATTAGAAAACAAGAACAAACCAGAAGAAAATTTGGAGAAACAAGTCAGCCATGCTTACACCTGACATCCTTCACTCTAGAGCACTTGCAGATACAAATAATTTTGGTTCTAACATCAAGTGCCTAAATCAGCATCTGAGACTGTCAGAAAGTCTACCAGCTAAGGCACAAAATCTACTCATATACCTTTTATCATGGTGACTGATAATGAAAACACTCATGATAGTTTCCTTGCCCATAAAAATATTTTTAATGATTAGTCATTGGTAAATGGGCAATTAGAATTTTGCAAGTCTGACCTGAATAAAATTCACATTCTCCCACTAAACTTTTGATCATGATTTTCAGTCACTGAAAGCCTGAGCCACATTTGAATGGTGTTTTAGATATTAGCCACCACCTAAGCCTTCCACTTGCTATACTAACATTGATTATGAAAGAAAGGATTGATAAATAAAAATTCTTGTCATTGAATTTGAATACCTACCATACAGCTTCCCTATTAACCTTACTTTATTCACCTGTGTGCATGCTATAGGTGGTTAAAGGGACTGGAAGATGACAAGCAGGAGACAGATGTGCATTACAACTCCTTGACTGGAGAAGGGAACTTCAACTGGCGCTTTGTGTTTCCATTCCGCTACCTCCCAGCTGAGAAACAAATGGTGGTCAGTAAGAAAGAAAACATATTTTCCTTGGAAAAGACAGAACGCAAAATGCCAGCAGTCCTAGTGCTCCAAGTTTGGGACTTTGAAAGACTTTCTTCTGATGATTTCTTGGGTAAGCAAACAGTGAAGCCAACTGAACTTCAGCTAAAATCGTCATAGACCTTTATTTTGTAAAACAGTGTTGAAGGAGGTATCTAAGGCCCAATTATCAATTGCCTTCTATGAATCCACTTAACAGCTAAAATGCCTAACACATATATGGTTTTGGCTACACAAATGGATGGGTTGGAGTGGCATATTCTTGGAGGCTGATTAAAAGTTGTCCCATTCAACCACCATGTTTAAATGAAGGTCACATTTTTCTATAATGTCAGGCATTACTTAATATGGACCAAAGTCTAGAAATTGTCAATGAAAAGAATAGATTTAGGCCAATCAGTATCTCTCTGACAATGCAGGATTTTCATCTTATTTGCCAGGAGTATGTTCTCAAGTGCTTTGTACAGTCGAGAATAAAATTGCTCTGGTGGCTGCGTTTCCCCTACACCCATTCAACGATTATTCCAGACTAACACAGGTCACTGTTAGGAAATATTTCCTGATATTCATCCCAAAGTATCTTTTACTCCAGTTCATTCCATTACTCGTTAAACCACCCAAAACAATTCCTCTCCTTAGTTTTTACATGCATCAAATATCGTATTCCTCTCTCTTATGTCCTATAAATATCATTTAGACAAATACTCCTCCCTCTTACTTATCTATATATCTCTGTCTCATCTACATATTTATATTGCTCTAGTTACTGTAGTAGGTAGGTATCGAATACAGGAGCTTCAGACTTCAGCATGGTGCTAGTATAGTGCCAATCTATTAAAAAGGGGAATAAGGAAAACCCGGGAAATTACAGGCCAGTCAGCTTAACTTCAGTACCCAGAAAGATAATGACCAGTTTCAGAGTAGCAGCCATGTTAGTCTGTATCCGCAAAAAGAAAAGGAGTACTTGTGGCACCTTAGAGACTAAGAAATTTACGAAAGCTTATGCTCAAATAAATTTGTTAGTCTCTAAGGTGCCACAAGTACTACTTTTCTTTTTGCAGAAAGATAATGGAGCAAATAAGCAATCAGTTTTCAAATGCCTAGATGATAATAAGGTGATAAGTAAAAGTTAAAATGGATTTGTCAAGAGCAAATCATGTCAAATCAACCTAATAGCTTTCTTTGACAGGGTAGCAAGCTTTGTGAATGGAGGAAAGTGGTAGATGTGGTATATCTTGACTTTAGTAAGGCTTTTGATACTGTCTGGCATGACCTTCTCATAAACAAACTAGGGAAATATAGTGAAGATGAAGCTACTATAAGGTGGGTGCACAACTGGTTGAAAACTGTTCCCAGGGAGTAGTTATCAGTGGTTCACAAGCAAGCTGGAAGGGCATATTGAGTGGGGTCCTGCTGGGATCAGTTCTGGGTCCAGTTCTGTTCAATGTCTTCATAAATGATGTAGATAATGGCATAGAGAGTAAATTTATAAAGTTTACAGACGATACCAAGCTGGGAGGGGTTGCAAGTGCTTTGCAGGATAGGAATAAAATTCAAAATGATCCGGACAAACTGCGGATGGTCTGAAGTAAATAAGATAAAATTCAATAAGGACAAATGCAAAGTACTTCATTTAGGAAGCAACAATCAATTCACACATATAGAACGGGAAATGACTGCCTAGGAAAGAGTACTACCAAAAGGGATCTTGTGGACCACAAGCTAAATATAAGTCAACAGTGTAACACTGTTGCAAAAAAAAGCAAACATCATTCAGGGTTGTATTAGCAGGAGTGTTGTAAGCAAGACATGAGAAATAATTCTTCCATGCTACTCTACACTGATAAGGTCTCAGCTGGAGAAATGTGTCCAGTTCTGGGTGCCATATTTCAGGAAAGATGCAGACAAATATGAGAAAGTCCAGAGGAGAGCAACAAAAATGATTATTGGTCTAGAAAATACGACCTATGAGGGAAGATTGAAAAAAAATTGATTTGTTTAGTCTGGAGAAGAGAAGACGGGGGGGAAGATATGATAACAGGTTTGAAGTAAATAAAACACCTGTGAGGAATGTTCTAGATAATACTTAGTCATACCATGAATGTAGGGGAATGGACTAGATGACCTCTTGAGGTCCCCTCCTGTCCCATAATTCTATGAATCTGTGAAAAGGCTGTTACAAGGAGGAGGGTGACAATTGCAGTAAGGGAGGTTTAGGCTGAACTTTAGGAAAAACTTCCTAACTGTCAGGGTGGAAGCAGTGGAATAAATTGCCTAGGGAGGTTGTGAAATCTCCATCTTTGAAGGTTTTAAAGAACAGGTTAGACACACACCTGTCAGGACTCGCAAAAAGAAAAGGAGTACTTGTGGCACCTTAGAGACTAACCAATTTATTTGAGCATGAGCTTTTATGTATTATTATGTATTAGCTATTATGTAGTCCTGCCTTGAGTGCAGGGAACTGAACTAGGTGATCTGTTGAGATGCCTTCCAGTCCTATGCTTCCATGATACTATGGTTCTGCTCCAGTCTTAGGAGATTAGGTTGTGGATTCATGGGGTTTTGGTTTGGTGGATGTGTGTGAGAGAGATGATGCTTAGGAAGGGCTTGTGCAAGCTGGTCTGCGTTGCACTGTGCACTAAACGTAGCAAGACCTTCTTCTTCTTGTATTATTGTTTGGATTTTTTGAGTGCCTAAATTTGGCACCTCAAAAAAATAAAAACCTGAGTGAAATCCTAGCCCCATTGAAATCAATGGCAAAACTCTCATTCACTTCACTAGGGATGGGATTTCACCTCCAGTCCCTGCCCTGAAGAGCTTTCAATTTAAATGTGACATGATACAACATGAAAGAGACTGAACTGGGCAGAAGAAAAGGAGTGATGGAGAAAGTAAAGGGTGTTTTGGAAGCTTTCTAGCTCCATGAGTCAATGGGAAGTGGGTCATCCCCATCAGTCCTGCATCCAGCTGGGAAGATGGGAGGACCATACACATTTAGTCCCTTTAACCACCTCTCGTAAATTATTTTCTTCACTCCCTTATCCATTTTTATTTCTCTTCCATGAATTCCTTTTGATGGGTCAACATCTTTCTGGTATTGAGATGCCCTGAATTGCATGAGTATTGCACACCATCTGCATTAGACTGCTTGGCTTTCCACCTCAAACTAATGCACTAGGACAGCTTTCTCTAGCCATGCTGGCCACGGTTTTCAAAAACCTGATTTCAGGTGCCTCCATTTCTCAATGTCCAACTTGTGACACTTTAAAGTGGCCCAATTTTCAGACCGTGCTGAGAATCTTACTTCAGAGAATCAGGGCCTTTTAAAGTGTCTCAAGTCAGGCACCCAAAAAACTGATGCACCCTAGATGACTAATCACTTTTGAAAAACTTGACCAGTCTTGCTGGATCCTGACAGGGTGTGTTATCCTGCTCTCTCTGTGAACTCTCTTAGGAACTCATGTTTGCTGTCTTCCTGTTCACTGATCCATTTATACTGATTTTATAACACACCCAGATAGAAACAACAATGAAATCTAGACAAATCAATAACAAATGTTCTACATCACCTTTCTTTGCCTGTCTTAATAAGGGAGTTAAAAATCCTCATTTATTATGGCAGACTGATCTGTCCAACTTCTGATGATGTTTTTCAAAAGCTTTGGTGGACCCTTCAGAGTTCACACGGTTGCTTTGCCAATATCTTTGAGAACTACTGCTCAGATCCTTGGAAGAGGTATTGGGGTATTTGCTGAGTAACAGTTTGGATAGCAAACTAACTAGGTGTATTTAAATAAGAGCCATGTGTTTAGCAGCAAAGTGAACTGTTAGGCACTCAGATACCACAGACATGGAGGCCATACATCCAGATTATATTTAGCTACATATATGATCTCAGAGTAGTTTACTGCTGTGTCCAAGCTAGGCTATGCATGAATTAATTGGTTGTTCTTTGATTGTGTTTACATCTGAAATGTCTAAGAGATGGTATATTTTTCCCTAGGCTCCCTTGAAATGAAACTGAATGAATTTCCTCGAGCAGCAAAATCTGCCAAGAGTTGTGACATCAGCATGGTAATAGCAACAAGTAAAGAAAACAAGATATCCATATTTCAGCAAAAGCGTGTCAGAGGATGGTGGCCTTTCATCAAAGCTGGGGATCTCACTGTAAGCAGATCACTAATGATTAAAATGAGCAATCTGAGATGACCAGAAGTGCCTCTCTCATGTACAGATTCTCTGATGATAGGCACCTTACAAAGAGACAGAAAAGTACTAATCTCACATAGATCAGCTGAGCAGTAATATTGTGTATTGTAACTTCCATGTAGGACAACCTAACTTTACATGACTGCACTTGTGGCTGTTATTAAAAAGAGCATTAATAATTCAAGTGATATAACTTTATGAGATGGTCCAATAGACATGATTTTTATCAGTATTAACATTTAGGGGGTGAGCCGTATCAAATTACATTGTTATAGGCTCTTCATAATAACTAAGAAAGGTAAATCAAGAATTGCTTCTCTATGCTTGTGGTTGTCAATTCTTGAATTTTACTAGCAGACTATTAATGAATATAGTTCTTTATTATTCAGTCAACTAATCTAAAACTAGGCATATCTATTTTTGTGACTGTCTCACGGGTGCTAATTGGTTAATGGATGGTTATTGGTTAATAACTCTGGATTAAATATTTGAAAAGATATTAATCAAAATTTACTCTCTGATGTAGGGCAAAGTGGAAGCTGAATTCCATTTAGTCACTGCAGAGGAAGCTGAGAAGAGTCCTGTAGGGAAAGCTCGGAAGGAACCTGAGCCTTTGGAGAAACCCAAGTGAGTGGGAGCATATTCACTAAGTGAGATGAGGAGGCTGGTATAGTGGTTAGAGCAAGGAATTTAGCAGGAATGCTTCTTATGTCTGCTTCTGTCTCTGGTACTGTCTTTTTATGTAACTCCAGCAGACTCCGTTAGCCTCTTTGTGACTCAGTTTGCCCAGATATAAAAATGTGGAGTAATGATATTTACCTAGAGTATCTGACAGGAATATCGTTAGGCTTAAATAATTAATATTTGCTAAGTGCTTTACAATTGTTATGTTAATCAATATCTGCTATGCCTGTCATTGCTAACCTATATGTCTAGGGGCTTGCTTCTCAATATTAGATGTGAAGGATTCTTTGCCCATACGTGAAGGAATCCACAAATCTGATTTGTGTGTATATGTCTAGTACTTATATGCATAAATTAGACACATGCCAATGACTGCGCACATGGGAATGGTGCAATTTTATCACATCTATCTATATTCACTTATTGAATTTCACAGTCAAAGAATGAGGCTACCTATTTTTCAACATAAGACTGCGTAAGGTTTTTTTAAAGTCCTTTCACAAAGCAAAAGGTCCAGAATGAACTTTTTATCTAACCAAATTCCACCACTCTCAAAAAATTGCCAGGTGAGGTTTTTGAATCAGAAAAACATTCATTTCGTCAGTTTAGGTTTATGCAGTTAATTCTGTTACAGGGATGAGCTATGGAAAGACAAGGAATTTGAAATGAGATTCCCTACTACAAAAGATTTTTAAAATCTTATTCCAAGTGGTAATTTTAACCGGTGAAGAATTTCATTCTCTACATCAAAAAGATGTTCAGTTGAGCTTCCAGATTTTCTGATCTTCTACAGGATGGCATTTGTGGGTGACAATGAGATTATTTACAAGACTTCAACAGTTTTATGAAAAAATATGCAGACAATATTCATGATGATATAGCATTTTAATTTTATTTCCCTTATTGTAACATCTTCGCAACCTTGGGGTATACTTGGTATAGGATCAATAAGCAATATCTCAAAAGAACATATTCTGTTACCTTGAATTATTCCAAATAGTATTTTGTACTCTGAATAGTCCCATTATACACAACTGACAGACACTGGCTCAGTTCATTCCTGAGGTAAGGCCTTTAAAGTCAGAGAGGCACAATGTCTTCCAGAGCTCCCTGGCATGCAACGGGGAGATGGCTACTACACTGTCTCTTGGTTGCGTGTGACTTGCACTTTTCTCTGCAGCCAGTCAGCTTTGCTGGGCTGCGTGAAGAGGATCAGGGCCATGGTCCTACCTCTTTTGATGAATGTGCTCTAGTCGTGGGGCAGGAAAAAGCATCCCAGCACTCAGAAGAATTTTGGGATTGCAGCTCTGGTTGCCCCCTCCATAGTGGAAAGGTTCCTCGTACCTTTCCCACCCCTGTGCACACATGCAAAAAACAACCACAATCTGGCCGCTGGGGTTTGGTGGCCAGAGATTCCCAAATAATGTTTGGTCAAGACCCAGATTTTAAAACTGCATGTGAGTGGATTCCATTCTAAGGCTTCCCAGCACTCTGCTGGGACTAACTCACACATGCCATATGTGTTTGAAAAATCTAGCAATGTGACTATAACCAGGAAAGCAGATTATTTGTAGTGGCTACTCGCTAGGACTCTCATCCTAATGCAATTGACACTGGGAGTCTTTCCACTGGGCTTTGGGTCAGGCCCAAGAAGCACAGGACCTCTAAACTTCACATTTAAAACTTGCTGTAGGTTAATATGTAAATTAGGATCCCCAGATTTGTCTTAATTTGCATAGCTATGAAATTTAAAATATAGAGTTCACTCTTCACAGTAGCACGTGGGTGTGTGTTATGAGATGTGGTGGTTAAGAACAGAAGAATGGCCATACTGGGTCAGACCAATGATCCATCAACCCCAGTATCCTGTCTTCCGACAGAGACCAGTGCCAGATGCTTTAGAGGGAATAAACAGAACAGGGCAAACATTGAGTGATCCATTCCCTGTCATCCAATCCCAGCTTCTGGCAGTCAGAGGTCTAGGGACACCCACAGCATGGGATAGTCTCTCTGACCATCTTGCCTAATAGTCATTGACAGACCTATCCTCCATAAACTTATCTAATTCCTTTTTGAACCTCACTATTGTTTTGGCCTTCACACCATCCCCTGGCAACAAGTTCCACAGGTTGACTATACTGTGAAGAAATACTTCCTTATGTTAGTTTTAAACCTTCTGCCTGTTAATTTCATTGGATGACTCCTGGTTCTTGTGTTATGTCAAGAAATAAATAATGCATCCCCTATTCACTTTCTCTATTCATGATGGATTGCTGAGTGATCCAAAGGTGCTTAGCACTTTCAAAAATGCTCTGAGTATTCAGAACTTTTAGTGGATTCCAAGGTGTTAAAAGGTCCTTTTGTAAGTGATATTTTTTACACAACGTGAGTTTTATAATGTAATATCTTTTGGAAATGTCTGGATCTGCGCTTACCAATTTTTTCTCTCTTTTTTTCCCTTCAGCCGCCCAGACACTTCCTTCTCCTGGTTTGTAAATCCTTTCAAGTGTTTGTATCACCTCATCTGGAGAAATTACAAGAAGTACATCATCATTGCGCTGATTCTGATTATTCTGATGATCTTCTTGGTGCTTTTCATTTACACTTTGCCTGGTGCAATCAGTCGTAAGATCGTTGTAGGAACTTAGACAATTACATCTCTCCTTGTAACTAATCATACACAAGTACTGCAGTTAAAAATAAAAACGTGACTTCACAATTAATGAACCTGAAACACATTCTGCCAGTTATAAAGATAAAGACATACCCATTCATTTCAGGAAAATGAAACTGACTCAAAATATTTTAACACTCTACTCCTTTGGCTGCTTATTCAGAAGCAACCACGATGTGCATTATCATTAAAGAACTGCCAGAACTTTATTAACTATTTTAAAGTTTGATTCTGTGTCCATTATTAAATGTGAAAATACATTCTTTGATATTGCACAAAAACTGTGTTATAAAGAGTAAATATTAATTAATATTATATCTATATTATCAAATATTGAGAGAGAAATGTTCAATAAACATGAAAACTAGGAAGGATGCCCTGTGTGTTCTTTGCATAATGTGGCACCTGATGAGTTTAATGTTTTTTCATGATTTTATATTGATTTTTAAAGATAGTTTGTTCATGAAAATCAAAGGTGAAATTCTCTCCTTTGTTGTCATATACACATTTTAAAATTTCTAAAATAAATGTATTATGCTCCCAAATCTCAAGATATTGCCCTCATGTAAATAACCAATGAGGGAGAGAGGAATGAGGAGGTATAGGAGAAGGGGGGGAAATCTATTTTCAGATGTGGTTTGAAAACCTATTGAGAGTTAGTGAAGGAGAGAGATGCAGGAAAGATTGTCCACTAGAGAGAAAGGGCTCTTGCATAAGTAGTGGGAACATTGTACTGAGAAGAGAATTCCCTCTACCTGCTAGATGAACAGAGAGAATGAGAAAGGAAACAAAGAGAAGGTGGAGGCTGGAACAAGTCATGGGGGATTTAAAAAACAAGGGGTAAAATCCTGTCCCCACTGAAGTCAATGGCACAACTCCCATCCCAGTCCAGAACACAGAACATTTTATACATTGTTATAACAGGAGGTCAGACTAGAATTGTATAATGTTCCCTTCTTGCCTTATAATCCATGAATATGAATAATTAACAGCCAAAAAAATCCCCATGGGCTGATAGTTGGTTAGACAGACATGGAGTAGATCTGACCTTCCAGAAATTCATTCCACCATTCTAAAGCCATACGAGTAACAATTAAAATGAAGCTCTCTGGTTAAGTGACTAGCTATTCTTGTGTGTTCAGGAAAGCATGAACACTTTAACACAGTAATACAAATGAATCATTTGGATGCAGTGTTGCCACACAGTTGAGATTGAATGGGCAAAGAGCCTGAAATGTGCTCTCGTCTCTTCAAGGTAGGTTGCTCTTTCTATGTGAGGATATGAAGCACATTAGCAAGACAGTGTGGGGAAGCTTGCATTGTCACTGCTGGTGCTTTGCCTGTTCTGGGGCGCTACAGAGGACATTGGTTTTCCGGGGCTGTCCATCTGGCAAGCACTGAGGTCATTTTAAAAAATGAAAATAAATCAAACTGCCAAATAGCAAACATTTTGCGTTTAAACGGGATTAAACTCCATGAACATAGTGACAAGAAGATTTAGTATTTCTTGTGGCTTTCACATTCTAAGTGTGTTATAAACATTAACAAGCTAACTTTAAGTGTGTGAGCAGTCCTGTTAAAATTAAACATATGCTTAAGTGCTCTGCTGGACTGGGGCCTTCACATGATGTATTTTACCTTTATGTGTTTAATATGACAAATAAATAGATGGTGTTTGTTCTAGTTACTCATTAACAGGATAAGGAAGTGATGCTGCCAGGTGCCGCACACTCTCAGTATCCACTGATCACAATGAGAGTTGAGGACACTCTGCATCGTCTTTAAGAGGCCCTAACCCCGTATGGTACATGCTTGCCTGGCATTTTTAAGTATTCCTCTAACACTGCTAGTTTTTATTTCACTGTGTACTTAACTCTGTATTACACTGAAGTACAAATCCTGTTTCTCCTAATAAGCCTTTCTGTGTCTATGAACCTTTGAATTATGATGATTTAACTGAGCTAATTTTGTTATGCATAAATAAAATTATTTTAATAAAAAAGCTCAGCTGAACAGTTTCTACTGTCTTATAATAGTAGGCAACATGCTGATTCTTTAAGCAGAACCTTCTGTTTAAGTATAGGACAATAGGTCTGATCCTTCAAGGTGCCACCTCCCTACTGATTTTAGGATTAGAGTATGATTTTGATTATGTGCCAACATGAGAGAGTAAGAATTCTTCTGGCACCCATGCAGTGGCTACCATGCCCTGGGTCTAGGTATAGAGCAATAAGCAGGTGCTATGTGTCTGCTTTTTCCTTCTCGGTGGAGGTGGTCGGAGTAAGAGGTGGACAGACTCTTGACTGGCTGAAGCCTGTTCTTGCACCATTGAAATCAACAGGAGGTTTGCCATTGACTTCAGTGGGCACAGAACCAAGCCCTTGTTGGTCAGAGCAGCTGAGCTGGCACAGAGGTGTTGTAACTAGCTGCTGGTATAGGCCAGCAGCAAGTTTCTAGCCAGCTCACAGAGCAAGGAAGAAGCAGGAACAGAATTGTGACTCACAGAGGTGTCTGAGTCACAGTGTGTCAGGCACTGGTGCCCAGTAGTCAGGCCTAGGGGTTGGAGAGGAGGTTGGCACCAGATGTAGGGTCGGGACCAGGCCCAGGGACAGGTCAGGGTTAGAGCTGAGATCAGAGTCCATCAACGAGCCAAATCAGTACTCCAGCTGGAGTCCAGATATAAGGCAAAAGTCAAAGCTGAGTGATCAGTGTCCGAGGGTCCCAGGAGGGGGGGCCAGAAGACAGAGGCAGGGCTGGAACAAGGTCAGAGTAGGGCAAAGACAAGGCTGGAGCAGGCTGGAACAGGGTTTGCGCAAGAACAGGAACTAGAACTGGATCAAGAGCAGGAGCTGGAGGGTGGTCAGATAGGAATGGAAAGAAACTGAGGCAGGCAGGAGGCACAGGGGCAGATAACCACTTGAAAACACTCCCCTTCAGAGCCCAGAGTTTGCAGTCTCTATATTCCTCTGCTCTCAGCCAATAGGTGTGAAACCCACTGACAGAATGTGTATCTCCTCCCTTCTTTAGTGACCGATCCACATAGAAGATAACTTACTATTGCTACCAGTTACTCCATTAGTTCAGGTGGTAGAGGTTTGTGCTGTGGCTCTAAAGGTCCAAAACCTGGCTGAGACTCAGAAGATCTGGGGCCAGAGGTAGACAGCCGGCAGGATGTGACGGAGCTGAACGTAGCAGAAAAATCCTACCCCAGCACATGGGGGTGCTCCAAGGGTGAGTGAACCCTGCCACAAGCTTTCGTGTGATTCGAACAAAGTGGCTCCCCACTCGCAAGTTAAATCTAATTCTGCTAGAGCGCAGGCGTCCTTATAGTTGAGATTTGTAGTGCGGCCATTTGGAGCTCAGTACATACTTTTGCTAGTCCTTATTTTCCATTGTCAGCTTCTAGATCTGATGCCCAGTTTGGCAGGGAAGTCCTACTAATGCTTATTAAGTAGGATTTCTAGCTCCCACTTCTTTGGGAGGTTAACTCACCAAGCATGGAATCAAGATGTGGACAGATACTTGAAGATGAAAGAATGGTTACTTACCTTACAGTAACTGTGGTTCTTTGAGATGTTTTGGCCCTGTGGATCCCACAACCCACCCATCTTCCCCAGGATTGAGGGTGGTGAAGGAACTCACTGGTCTTGGGGCCATCCTACACCTTATGCCCTTGCTAGGAGTGGCACTATGGCATGCAGGAGGCTTGCTTGGCTCCAATGAACATTAGTGGTTTAAAGATTCTGGTGTCTCGTGCATGGGGTGCATTCACAACAAGAGTGGGATCCATGTGGACAGAACATCTCAAAGAACCACAGTTACTGTAAGGTAAGTAACTGTTCTTCATCTGTCTAGGTGGCACTTAACATGGTGACTGAAGCTCTAAAAACACACTTCTGTGTTCCTTTGGAACTTATCATTCGAACATCTAAGCAGCAAATGCAGCAACTTAAGAGAATTATATACTATTCTCTTAGCCCTGGTCTACACTGGGGGGGGGGTCGGGGATTGATCTAAGTTACGCAACTTCGGATACGTGACTAACGTAGCTGAAGTTGACGTACTTAGATCGACTTACCATGGTGTCTTCACCGCGGTGAGTCGACTGCTGCTGCTCCCCCATCGACTCTGCCTGCGCCTCTTGCGGCGCTGGAGTATAGGAGTCGACGGGAGAGCGCTCAGGAATCAATTTATTACGTCTAGACTAGATGCGATAAATCGATCCCCGCTGGACCGATTGCTGCCCGCCGATCTGGCGGGTAATGAAGACATACACTTAGAATGGGCCATTTGTCCCTTCTCCCTCAGTTAGGTCATATAGAAGATGTTAAGGGGAAGGAACTATATCCCACATAATATTATGCTGTTTTAATCAACCAATGTTTTTCCTCTGTCAACCAATTATAAATGTAATGTTGAGCATTTTTATCAACCATCCTCTCTACAAATTCTATTATTTACTACAGAAGGACAATAACTACCCACATGGAAAATAACCAAGCCAATCAGAATTGTCTGGAAGAATACACATTTCACATACCCAGTGCACAGATGCCAATTTCACTTCCTTTTCTCCTCAAAGAAAATTGTAAAGGCTTAAAAGTACTTACAGTAGTTCTTCAACAGCACTGCAGCATGGAAGGATCAATAATAGAAAAATGGCACTTGTATGTTGTGCTAGCAAAGTAGAGTTGCAAAAGGTCCAAGGAAATGAAATGAAAAGTCTTTTTTTAAGGAGAAAAAACCCAAAATAGAATCAGAAGCAGCAAAGAAGAAAAGTTACTCTACAAAAGAACCTCAACTCTGGGTAGATTCACTAAAAAACGAATACTAAACCCTTGAAGAACAGGAGTTTGTGATTATATGCCACCTCCTGGAGTGTCAGAAACATCAGCACACCTGCCATGACAGAGCAAAGTAATGAAACCACATGCTCCAGCAAAGCAGAGTGAAAGTGACAGAAATTCAGCATTGGGTCTTTGACTTCACAACCTCTAATGAAAAGGAATCATATTAGAAAAAATTCAACAGACAGTGAAATGTGAGACCTCTTGGGAAACAGCAATTAGTTTATAACTCCGTCACGTCTATTGGCTCAGCTGCGCAACCTTTCTGTAGAGCTAATGCGAAAGGAATCCAAGAGCACGTAACATTTAAGCAGAGGAGGGAAGGCCACATGGCATTCTGATGTGTTACTCTTGATTTACTGCAGTACAATCAAG